TTCAGGTGCTGCCCCGGCGGTGGGTCGTGGAACGCACCTTCGGTTGGCTGAACCTGCAACGACGGTTGAGCAAGGACTACGAAGCATTGTGTGAAACCACCGAAACCTGGATTTACATCGCAATGACCGGCCTCACCCTGCGCAGACTGGCCCGCCTTCCTCATTTTTAGACACCCTCTAAGAACCTATCCTAAAAACTGGTGGAAGTTTGCCGGCGTATGGCAAGAACGTAATCTGGTGTTCGGCTAGGCTGGGGCAATGACCAAAGCGAAGGATCCCAAGCCGCTGCGTCCGAAGCGTGCCGGCCCAGCCACCCCAGCCAATGCCACCACCGGCTCTTTTCAGGTATCCGACGAGCTTTGGGAGGTGTTGGCTCCCCTGATCCCCAAACGTGTGAACACCCATCGTTTCGGCGGCGGCCGGCCCAGAGTACCGGACCGGACCTGTGCCAACGGCATCTGCTACGTGCTGCGCACCGGCTGCCAGTGGAAGGCCTTGGACGCCACCGGCATCTGCTCCGGGTCCACGGCCCATCTGCGCTTTCAGGAGTGGGTTGCCGCTGGGGTGTTCCGGGAACTGTGGCGGGTGGGTCTGGAACGTTACGACGAACTGCAAGGGTTGGACTGGAGTTGGCTGAGTATGGACGGGGCCATGACCAAAGCTCCTTTGGGTGGGGGAAAACCGGCCGCAATCCCACCGACCGAGGTAAGATTGGGGTCAAGCGTAGCCGGTTGACTGAAGCCCGGGGGTTCCGGTGGGCCTGGCGGTGGACGGGGCCAACCGCCACGACATGAAGCTGGTGCGGGCCACGGTGGACAGCGTGGCGGTGCCCCGACCGACGCCCACTCCGGAGCATCCCCAAGGGCTGTGCCTGGACAAGGGCTATGACTTCGCCGCGGTGCGCCGCACTCTGGACGAGTTCGGCTTCACCACCCACATCCGCAGCCGGGGCGAAGAGGCTCAGGCCATCAAAAGGGAGGCTGGGTTCAAAGCCCGCCGCTGGGTGGTGGAACGCACGCACAGTTGGCTGAACCGTTTCCGGCGCATCCTGGTCCGTTGGGACAAATCCCCGGACAACTACATCGCCTTTCTTCATTTCGCCTGCGCCCTCATCGCCCTCAGAGCCGCCGGGTCATTAGGATAGGCCCTAACTGGACGGACTGCGCTGCTCTCTGTAATCGCACGCGGCGTCACTACCCGTACGGCCGCCTTCGGTTGCAGGCATTGCCATTCTGGGTTCGTGCGGTCCGCTCGATGGCGACCCAGCATTCTCGCCGTTACGCCGGTCCGTGTCCCTTGTCCGCGGTCTGGGAGTGGTCGCCGAAGTGATGGAGAATGCTTCTTTTCGTCGCTTGCGCCATGATCCCCTGCTTCCACATCGGTCGAAGAATACGCTAGATTGAGCTGTCATAGTTCCTTATAATCAGAATATGATTATATTGTGGATAAAATCATCTACCTGCACTTTTATCTGCGTGAAATTTCTAATATGTCCCTGATATGTATCAAAATTTCTGATATTATGAACCAGCATCGTCAATGGGAAAATCACGTAGCCTTAATAGGAATTCATGTAGCTTGCTGATGCTAACCGTAAATCGCCGGTTTAATGCTGCCTCACCAGTTTTGACCAGTGGGATCGTCAGCTTTTTGCAATTGTTGCCGCCCGAAGGGGTGGCGCGTTGAGCTGTTGTTGGGACGGGAATAGCCCGGCCTGTCGCTTCTATCCGGGCCGGCGGCTCTCGTCCTGGGTGTTGAACGCACGGCCGTGGCTCAGCCCTCGGTCCAGCGCCGCTGAGGTTATGAAGGCGTCGCCCAGCAGTTCGCCCCAGTCGGCGAAGCCGTTATTGGAAATGAGAATGGCGCCGCCGGGTTCGCAGTGGGTCGGAATCCAGCGTTCTCGCCGACGCGGGGCGGGTTCGTCGAATTTGTGCTGTACCAGGCTGGTTGCCTACTCTGGCTGCTGAGCTGCTGCCATGCGGTTCCGGCCAGCCTGATGGCCGGCGTCTCCGCGATCTGACCCGGAGAGTAGGTCCGCCGCCCTTGGTTTCCGTGTCGTAGAAGGCCTGTCAGGTTGAACGCCAAACTGAAAGAGTTGTCATTGAACCGGGCGGCGGCTTGTCCTATGCTCGCTCCCACGCTGGTCGGTATGCGCAATCATTCGGTCCGGACCAATCGCAACGAAGAGTCCCATCGTTTGGACGACCGACCAGTGCAGATCACGGCCCGGTCAAACTGCCAACACACGATCAGACCCACCACAGGCTTTCCAAGTTTGGCGATTTGTTCAAGAGATGGTATGGACTGAACCCCCTGGCCGAACTGCTAACGTGCCACACCCGCTGGTTAGCAAGGGGTCTGCCGTTGGCATCGCACGCTCTACAGCGGGAACGGCCCGGCCGCGCCGGCCAGGTGACAAGGAGTTTGACCATGCGAATGGACCCAATCAGCCTCTACGACTACGAGGCACGCGCCAGGAACTTGCTGCCCCACAACAATTGGGTGTTCATCGAAGCCGGCGCGATGGACGAAATCACGACGGCCCGAAACCGCGCCGCTTTCGAAGCGCTGACGTTGAGACCGCGATTCATGCGGGACACCACGGAACGAAAAATCGCGACTACCGTCCTGGGAACCGACATCAGCTTTCCGGTGATGATCGCGCCCACGGACTCGCACCTCAACGCACACCCTGAGGCGGAGCGCGCCACCGCGCGCGGAGCAGGCATGTCCGGCACACTGATGATGTGCAGCACGTCTTCCAACTGCAGCATGGAAGAGATCGCCGAAGCGGCAACAGGACCGCTGTGGTTCCAGCTTTCTCACCGTGGTTATGACCCGACCGAGAACTTGGTGAAACGTGCGGAGACCGCCGGTTACCGGGCCATCGTGCTCACCGTTGACGCGCCATTTCCCAGTCCCAAAGAACGAGATTTGCGCAATCGGTATCAGCGCCCGGGCGAGTACGGCAACTTCCGTGAAGAGGACAACCCCGTTGCCGCGACAGGCGGCGCCGACCAACCACCGGCCTGGGACATGCCGCAATGCCCGCCTCTCACCTGGAAAGAGTTGGAATGGTTGCGGAGCCTCACCGACCTGCCGCTGGTGTTGAAGGGAGTCCGCGTCGCTGAAGACGCCCGCATGGCCGTAGAGCATGGGGTCAACGCAATCCTGGTCTCCACCCACGGGGGGCGCCGGTTTGACGACACCATGTCCAGTATCGAAATGGTGCCCGAGATCGTCGCTGCCGCCCAGGGACGAGCGGAAGTGTACGTCGATTCAGGCGTGAGGCGCGGCAGCGACGTGCTCAAGGCATTGGCTTTGGGAGCCACCGCGGTCGCTGTGGGACGGCCGCTCTACTGGGGCCTCGCGATCAACGGCGCTGAAGGGGTCCACCACATGCTTGAACTCCTGCGGGAGGAGTTCAGCCGCGCCATGACCTATTGCGGACAGACCAGCGTGGACAATCTGGAAGGCCGGCTGCTCAACATCCCGCGGGGTTGGGGTCCGTTCCGGACGGAAAAGGACAACGCAAACTATCTACGATCCGCCCGGGAAGACGGGACGGTATGACCGTAGACACGCCGACGGCACTCGGTAAAGATACCTACAAGCGCTGGCAGATGGATCAGCGGATAGTCGGCCGCGAGGCGTGGATGTTGCCCTCACGGTGTAGCACCCGGCCTGCCAATTGGTCGTTGGGGGCTGCGTTCCGTCATAGATGATGACCCGTCGTTGTTGACCATTATGTCGATCTACCCAAACCCCGGCGACTTTTCCGGATCCCCGCGAGCAGACACTGTGACCGGCGCACCAACAGCGGCGTAATATGGGCGCCCGTGGCCGTCGTTCAACAACGGCTCCACCCAGCCTGAACCTATGTGCAACACACCCGCTAAGCCGCCACCAGCCCGCCAAATTCCGGTTCAACGGGCAGGGATAGATCAGAGTGCAATGCTCCGACGATGGTATACACTCTCCGCACAAAATACATCGCCAGAGATCGGATATGACCAAATACACTAAAGAAACGCTCTACCGGGTCGTAGCGCTATCCAGTTTGGCGTGCTTTTTCTGGTTCGGTTTGGCATGCGGATCTGATGAACCGGAAGCATCGAACGCGCCGGACTATGAAGCCACGGTTGCGGCGGCCCTGGCGCAAGCCAGCGCTTCGGAGCAACCAACCGCCACCGTCGTGCCCACTCCGACTAACACCGCGGCGGCGCCCACTCCGACACCCACGGAGGTTCCGCCCAGCCCCACTCCCACCGTACTGGCCACCGCCACGCCGGATGAGCCCGTCGCCAGCGGCGGCGAACCCTTGGCGCCCCTGGCAATGCACGACGCGGACGCTTTCCTGTCGGATGTTTCCGAGGAGGAACGCAGTTGTCTGTCCGGAAAACTTGGTGCGGGACGGCTGGAGGCGGTGCTTGCCGCCCCGGAGCTGGCTGATGAGGCAGATCGTTCCGCGTTATTGGGTTGTCTGGAGCACGACACTTCGCTGAGACTTTTGTTGACGCCGGTGCTGAGCGCGACGGGCCCGATCAGTTCCGAATCATCCGCCTGCCTGCGCCGCAGCTACGCAGACCAAGACCTGAACGCGCTGATGGCTAGACTGATAGCCGGAAGCGAACCTGGAACCGCATCGGAAGCCGACGAAGTAGCCGGCATGGTCGCCTTTGTGGTGTCACTGTCATGCCTGAGCGAGGAAGAATTCCAAGTAGCAGCGCCGGCCATGGACATCGCCCCGGGAGAGTACGAAACCTTCCAGTGCGTGTTGGACCGGGTGGGCGGCCAAGACGCCCTTACGGTTCTCTTGACACCCGCGGCAGAGTTCCCAGCCGCGCTGTTTGAAGCCGCAGTCGAGTGCCAATTACAGTTGGCCGGCCCGCCGGCGGGCTAAAACCTCGCGGCTGTGCGCGGGGCGCATTTGCCAGATACGGCCGGCAAACCGGCCTTTGAACTGAGCCGGCAACTCTCGCAGGACAAGGAGATGGAAAATGGCCCGACTGGAAGGAAAAGTGGCGTTGATCACCGGAGCGACCGGGGGCATCGGCCGGGCCGCTGCCAGGTTGTTCGCGGACGAAGGCGCGCGACTCACGTTGGTTGATCTGGACGAGACTGCGCTGCGGGAAACGGTGCAATCAGTCGGCGAAGACCGCGCGAGTTACGCCGTAGCAGACGTGACGATGCCGGATCAAACTCAGGCCTACGTGCAAGCAGCGGTGGACCGCTGGGGTGGTGTGGACGTGCTGCTGGCCAACGCGGGGATCGAGGGCTCGCTATCTCCCATCCCGGACTATCCCCTGGATGTTTTCGACCGGGTCATGGCGGTGAACGTGCGCGGGGTATGGCTTGGCATCAAATACGTAGTGCCGGTGATGCGCGAACGAGGCGGCGGCAGCATAGTCATAACGTCGTCCACTGCCGGCATTGGCGCGGGGCCCGACATGTCCGCGTACACCACGAGCAAGCATGCGGTGATCGGTTTGATGCGCACGGCTGCGATGGAGGGCGCGCCCTCGGGTATCCGTGTCAACACCGTGAACCCGGCTCCGATTGAAACGCGGATGATGCGTTCCATCGAGGAGATGCGCGTGGCCACAATGGATGACGCCGCAATAACAGTGGAGCAGACTTACCGGGCGACGTCGGCGCGCATCCCGCTGGGGCGTTACGGCAACCCCGAGGAAGTGGCGAAAATGATGCTGTTTCTCGCCAGCGACGACAGCAGCTTCTGCACCGGTGGCGTGTACATGGTGGACGGCGGCAGGTCAGCGGGCGGGCGGTAGTTCATCTAAAAACGCCCCACCAGCGTGGATCGTCCCACTGCCGCCTGGGCCCAAGTTCAGCACCCGAAACTTTCGGCCTGCCAAGACGAGATTTGCGCCTACGGCTGGACCGCGGCTAAGGCGGCTCCGCGGTCGTGTTCGGAGCATAAACTTAGCGCCGGGGCGACAATTTACCTCGGGCAGCCTGATCTCAGCTATGCCGGGCTTGGAAGACCGGCCCACGACTCGGCAACAACCACAGACCGGTTGAATACAACGAGGCGGTCAGGGAGAATAGGCATGATTCCCGCGATGCGGCTTCCGACGTCAGACGGACCAACGAATCGCGAGAACGGACCAGGCTGAGGCAATCCGACATGTGGCAGGCCACAGAAAACGAGCTGGAGTCCATCGCCATCGGGGCGGGGATCCTGGGCACGGGCGGAGGCGGCAACCCGTACATCGGGCAATTGAGGGCGCGGCAGGCGATCCGAAAATGGGGTACGGTCAACGTGCTTGCCCCCGATGAACTGCCGGAAGACGCCCGGGTGGTGTGCGTGGGTGGGATCGGCGCGCCGACGGTGGGTATCGAAAAGATGCGGGACTTGCAGTCGTACCACGCGCTTCGAGCCATCGAGGACTACACCGGTGAGACGGCGACGGCTCTCATTTCCAACGAGATCGGGGGCAGCAACTCGCTGGAACCGCTGATCGCGGCGGCATTGGCCGGCCTGCCGGTGGTGGATGCTGACGGCATGGGCCGGGCGTTTCCCGAGTTCCAAATGAAGACGTTCTTCGTGTACGGCGTGCCATGCTGTCCGATGGCAGTGGCGGACGAGAAGGGCAACAGCGTGGTGATACGGGAAACGATAGATCCCCAGTGGGCAGAGCGGCTGGCCCGGTCGGTGACGATCCAAATGGGCTGCGTGGCGTGCTACGCCGTAGCCCCGATGTCTGCCGAGCAGGTGCGACGCACGGCGGTACCCCTCACCCTATCGCTGGCACGGGATCTGGGCGACGCGGTCAAGACAGCCCGGCAGCATGGCGATGACCCGCTGGAGGCAATCCTTGGCGTCTGCCCGGGCAAGGTCCTGTTCAGCGGGAAAGTCGTGGACCTGGAGCGCCGCACCACCGCGGGATTCGCGCGAGGAACATTGACCATCGACGGGTTGGACGCCTATGCCGGCGAGCGCATGGTCATCGAGTTTCAAAACGAAAACCTGGTCGCCAGGCGGAACGGTGAGGTCGCCTGCGTGGTTCCGGACCTGATCTGCGCGGTAGCAACCGATCTGGGTGAGCCGATCACGACCGAACTGATGCGGTATGGGCTGCGGGTAACGATACTGGGATTCCCGGCGCCGGCCCTGTGGACCAGCCCCGAAGGGTTGGCGGTCGCGGGACCGCAGGCATTCGGCTATGACGTTGACTACGCCCCCCTGGAGATTTAGAGGTTGCCGATTATGTTAGTTGGGGTCGACGTCGGGGGCACGAACACGGACGCCGTGCTCATGGACGGCCCGGCGCTGGTCCACGCCGTGAAGCTGCCGACCACCGCGGACGTGACCACCGGGATCGTCGATTCCATGCGGGAGTTGCTATCTGAGTTGCCCTCCGGCGCGCGAGTGGATGCGGTGATGGTGGGCACCACGCACTTCACCAACGCCCTGCTGGAACGCCGGGAGCTGGCGCCGACCGCGGTGATCCGTTTGTGTCTCCCGGCCACCCAACTGCTGCCCCCACTGGTGGACTGGCCGGACGATCTCCGAGAAGCCATGGGAGGGCACACGTACATGGTGGGCGGAGGGCACGAGTTTGACGGGCGTGAAATAGGGGCTTTGGACCGGTCCGAAGTAAGGCGGGCTGTCGCTGACATGCGACGCCAGGGAGTGCGCGCGGTGGCTCTCTCAGGAGTGTTCTCGCCGGTTAACGACGAGCACGAAAACGCGGCGGCGGCCATAGTACGAGAAGAAGCCCCAGACATGCGGGTCTGCCTGTCGCACGCGAACGGGCGCACCGGGCTGCTCGAGCGCGAAAACGCGGCAACCCTGAATGCCGCGCTGGGCGAACTCGCGGGCCGCACCATCAGGGGCATCGAGCGGGCCATCGAGGCGCTGGGAGTGGAAGCCCCGCTCTACCTGAGCCAGAATGACGGCACACTCATGGATGCGGATTTCGCGGCCAGTTTCCCAGTGCTCACCATTTCCTCGGGGCCCACGAACAGCATGCGCGGCGCGGCCTGGCTCTCGGGCATACGTGACGGCATAGTAGTTGACGTGGGCGGGACGTCCACCGACGTTGGAGCGTTGGTGAACGGGTTTCCCCGCGAAGCGGCGGTGGCCGTAGAGATGGCGGGCGTGCGGACCAACTTTCGCATGCCGGACACCGTGTCGATACCGTTGGGCGGGGGCACGGTGGTCGAACCGGACCCGCTACGCATCGGCCCGGAAAGCGTGGGGTATCGACTGACGGAAGCGGGACTGGTTTTCGGCGGAGAAACGCTGACCACTACCGACATGGCAGTCGCCGGCGGCAGGGTCCAAATAGGGGACCCGCGGCTGGTGGCCGGCGTGGATCCGTCGCTGGTAGCCCGTGTCATGACCGAGATACAAAATCGAGTAGAGACGGCGATTGATCGGGTCAAACTCAGCCGGGACGACGTTCCGGTGGCGCTGGTAGGCGGCGGCAGTGTCCTGTTGGGCGATGATCTTGCCGGCGCCTCGGAAGTGCTGCGTCCGCAGAACTCCGGTGTAGCCAACGCGATCGGAGCTGCAATCGCCCAGGTGGGCGGCCAGGTGGAACGGGTTTACGCACTGGAGGGTATGGGACGTGAGGCAGCAATCGCGGACTGCTCGGCAGCGGCGATTGCCCGGGCTGTGTCCGCCGGAGCGGACCCAACCACCATCGAAGTGGTTGAGATCGACGAGGTGCCGCTAACGTACATCCCCAGCAACGCCACCCGGGTGCGGGTGAAAGCGGTTGGGGATTTGCCGGGCCTTCGCAGCGGCGGAAAGTGACCGGCGGACATATACCGCCGGTCACCAATCCCGCGCACCCTGCGGCAATCGCTTCAGCTCCGGGGAGCGAACGGGCGGCCAACTCACCGGATTGAGAAGGAGGCCGCCCTTGGCGCTCAGGACAGCGGCGGCCTCAGCTCCTCAACCCGGACGACTACCACTCGAAGCCCAAGTTGGCGTAGCGCACAAACACCGTGCCGAATGGATCGCCGAGGGGGCCGTTGACAGCCAGGATGGCAATGGTGTGCTGGTCGCCGGGCTGGGCGCTGGTGGTGACCGGGACTCGCTGCGGCACGTTGAATCCCTGGACTGCGCCCCGGTCGCGGTTGCATTCGCCGTCGACCCAGATCTCGCCGTAGTCGTCGACGCAGGTTTCAAACTGGACGCGCATTCCGCCGGTCGGTTGGCCGTTGATGGTCTCAGGTATGGTGACGTTGGCGCGGTACCAGGCGAAGGTGAAACCACCGGATACCCGACCCGGAAGATCGTTGCAGATCTCCCAGCCGGAATCGTCGTAGTCGGGCCGGCGCGCGGGGCTCCCACCCTGGGCCTCGCCCACCAGTCCGAGATTGGGTTCGCCGGGAATATAACCGACGGCGAAGCGCCAGGTTGTATCGGTGATCGCCTGGCCGGACGGTTCGGCGATATTGATGGTTGCTCGGGGCATCTGTGCACCTGCCTTTGGAAGATCCTGCCGTGATATTGACGCGCCAATGGTACCGCAAAAACCGCGCCGCGTACTCCCTGCCGCCACTGCCCATACTCAATTCGGCTTGACCCCGCGTGACAACCCTAAACCCAGACGCCTCCAACGCTCATGCGTACCCAGTCTGCCGGAACTGTCATTGCGAGCGCAGCGTGGCAATCTCGTTTAGGACGACGGCGTCTCTTTAGTCAACGAGATCGCCGCGTCGCTTCGCGCCTCGCGATGACGAAGCCGGTAAGCATGAGGCTGCCCGCGTGGTTGACATGCACGAACATGCGCTCTAATATAGGACGCACGTTCCGAATATCAGTTTGCGGAGGGCTCACGCGATGGTTGCCGCCGAAGTTACCGAGATGCGATGCAAATCCCTCATCAATCGCGTCAACGCGCCAGACTTTCATTTTCGTTGGACGATTAACCCCTACCGGGGTTGTCGTCATGCCTGTCGGTATTGCTATGCCCGGTCAACGCACGAATACTGGGGAATGGACGCTGGCGTCGATTTCGAACGCCAGATATTCGCCAAGGTCAATGCTCCGGAGGTGCTGCGCCAGGAGCTCTCCCGCCCCAAATGGTGTGGAGAGCCCATAGCAATTGGCACTGCGTCCGACCCCTACGAGCCGGCCGAAGCCCAGTACGAACTTACCCGTAAGATCATCCAGGTGTTGGTAGAGTTTCGGAATCCGGCGTCGATAACCACCAAGGGAACGCTGGTACGCCGGGACATGGACCTGTTGCGCCGGCTGAACGAAGCGGCCGGCGCTCAGGTTGTCTTCAGCATCGGCACCATTGACGAGACGGTATGGCGACAAACGGAGCCGGGCGCACCGCACCCCAAGGCCCGCCTTGAGGCCATGCAATACCTGGTGGAGCACGGCGTGCCGGCTGGGGTGTTGGCCGCGCCGCTGCTGCCGGGGCTTTCCGACAGCGCGCAGAGCATCGACGCCCTGGTGTCGGCGGCCGCCGAGCATCGGGCCCAGTTTCTCTCCGGCAATCTGCTGTTCCTGCGGCCCGGCAGCCGGGAATGGTTCATGCCATTTATCCGTGAATCCTATCCGCACCTGGCACCCGGTTACGCACGACTGTACCGGAGCGAACACGCGCCAAGGGATTACACCAACGCAGTCCTGGCATTGGTGGACGACGCGCGGCTCCGCTGGGAGTTGCCCCGAATGCCGTCGGTCAAGAACCTACAGCCGCCGACGCTACCGGGCTTCGGAGAGGTTAGCAGAGACCGGTCTGCCGTCACGCAACCGGAGCCGGAACCATACGCACCGACCCAGCTGACGCTGCCGTTAGCAGCCTAGCTAGCCAGCGTCAGTCCAGACCTGACCCCGCTGACGGACCGGTTCCAACAAAGATTCGTCGAACGGCAGGGGATCGTAATCCGCACGATTGGGCGGGCGGTATCCCAAAACACCACACACCGCTTCATCGGTGTAATAGCCCCGATAGGTCTGGGTAACCAGTTCCTGGAAAAACTGCGGCCTCGCCGATTCGACGGTCTGCAAAGCTTCACGCTGAGCCGTGTCGGACAGGCCGACAAAGGTCCCACCCCGTTGACTGGCCGCAAGCTCGATTTGGATCAGTCCGTCCATTAGAAGACGACGCTTGGCGATGGAGCCGGCGGCGACCGATTCGACGAAGCCGGCGGTGCCCAGGTCGCCGGCCGCAGGCATGTCTCCGGAGGCCGGGACAATGCGATTCAGCACCGCAGACAACAGACCGCATTGAGTCTCGCTGAGGATTGAGTTGTTCGAAGTCATGATCACTTAATCCAAATCTGTGAAGTACGGCAAGGATGATAGCACAGCAATGACTTGCGCCAACGCGCGTGTCCACCAGGTACGCGGCTATCAGAATATGATGCTCAATGCCCCGTGGTCGGACAACTCCTCAAGGTCGAGGATAGCGCGCTTTCGGCAGATCCGAAGGTTGCCATCGACACGGCGCAGGCGCACGTCGTAACGGCCCACGTAAGGCGACGCCTCGCCGGCGCGGAACCGCCACACCGCCACCGAAGCGGTGGCCTCTATTTCGTTCCCATCCTGCGCGGTTACCATCACGTTTGAGATGAACCTGCGCGTTCGAGACCACGGGTATTCCCGGTGAGCGTGGCGGCTCTGGAGACGCACGACCCGGCCCTGCATCCGCCGGTAATCGTCGTCTATGAACACCAGGTCGGACGCCGGGTCGCCCTCCGGCAGGTCAGTCGTGGGCACGATGTAACGGGCGTCCGGGGTGTACAGGGTCAGCCAGGCGTCGAGGTTCCAGTCGTCCAGCAGCCGGGCTTCAAGGTACAGGAGCTGTTCCACCTCGTGCTGGAGCACCAGCGATTCGGGTGTCGCCGGCAAACCCACCGAGTACGGCTCGACAGGGACATTCTGGGTAACCATCGCGGTCAGGCTCCTGCGGCTAATCGTCGGCGGCGACGGTCAGCTCGGGGGATGGCTGGACGTCGGGGATTTCGCCGGGCGTCAGGCCACGCTCGTATTGCTCGACGTGGGGGCGGTCGGCGACAAGGGACTGCCACCGGCGCCAGAAGGAGCGTATCTGGAGTTCGTCATTGCCGCGCGGGTCCCGATGGAAACCGCGCGACAAATCGGACCATTCCACGCCGCCGGAACGGAAACCCTGCTGGCACGATTCCAGAGCTTCGGTGTCGTCCGGAGTGGCAAATCCACCCGGTCCCAGGAAGGTGAGGAAGGAGTCCAATCGGCGGTTCAACCGGGAGCCGGTCTCACCGGCCGGCACCATCTGCCATGCGGTCACGTCCATGCTGTCCGGGCCGGTGGGCTGGAACACCCGGATGGTGACGGCCATGATGTCGTTGATGACCAGGTTGGGGAAGATCACCATGTTGCGGCTCTTTTCGCACATCCGGAGAGCCTTGGCGCTTCCATGGCGAGCGATCAAATCGTCCTTGATGCCCTGGATTTCAGCGCGTGCTTCCTCGCCGAAGTAGGGATGCCACATGGCGATGGGGCGCCCGTAAATCGCGTCGTTTTCCATCACGCCGTGGCCATTGCCGAGAGAGCGCCCGAAGCCGCGGCGGCGATTGATCGCAGGTATGTCGTTTCCCGCCTCGTTGGCCATGTAATCGAAGTAGGTCTGGTGAGTGGGCAGCGCATGGTAGCCGTCGATGCTGTTCTCGGCGAGCAGCTTCCAGTTGGCCTTGATGGTGTAGCGGTTGGAGCCGGGGATGACCTTCATACCATCGGGAGCCTGGTCGGCCACCAGATCGAGGTATTCGGCGGCGCCGGCCAGGTATTCGCGGAGGGATACCGCCTCCGGGTCGAAGCAGACAAAGATGAAACCCTGGTAACTCTCGTAGCGAGGGGAGCGAAGGCCGAAATCCGCGCGGTCGAAATCGGGTCCGTAACCCTCGATATCCGGCATACCGACCAACTCGCCGGAGGTGTTGAAACTCCAGGCGTGGTAGAAGCACTGGAGCACCTGGGCATTGCCGTGGTCCGTGCGGCAGATGAGGGCGCCGCGATGGGGGCACGTGTTGTGGAACACCTTCAGTTCCCCTTCGCGGCTGCGGGCGAAGAACAGAGGCCGTTCGGCCACGACTCGACGTGCGTAGTCTCCCGGGTTCGGCACTTCAGACTCGTGCCCCAGGAAAAGCCAGCAACGATCAAAAATGCGCTGCCGCTCCAACTCGTAAATATCGGGCGACATCATGCTGGAGCGATGAACCTGGAACTTGCCCAGGTCCGGCCGGTCGTACACGAGGTTGCCGATGTCCATAAAAGAGCCTCCCAGCTTATGTCTGGCAAAGGGCTTCGCCGGGGCCACTGGCGTCAGCGAATGCGCAAACCCGTCAGCGCGGGATTACGGGCAGCGTGATATGCGACGGGTAGCGGGCGGAATGGTGCACGGTCTGGCGAGCCGGCTCGAGCCGGGTGTCCACGCCGAGGGCCGCGCCGGTGTTTGGGTTCCGGTCGAAGCGGGGGAAGTTGCTGCTGGACACGTCCACCCGGATGCGATGGCCGGCCTTGACCACGTGGCTGGTAGCCCACAAGTCGATGGTATAGCGGTGCACCTCGCCAGGGGTTACGAAGGACGGCTCGCGGACCGAAGTGCGATAGCGGGCACGGACGATACCGTCCTGCAGGTTGTGGGCGAACCCGTCCGGGCGCACGTCAACCAATTTGGCGGTGAAATCGGTGTCCGCCGCGGAGGTTCCGGCGTACAGCGTCACGGCGATGGGACCGGTGAGTTCCAGGTCCGAGGCCAGGGCTTCGGATGTAAAGGAAAGGACATCCGGCCGGTCTTCGGCGGGCCCTTGATCGAACACCCCATATTCAATGATCAACGTGTTGCCGCCGAGGGTGGGCACGGGGTCGGCCGGGTCGTAGGTGAACTGGTCTGCGGGTTCATCCGGTTCGGGTGGCACCGTGGACAGCGATCCGTCGCCGTTGCGGGTGTTGGCGCTGCCGCCCGAATGAAAGTACCAGCGGGTGTATTGGGTGCGCGCGAGCGGCCATTCGTTTTCGTCGCGCCACTGGTTGTCGCCCATGACGAACAAACGTACCGGCGGGTCGTCCATGATGCCGGTCTCTTCGCCCTTGAGCCAGTAGCCGTACCAGCGGAGTAGGTAATCGTGCAGCTCGATGGCCGCTTCCGAGCCGAAGTCGATGTTGCCGGCGCCGCCGGTGGTGGGCTCGGTAAAGGGGCGCAGATGAGCCCACGGACCGATGAGCAACTTCTGGTTACGCCGGGCCGTTTCGCTGCCGCCGTGCTTTCCGATTGCTTGGTAGGCGTTGAGAGCTCCTTCCAGAAAGATGTCGTACCACGCGCTCACGTGGAACATGGGGATCGTCACGTTGCGAGCCTGCCGCTGCAGGTTGAGACCCCACCAGTATGGAGTGTCCAGCTCCTCGTCGAAATATTCGTGGAAGTAGGGAGCGGCCTCCTTCAGCCGGTCGATCCAGTCGCGGAGAGGCAGGTGCCGGTACCATTGGTCGGACAGTGGCTGGCCAAAGTTGCCGGGCTCGATGACGTATTCATCCATTTTGGCGAGCAGGGCGTCGTGCCCGCCGCGCGCCAGGGTGTTGCGCCCCTTCAGGATGGCGTAGGGCACGTTCCAGCCCCACTCCATCGCGCCGCCCGTGTGGTAGACCCAGGACTGGTGGAAGTCCGACGAAGCGGAAACGACGGCCATGGTCTCAAGATGTGGAGGCAACGGGTGCTTGCCGGCCAGGGTGTATTGCGTGGCGCCAAGATAGCTCTGGCCGGTAGTGGCGACGCGGCCATTGGACCACGGCTGGCGGGCCGCCCATTCAACGGTGTCGTAGCCGTCAAGGGCTTCCTGGAATAGCGGGTCGTAATCACCTTCGGAATTGAAGCGGCCGCGCACGTCCTGGCTCAGCATCACGTAGCCATTGCGCGGAAAGAACCAGATGGAATGGTCGGGGTTGTTGAGGTAGCTGTCCTTGCTGTAAGGCCCGCGGTTGATCAGCACCGGGAAACGGCCCGGAGCGTCGGGACGCACCACGTCGGTGGCCAATCGGGTGCCGTCGCGCATGGGCACCATAACATCAGGCTCGCGCTTTACCTGGTACTGGGTTCGCTGGGCGGTCATGGGCGGCACCTCCGAAGGCGGGCCGGCAATCGTGGCCGGCGTCGACGGTGGTCACGATACCCGCCGGCGTACACACCGTCAACAAATGGAAATCGGCCGGGCGGAGACTGGCACGGACGATGACTTGCGCGGGCCCAAAGCGATGGGTCAGAAGCAGTCGCGCGGCCGACGAACCGGCCCGCAATTGACATCGGAAACAGCGACTGATACGATTTTCCCGCTTTTGAAACCCGCTTTGGAGTAGTAGTAGCCGTGCCTGTGCGTAACGATAGTAGCCAATCGGGACCCTCTCGCCGTCGTTTTCTGGGTGTGCTGGGCGCCGGAATTGCGGGGGCGGCGGTAGTGGCTTCGATGATTCCATTCGGGCGGCGGAATACCACAGCGGAGGCTGCCGACGAGTTCCCCGGCCCCGGGTCCATGTTCCACCCGGCGCAGGATCCGCGGACCGACCCGCGCCGCTAGCCCTCGAACAAGCACCAACGGACCGCGGAAGGGCAGCCCTGGTGGCTGCCCTTAATTCGTGCCCCAACGCTAACGCCGGCCGAATTCGCGTTCCAACTGGTACTCGGTGAAATGGACCACCGTGGGACGCCCGTGGGGACAATGGTGCGGGTTTTCGGTGGTTTGCAGTTGCTGGAGCAACGCGTCCATCTCTTCTTGCGCCAACGTCATCCCGGCACGGACGGACCCGTGACACGCTAGCGTGGCCGCCAGCGCGTCTTCGCGCTCCATCACCACCTGCTCGACGGCCAGGGCGTCCAGCAACTCGGTCAAGGCTACGGCAGGGTCAGGGTTTGCGCGGGCAGCCAGGCTGGCGGGAAGAGCCCGGATCAGCCGTGTACGTTCTCCGAAAGGCTCGATCATGAAGCCGTAGTCGGCAAGCAGATCGGCATAACTTTCCAGGGTTGACGCCTGGGCGGCGGACAACTCGGTCGCCTGGGGAGCCAGCAACGGTTGGGAAGGACGCGCGGCCTCGTGCATGCGCCGGCGAATCTGATCGAAAACCACACGCTCGTGCGCAGCGTGCTGGTCGATGAGGTACATGCCGGATCTCCCCTCGGCCACGATGTAGGTTTGTCGGATCTGTCCCACTACCCTCAGATCCGCCAAGACGTCCCGCAGGGAGCCATCAGCCGGAGCGAGCGCGGTGGTGGGCAGTGTCATGTCGCCGTGCTGGGGTGCTGAGCCTCCTGAGGATGCTGGACGGGGCGGGTTTGGAAATGGCTCGGTCTCGGAAACTTGGCCGGTCGGGGTGAATGATCGCGTTGCGACCCGCGCCGGAGCATGGGCGATCAGGGCCTCTCGGACGGCGCGTTGCACCAGGGAAAACAACCGGTCCCCTTGACGGAAACGCACCTCCCGCTTGGTGGGATGGGAGTTGACGTCCACCTGATCGGAAGGCAAGCCGATGTTGATTACGGCGAGGGGAAAGCGGCGTTCGGGCAGGCTCCCCTGATAGGCCTGTTCTATGGCATAGTAGATCGAACGATCGTACACCCACCGGCGGTTGACCAATAGGGTTGTGTAGGAGCGGTTACGCCGGTTCAGGTCCGGAGCGCCGGAGTACCCATCGACGGACACCTCGCCGTCGACGAGGGACACGGGCAGCATGCGCCCGGCCACTTCGGAACCATATACGGACAGGATGACATCCTGCAGACGCCCGGAACCAGGGGTGTTTACCGTCTCTCGTCCATCGACAGAGAGGGTAAACCGTACTTCAGGGTGAGCCAGCGCGTAGCGGGTGACAACCTCCTGAATGCGGGCGGTCTCGGCCGACGCCGAGCGAAGGAACTTGCGGCGAGCCGGCAGATCGCCGAACAAATCGGCAACCTGAACTGATGTGCCGGGAGGACACCCTTCGCGTCGCTGACCGACGCGAGTTCCGTGGCGAAACTCGATGCAGGCGCCGGATTCCGCATCCGGCGGCCGCGTGGAACAGACGACCCTGGCGACGGCGGCCACACTGGGCAGGGCTTCGCCGCGGAATCCCAGAGTGGAAACGGTGCGCAGGTCGTCAACCGTGGCAAGCTTGCTGGTAGCGTGATGCCGGAAAGCCAGGTCCAACTCATCAGGAGTGATGCCGCAACCGTTGTCGGTAACACGGATTTCGGCCACCCCGCCCTCTCGGATGGAGACGGAGATACCGGTGGCATTGGCGTCCAGGGAGTTTTCCAGCAACTCCTTTACCACCGAGGCGGGGCGTTCGATGACCTCACCGGCCGCGATTTGAGCGGCGACGTGAGATGGGAGTTGTTGGATCGGCATGTCCTGCTACGCGCGGCTAGAAAAGAGGGATCTTGGTGCCCTTGGCGCGGTATTGGCGGTCTTCGGAGTCTCCCGTTTCCTGGAAATCACAGATGATCCGGTAAATGCGGTCCATCTCATGGTCAACGCTACGGGAGAAGAAGTATGGCGGTACCCAGACGCCGCCGAAAGCCGCCACGATTTCCGGATAATCGTCGATAACAAACTCAGGCTCGAACGGAATTTTCAGCTCGAGAAGGCGCTCGTGGTAATGATGCGTGGGCTTTTCGTACACGCCGGAGACGAACCGACGCAGATCGTGCTTTTCGATCACCTCCCAGCGCTCGCCCATGCCGGACCAGATGTAGATCTCGTGGCCATCGTCGAGGATTTTCTGGAATGTGTCCACGGTGCCGGGGCGAAGGGTGTCATCCAGGCCCAGGATGGTGTAGTCAACGTCGAAAAATATTTTCATGATCGGTTCGGTTTCCTGGCGGCGGTGGGATTGGCGGCAACGGTCTGGTCAGGAACTGAGCGCTTCAGACATAGCTTTTACGCTGGCTCCGACGATCAAACGGTCCCCCAGGCGTACGATGGGACGCCGAACCAACCGGGGCTCTTCAAGCATCAGCGCGAGCTTGCGTTCGTCGGAAACATCGGCCGCGTTCAGGCCCATCTTTTTCAAAGACGGACTGCGCGCGGCAAATATGCCGGTTACGCCGGGCTCACCCAACTCAGTGACGAGTTCTCGCAGCTCCGTTTCGGTAAACGGTTCCTTGAAATAATCTCGTTCTTCGACCGTGTATCCATTTTGCACGAGCAACTCTCGCACCTTGCGACAGCTGCTTCAACGTGGCCACCAGTACATTGTTGCCGTTGCGCCCATTTCAGCCTCCCGACGAATTCAGTGAAAATGTTTGCGGCGGGACATATTTTATAACGATCCGGGGCTTTGACATAAGTAGGGCGCACGTAAATTTTGTGTAAGGCCCCGTGGGTATCCCTACGGCATTCGGCCCGCGCCGTGTCCGCTGTGCTATAATCCGGGCACCAATGGAGCAGGGACAGAATTATGCAGTGCCAGATATGCAATAAGTCCGGCATGACCGGCAACAACGTGAGCCACTCGAACCGCAAGACCAAGACGCGGTGGAAGGCCAACGTTCACAAGCAGACGCTAGCCATCGACGGGAAGCCCACGCGGGTAAAAATCTGCTCACGGTGCCTGCGGACGATGTACAAGCCGCCCCGGGGCAGGAAGGCAAGGGCCAGAGCGGCCGCGTAGGGTTACACCGCTTACAACTGTTGATCAAGAAGGGCGAAAGAAATTTCGCCCTTACTCATGCCCCGGAGACATGCCGGCCACCGTGTCCCGTAGGGAGGTCATGGCGTCAGCCACCGATTGTTCCCGGTTGAAAATAGCGGTGCCGGCCACCAAGATGCCAGCGCCGGCGGCGACGGAATCGCGGGCGGTGTCGTCGGCTTTCACACCTCCGTCAACCTCCAATTGGCAGGCGTACCCGTTTTCAGAGATCGTGCGATACAACCGGCGCAATTTCCCAAGAGCCGACGGTATGAAGGACTGACCGCCGAACCCGGGATTGACGGTCATCACCAACACGATATCGAGATCGGACAGCACCTCTTCGACCGCTGCTAAGGGAGTCGCGGGGTTGATGGCAACTCCAACCTGGCAACCCTGCTCCTTGATGTAGCCGACGGTGCGGTGCAGGTGCGTGCAGGCCTCCGCATGCACCAGGATCTGGTCGTTGGTGTTCTTGACGAGGCCGGGCAGCAGTCGGTCGGGCTCGTGGACCATGAGGTGCAGATTGAGAGGGAGGGAAGTGGCGCCGCGGATAGCATTGACCACGACCTCGCCGAAAGAGATGTTGGGGACAAAGCGTCCGTCCATCACGTCAACGTGGATCAGGTCGGCGCCGGCTGCCTCGGCATCCGCCACCTGCTGAGCGAGACGGCCAAAGTCAGCGGCGAGAACCGACGGGGCGATCTGGACATGCGCGGCGGTAGAGATCACTGTGTCTCGGTGCTCGTCAGGATTGATTTGGCGCGGGCGAGGCCCTCGGCGACCCGGTTCGGCGCCGTGCCGCCCGGATTGTCGCGTGCGGCGACAGATGCGGCGGCCGTTATGGCATACACGTCATCATCGAATTGGGGCGCGAAGCGTTGGTACTCGGCGATGGGGAGGTCGGAAAGGGACATGCCATCGGCTTCGCAGTGCTGGCACAGCCGGCGCATGACGCCGTGGGCGTCGCGGAAGGGCACTCCCTTGCCCACCAGGTAGTCGGCAAGATCCGTGGCGAGCATATAACTCTCACTGGCCAGGGATTCGACGCGGTGCGTGTTCAGTTTCATTCCCGGCAACATGTCGGCGAAGACGGACAGGGTGGACAGCAGGGTATCCACAGTATCGAAGAAACCCTCCTTGTCCTCCTGCAGGTCCCGGTTGTAAGTCAAGGGCAGGCCCTTGAGGACGGTTAGGATGCCCATCAGACTGCCGTAAACCCGACCAGTTTTGCCACGGGCGATTTCGGCGAAATCGGGGTTTCTCTTCTGGGGCATGATGCTGCTGCCGGTGGTGAATTCGTCGGGCAGGCGCACGAAGTCGAACTCGCGGCTGGACCAGATGACGATCTCCTCGGACAGTCGGGAAATGTGCATCATGGCGATGGCGGCGGCGGCATGGAACTCGGCGAGAAAATCGCGATCGGCCACGGCGTCCATGCTGTTGGGACTGATCTCCGCAAATTCCAGAGCCAAAGCGACGGCGATGCGATCGGTGGGATACGGGACGCCGGCCAAGGCTCCGCTACCCAGGGGGAGCACGTCCATGCGGACGGCGCAATCCGTGAAGCGGCCGACGTCGCGCTGCAACATTTCGAAGTAGGCCAGCATGTGGTGAGCGAACAGCACCGGCTGCGCGCGCTGCAAGTGCGTGTAGCCCGGCATCAGGACTTCCTGGTATTGCCCTGCCAGGTCGACGAGGGCGCGCTGCACAGACCGCAAACCGGCAATCGTGTCGTCAATGGCGGCGCGGGTGTACAGGCGCATATCCAGGGCGATCTGGTCGTTGCGCGAGCGACCGGTGTGCAGGCGCGCTCCGGCCGGACCGATCAGGTCGGTGAGCCGGCGTTCGATGTTCATGTGCAGGTCTTCGAGCGCCGGATCCCACGGGAAGTCACCCCGTTCGATCTCGTCCTGCACAGCGGACAAGCCGACAATTATGGCATCGGCATCGTCCCTGGGGATGATGCCCTGCTGCGCCAACATGGCCGCGTGGGCCTTGGAGCCGGCGATGTCCTGCCGGTACAGCCTGCGGTCGTAGTGTATGGAGACGGTGTAGTCGCTATGGTCCTGCATAGTTTTGGAGACCATCTATGAACCGACGGTCCGGCGAGGCAATAGGGGCCGCCGACCCGGGTCAGGCGTCCAGGTAGGCGAAGCTTGCGGCGAGGTTATCGAAAACGTCGTCGTGCGGCGGAATTTCCATGACGGCCGCACCGTCATAAGCTTTTCCCTCCAAGATGCGCCGCATAGCGTGGCAGTCGAGGTCGCCGTCGTCAACGCTGCCGATGGCAACTCCGTCCCGAGCCTGCTTGAAGTGGACGATTTTGATGTAATCGGCGGGCAGGTTCGCCAATTCGTCCAGCGGTTGGCTGTCGGGATGGCGGCGCAGCTGGTTGGCAGGATCCGGACAGAGCCCCAAGTGCAGACCTTCTTCCTCGGTCAGTTGGGACCGCGCTTCGCTCACCAACAAGGCCATCGAACGCAGCGGTTGCCCGGAGTTTTCCATGGAGAAGATGACCCCCTGTCGGGCGGCTTCGCGTACCAACGGAACGATGCGGCCCGCCGCATCAGCGACATCACCCGAAGACTCCCATGGGAGTATCGGACGCACCGGGGTCCACGGTGCGGAGGTGGGGCGAACCGCCCCCGACCAGGCGCGCGGCTTCCAGTTGGGACTGGAACAGACCGCCCTGAGCGTCGATGTCAGTGGTGATACACGGGAGCGCGACGGCGAGATCGAAGGTGAGTTCGGGGAAACGGACCACGATTTCAGCGAGTGTGTCCAGGTTCGGCCGCCAGTCGTGGCCTTCGCCGGATTCTGCGAGACCCAGGCAGGTCTGTCGGAGTTCCACATGGCCCGCGCCGCGGTCCCGAGCAGTGGCGATCAGATCGCCGAGGTCAGCGTCATCGAGTTGATTCCGCCAGGAATTGGTTATGGCGCCGTAGATCATGATGCGTTGCCCCCTTGCGGTTTGACGAGGATTCGTCGTGGCTGAGAGATCGTCGTGGTTATGAGGTCCTAAGTGCGCGGCGACCGGTGCATCGCCGACCAAAACTATACCGCAGCGAACGATTGCGCTCAACAGCAAGCTTGATTACGCCACCGCCAACAGTCGGAAGAACCCCTATGCTAGAATTACGATGCGAGCCAACGACCGTCGGAACCAGCAGGAGGCTAACCAATGGCCCAGTTGTACAGCGAACGATGCACGGCCTGCCGCCGCGATTCCCCTCACGTCACTGAAGACGAAGTAGCAGAGTTGTACCCGGCAGTAAACCATTGGGAATTGATCGACGAATCAGGCATTCCCAAGCTGGACCGGCAGTTCAAGTTCCAGAATTTCGTCCAAGCCCTGGAATTCACCAGCGCTCTCGGCGAGTTGGCGGAGTCCGAAGGTCACCATCCCCGGCTGACCACCGAGTGGGGACGGGTTAGCGTGACCTGGTGGACGCACAAGATCCGCAACCTCCATCGCAACGATTTCATTATGGCGGCGAAGACGGACCAACTGTACGCCGAACACACGCCGGCGGAAGGCTAGGCAACCGCTATCCCGCCGGGAGAATGACGGACCGCAGATTTCGCTCCGTCTGCGGTGTGCCGCGAAGGCGCTGAGTGCAGATGCTGATTGACGTGCGCCCACCGCGAGGCTCGATGTTGCGTTGGCCGTCTTCCCCCAATTAGCGGCGGCCACGTGCACGTGGTGCGGGCAACCGACGGAAACGTCCCAAAGTGGGATTTCAACCAAGTTTCACGTGACACCCAATGCTTGCCCATACCCGCGGGTCTCACGCTTAATGTTTTGGGATTAGGACACGACGACGCCGTACCAGACGAGATCCCCCAGGAAACATCATGCCGAAACTCCGAGCGAGGGGCGCAAATCAGCACAGCGTGGCGATTTACCAGCGCCGAATGTGACCCTGCCCGGCAACAAACAGGAGTAACCCCATGCGAGTTGTTTATTCCCTGCGATCCCGAGACCTTAACGCCGTGGCAGCGGAGGCGGCGTGGGCGGAGTCCATGGGATACGACGGCGTTTCCACGAACGAAACGGCGCACGATCCCTTCCTGCCGCTGGCCGTGGCAGCCACGTCGACCAGCCGTGTGACTTTGGAAACGCATGTGGCCATCGCCTTCCCGCGTTCGCCCATGGTGGTCGCCTACACGGCGCGCGACCTGCACGACAACAGCGGCGGACGATTCCGCCTCGGGTTGGGAACGCAGGTGAAAGGGCACAACGAGCGGAGGTTTTCCACTCGCTGGACTGGCTCAGCTGGGCCTCGCCTGCGAGAGTACGTGCAATCGTTGCACGCCATCTGGAACTGCTGGGACACGGGAAGCAATCTGGAGTACGCGGGAGACTTCTACCAGTTTTCGCTGATGACGCCATTTTTCAATCCCGGCCCCAGCGAGTATCCGCATCCCGAGGTATTCACGGCAGCGGTGAACGGCTACAACTGCCTGGTAGCGGGAGAGTGCAGCGAAGGACTGATGCTGCACAGCCTGGTTTCACCGGAGTACGTGCGACAGGTAGTACAGCCCAATGTTGCCGAAGGAGCGCGCCGCGCCGGCCGAAATGCCGACGACGTGTCCGTTGTCGGCGGGGGATTCATCGTCACCGGGCCCAACCGCTCGGCAATCGCCGAGGCAGCGGAGGAGACCAAGCGACGTATCGCCTTTTATTCTTCCACGCGAACCTACTTCCCGGTGTTGGAATGCCACGGATTCGAGGACATCGGACGAGAACTGCACGTCATGTCGCGCGAGGGCAAATGGGCGGAGATGGGCGACCTGGTGCCCGACGAGATGCTCAACGCCTTTGCCATCATCGGTGAGTACGACGAAATCCCCGGCATGTTCAAAGAAAGGTATGGTGGGCTGGTGGACGAGATGCACTTCTCGATTGAGACTGCTAACGACGCGGAACAGGGCCAGTTGCGTCGCCTAGTCCGGGAGTTGCAGGAGCAGTAAGGTTCTGCGATGGAAGAAGCGCCGGCCGAATCGTTACTTGATCCCACGCGGTTCAAGCTGGGACAGCGAGTCCAACCGTGCCTACAGGCTGAAGTGGGAAGCTTGGGAATGGCTATACTCCGTGGCGCGATGCCGTTGTATCGGCCTTGAAGTACGACTGCAGGGTCCGTGGGGTACGGTGGTAGACGTGGTGGGGGTCGGGCCGGGCAACACGATCTACGCGGTAGAAGTGAAGGCATCACGGGCGGACTTCGCCCGCGACAACCACACCGAGGCGGACATTGACCGCCTGCGGCGGCGGCGGGATGCGCTGAACCGCCGGATCCAGTTGGCCCAGTCTCCCGGATACCAATCCCTGATTGGAGATTGCAGCCGGCTGGAGCAGGAAGCGGAACGGTTGCGCGAACGGTTGACCACGGTCTCGACCAAGTTTCACAACCCGCGCTTCCTGAGCATCGCCGACTACCACTACCTCATGGCGCCGCGGGGCGTGGTACTGACGGAAATGGTCCCGCCCGGTTGGGGCCTGCTGGAACCCGGTCCCCGCGACATCGTGGCGGCGCCGGCCAAAACGATCCGAAAAAACACCGGCATCGTTTCCAACGTGCTGCGCGCCATTGCTCGGTCCAACACCACCGCGATGATGCGGGCGTATGGCGTCAAGTTCGGGGCGGCTGGCGCGGCGTTTCCGACTGCCGACATCGGTGCCCACCGTTCCGGGTCCCAGCCGACTTCCCAGCCTGACAACCTTGCCATTACGCAGCCAAAGAAGGACGAACATGCCGGATATCACCATTGATCCCCAGACCACTGCGCTCCTGATCCAGGATATGCAGAACGAGCTGATCAAGGGGGGAGGGATGCCCGTCCAGCCTCTGACTGGGGTCGAAATCATAGCCAACAGCGCGCGCCTGCTGGAAAAAGCCCGGGAGGCCGGCATGCCGGTGATCTACGTGGTAGTGAACCGGCGACCCGACCGCAGGGATGTTCCGCGCCCGCCTTTCGGAGCGCCGGCCAGCGCCGCCGATGGAGGTCCGCGTCTGACCGCAGGGTCTCACGACGCCGAAGTCGTCGAAGAGCTCGCGCCGCAGCCCGCGGACCCGGTCGTCATCAAGCACACGACCAGCCCATTCAACACGACTGACATAGAGGTCTATCTGCGGCGGTTCGGGATAACTACGCTTATCCTAACGGGTTATTCGACCACCGGCGTGGTCGAAGGGTCGCTGCGGGACGCCAGGGACAAAGATTACGACTGCGTGGTGGTGCGAGACTGCTGTGCGGCAGGTACAGTCGCAGAGCATGACGTGTGCATGGACATCATCTTCCCACGCATGGCCTGGGTGGCGACGGCGGACGAGGTAATTGGGGCGATCGCTAACTGAGTGAGCCGAGTTCGGGAGACCATCTATTCCGTCGCCGGGTCGCGGTCGTCCAATCGGTGCCAGTACACTTCTCCCCTGGCGACGGTGGACTGGACTTGTTCGGTGTTGCGCACACTGGCAACGGCAGCGTGGGCCGGGCGGCCGGTGAACCACGCAAGGAAATCAGCGTTGCGTATCGCGCGTCCGGTGTCGCGATCGTCGGCAGTGTAGGAAACCTCCACGGCAACGTAGTGGGCAGCGCCGTCCTCATCCGTGACTTCCATCACCAAATCGGCGCGGCGGAAACTTCGCAGCAGACGCGTTTCGATACCGGAAGTATCAGAGTCCTGATGAATGTCGCGCAACTCAACGTAGGAAAGGGTGCGAACCAGGCTGAAGCCCATGTCGCCGGCGATGGCGTCAGCTTCACGAACGACATTCGTGCGAGCGTAATCCGACCTGAAGTTGGCGATGTCGCTCTCAATTCGAGCGAACCTTTCGTCGGTCCTCACCATAAACCGATCGACACGATCGTTGAACCGCAACTGTTCTCCGTTGAACTGCAACTGTTCTTCATAGAAGCGGCGTTGATCTTCGTTAAAGCGGTGTTGATCTTCGTTGATGCGGCGCTGCTCTTCGACGAAGCTGTCAAACCGGGCCGGTAGATTCAGCAATTCCTCGGTAAGGATCTCCCGGCGCACGGCCGCTTTCCATTCCGGATTCTCGCTCAGAACCCGCAGCAAATCGTCGGTTGTGTTGATCGTCACCACGCCGGCTAACCTACCGGTTCATTATACGGCAACACGGCGGCGGCTAACGATTGAGTAGCCACCATTCGTCTGTGCCAAGGTTGAAATTGATGCGACGGAAACCCTCGGCGAAGGGAACGCCGCAGCGCTCACCCTGGAGGCGGGAACCTTCGGTCATTCGCTCCAGGCGCTGGGAGACAGTCCGCGCGCTTATCTGCGAAGCGTGTTGGCTGAGTGCTTTGGCCTTCCGGTTGATGTGCTCCTCGGTGATCGGAATGAACGTGTCCGGGCGCTCGGAACCCCAAAGCAACGCTTCCCCGACGCGGTGGGGCTCCAAGCCTTCATCGCTGATCTGCTCGGAAAAATCCAGCCAGCTCCAGGCATAGGAAAAAGCGGCGTCCAACGCGGCCTGGCCGCTGTGGCGGTGGTCCCGGTGGGTGTGGGAGGTGACGCGATAGGGGTCGATGCCGAATACCACCTCAGGTTTGTGACGTCGGATTTCGCGAACGACCTGGCCGCGATAAGTTTGAGTGTCTTCCAGTTCGCCGTCGCCGTAACGCAGGAACACCACCTCCGAGACACCCAGGACGTTGGCGGCGTTTTGCTGCTCGATCTCCCGGGTGGCGGCGAGTGTCTCAGGGGTGAACGAACGGTCACCGGTGCCCTTGTTGCCGTTGGTGCACATCAGGATGACCACCTTGGTGCCGGACTCGGCGATCCACTTTGCCATGGTCGCGCCGCAGCCTCCTTCGGCGTCGTCAGGGTGGGGCGTAACCACCAGCGCGCTGCGTGGCGCTTCGGTCATCACCCGAGGCTCCGGGGCGTATTCCTGATTGGGATATCCCCAGCCGTCGATCCCGTGGGGTCTGCTGGTCATTTGGGCACTCCGCTGGATTGGAATGGATAGGGGCGAATAGTCATCCGCCCCTACATGTGCTGGGTTCGGGCTTTCCCCGGCGCGATTGCGTCGAGCCTAACCGCCCAAGTGGAACACAACCATCTTGAGCTCGGTCATCTCATCGATGGCGTAGGCCGGGCCTTCCTTGCCCATGCCACTGTCCTTAAGGCCGCCGTAGGGCATAACGTCGGCCCGCCATTGCGGAGAAGCGTTGATGTGCAGGTTGCCGGAATGCACTTCCTGCGCGAACTTCATGGCCCAGTCCACGTTCTGGGTGAAGATGCCTGCCGACAGGCCGAAGCGGCTGTCGTTGGCCTTGGCGATGGCGTCGTCAATGTCATCGAATGCGCTGACGGCCACGGCGGGACCGAAGAGTTCCTCACGGGAGATCAGCATTTCCGGCCGAGCGTCGGCCACCACGGTGGCGGAGTGGAGGGTCCCGCTCCGGTCACCGCCGGCGATGACGCGCGCGCCCTGGCTCACGGCTTCAGCGATCCAGGTCTCGACGCGTTCGGCATCGGTCTGGCGGATCATCGGGCCCATCTTGACGTCTTCGTCGAAGGGATTGCCGACGCTGAACTCCTGGGTGGGTTTAACCAGCGCGTCTAGCAGATCGGCGTAGATGGTGCGGGCAGCGAAGACACGCTGAGTGGAGATGCAGACCTGACCCGCATTGGCGAAACCGCTGGAAACCGTGGCGGCCGCGACCTTCTCGATGTCGGCATCCGACATGATGATCAACGGGCTGTTGGACCCCAGCTCCATGGTGACCTTCTTGATGCCGGCGTTACGGCAAATCTGGTCGCCCACTTCCATGCTGCCGGTGAAGGTTATCTTGCGGATGTCGGGCGAGCCGGTGATAACGTCGCCGATCTCAGCGCCGGAGCCGGTGATGGTTTGGATGGCCTCTTCGGGAAGGCCGGCTTCCAGCAGGATCTCGGTTAGCTTCAAGGCAGACAGCGGAGTGTCCCCGGCCGGCTTGAGGATAACGGCGTTGCCGCCAGCCAGGGCCGGGCCCACCTTGTGGCACACGAGGTTGAGCGGGAAGTTGAACGGCGCGATCGCGGCCACTATGCCCACGGGCACACGGATGGTGAAGCCAAACTGGTTGACCACGCCGGGCGCCGAGTCGAGCGGCACGGTTTCTCCGTGCAGGCGCTTGGCTTCTTCAGCAGACAAGGTGATCGTCTGGATGGCACGCTGGACTTCACCGCGGCCTTCGGCGATGACCTTTCCCTCTTCTCGAGTTATGGTCTCCGCCAGGTCGTCAGCACGTTCTTCCATGAGGTCGGCAGCACGCTTGAGGATCGTGTAGCGACGGTGGGCGGGCAACTTGGCCATCACCGCGGCGCCACGGACGGCGCTGGCGATTGCGGCCTGAACGTCGGCAGCGGACCCACGTGGGACGGTGTCGAACGCGGACTGGTCGAAGGGATTGATGACGGGCATCTTGTCATCGCGGTCGACCCACTCGCCGCAGATGTACATGCGCATGGTGAAACTCCTGAAAAGCGAACCGGAACAAGCTCACCGATGCACGACGCACGGCGGCAAACATCATTGTACTACACGAGCCCGGGCCCGCTTATTCGGCTTCGGACTTGGCCTCGCTTTCGCCGAGGACGATGCTGCGGCCGGTATTGGTCACCTTGTAGTGGCCGGACAGACCGGGTATCCGCTCCAGCCACCGGAACTTCGTTCGCGCGGCGTTGCGCAGCGTCTGGACGAAGCTATGCGGGATCGGCCAACCGGCCAGCGTGAACAGATGCGCCAGGCTATCAGGATCGACGCTGGGTATATTGAGGTATCGATGCCCCGCCTCGGCAGCCACCACCACCCGGCGCATATCCCCCAGCGGGTTGACACGTTGGCAGAAGGCGATGAATTCATGCTCGGAAGGCGACATCGGTTCCGCGGCTCCGGTCTGAAACAGGCCGGGTTCGCGTTCCAGAGCCGCCGTGGGAGGTGGCGGGGCGATCTGGACGACGGAGACGGCGGGAGCGACCGGAGGAGCCTCATGGTTTTCGGCAATGACAACCGGTGCCGGTTGTGGCTCGGCAGCGTGATGCACCGAGCCATTGTTCGCGGCGTGGCCGTTGGATAGTATCGGCGGTTCCACGGATATGGCGACGGGCGGGTCCGACGCGGCGCCGTTGGCGCCTATGAGCTGGGGCATGAAAGAATAAAGGACTTCGCGAACGAGCCCAGGATCATCAGATTCAATGCAGACCTGACTGCCAGCTGGCAACGTGATGCTGAGCTTGTTCATCCTCACCCCCGGGCGCACCTGCGCCAGCCCCAATAGTAAAGTAACTCCGGGATTTATGGCAAGGCAGTTAGGCAGCAGGGTTCGACAAATGCAACGGACCGAATACCCTCTCACCCGGGGCCGACGCGATGCGCAGCATGTCCTCCTCAGCCTCTTCTTCTCCGATCTGCATCGCCTCCTCAGCCCGGATAACGCCCAGCACCCGGCGGCTCTCGTCAACGACCGGGATTATGCCCATCGAATACCGGGACATCAGGCCGTGGGCATCTTCCCGATCGGTGTCCGGCGACACGGACACCAGGCGATGTCCGTGACGGTCAGCCAGTTCGCCCGCCAGCCTGGCGGGACTGGAAAGGGCCAGCTGGGTGATGCTAACCGCACCGACGAGGCGCCGCTCGTCATCGAGAACGCACACCCACCCGAAACCCTCGGCGTCCTCGCCGAACAACCGCAGGGCGTCCAGGGAGTTGCCGGCCGTGATGTACTGCCGGACACGAGGGAAGTCGAGCGTCATCATCCCGCCGGCGGTATCGGGAGGGTACTGCAGCAGCGGAACCACATCCTGCGGCCGGTGCAGTCCCGCGACTATTGCTGCCGCTCCTGATTCGGGCAACTCCAGCAGAATGTCGGCGACGGTATGGGAATCGACATCATCCAGGAGTTCGGCGGCCCGTTTCGCCGGCAACTCTCTGACAATGGCGACGGCCGCGTCCGTGGGCGTCTCGTCCAGGATGTCAGACAATTCGTTTGTCGGCAGCAGGGCAACCAGCGAACGCTGCTCGGCGCGCCGCACCCGCGCCAGGAAGACCCCCTGGTCGGCCGCCAACATCTCGCGGAGCAAAGTCAGCGCGACACCGACCCGATCCTGGCCCAGGGATTCGCGGATCTGCTCGCCGATGGCGCTGATATCTGACGGCAAGGCCAAGCCCTCCGGAGGACGCGTTGCGGTATCGGATGGCGTAACAGGTTCTCGGTGTCGGTCTGGCGGGTTCATGGGAGTACCCCGGCGACCGACACCGGATGCGTCGGTCCGGTCAGATGGTCTGTTTCAGCCGGACCGCGAGCGATCGGGTCAGGCCGGGAACCGCCGCGATGTCCTCGACGGTGGCTTCCTTGATGCCCTGGAGGGAGCCAAATCGGCGGAGCAACATACGCTTGCGCTTGGGGCCGATGCCGGTAACCATGTCGATGGGCGATTTCAGGCTGCTCTTGGAGCGCAGGTTGCGGTGGAAGCTGATGGCAAATCGGTGAGCTTCGTCGCGTATGCGCTGCATGAGGTAGAGGGCCTGAGAATCGCGGGGGAGGACGATGGATTCAGGCGTATGGGGGACAAAGATTTCCTCGTTTTCCTTGGCCAGGGAGCACAGGGGGATCTGCTCCAAACCCAGGTGGAGCATCACCTCCTGGGCTGCGGAGAGGTGGCCCTTCCCGCCGTCAATGATGACCAGATCCGGCAAGACTCCCCACGTATCAACCTTGCCGTCGGGGTCCGGGTTGGCGATGGCCTGGCTCAGGCGCTTGAACCGACGGGTCAGCATCTCTTTCATGCTGGCGTAATCGTCCACGCCCTCCACGGCCTTGATCTTGAAGCGACGGTAATCGCGAGTGCGGGGCTTGCCGTCGTCGAACACCACCATGCTGCCGACCAGGTTGCTGCCCTGGATGTGCGAGACGTCGTAGCACTCCATGCGCCGCGGGGCCGTGGGCAGACTCAGTTCCTCCTCCAGCTCGGTCAACGCGCCCTGGATGGCATCGGAGCGGTTCAGCCACTTGACCCGATGCTGGGCGAGGCCCTCGATGGCGTTTGTGACCACCACCTCCATCAGCTGGCGGTTTTCGCCGCGCTGGGGGCGATACAGGCGAACCGCGCCGCCGCGCCGGCTCCGCAGAAAATCCTGCAGAAGCTGACCGTCCTCTACGGGCGGATCGTGCTGCACCAGGACGGTGGGGAGGCACCTCGAGAGCGGTGGCGTAGAACTGCTGGACGAACTGAGCAATGATCTCGCCGGGTTCGTCGTCCTGTGGGCCCTCCATGAAGAAATGATCGCGGCCGATCAGTTTACCGCGCCGGATGAAGAACACTTCAACCCACGTCTCGTTGGCGGCGTTGGAGACAGCGATCGCGTCAAGGTCAGTGAGACGGCCGGAATCGACTTTAACGGTGCGCTCCTCCTCGAACTTCTGGATGGCGCCCATCTGATCGCGCAGCACGGCGGCGCGTTCAAATTCCAGGTCCTCGGCGGCCGCTTCCATCTTGTCACGGAGCTGGCCGGTGACCATCTCGGTGTTGCCTTCCAGGAACAGGATCACCTGTTTGACGACCTCGGCGTACTCATCCTGGCTGGCCAGGCCGGCGCAGGGACCGACACAGCGGTGGATATAGTATTCGAGGCAGGGGCGCGGGTCGGTTCCGGTGATCTTCTTGGTGCAAGAACGGTAGGGGAACAGCTTTTTGACCAGGTCCATGGACTTGCGGACGCTGCCCGCGCTGGCGAAGGGCCCAAAGTAGCGGGCACCGTCCTTGTGGACGCCCCGCGTGATGTACACCCGGGGGAAGTCCTCTGCCAGGTCCACTTTCAGGTACGGATAAGTCTTGTCGTCCTTGAGGCGGACATTGAAATAAGGCCGGTGGCGCTTGATGAGGGTATTCTCAAGGATGAGGGCCTCGGCCTCGGTATCGGTGACGATGTATTCGAAGTCAGCCAGCTCACTGACCATGCGCCGGGTCTTGCGATCCAGGCCGGCAGGGGAGCCGAAATAGGAGCGGAGCCGGTTGCGAAGAACCGCAGCCTTACCGACGTAAATGACCGCCCCGCCAGCGTTCTTCATCAGATAAACGCCGGGACGTTCGGGGGTCACCAATACGCGGTGGTCGAATTCCTGCCGAACCACGGTCCAATTCCTGCCTCATGCGCGGGGCCTAAAGTACGAAGGAAACGGCGACCAACACCACCACCAACACGCTGGAAAAGATGCCGATGCGCGTGAGCTCGGAGCCAACATAGTTGTACGCCGCGGGACGATCAAACCGGCGCCCACGGGACGCGGCGACGGGCCTTCCGATGGCCGAAGTGGCCGAGGAGGCGGCCGGGGCCGCAGCGGTTGCGGACGGACGATCCGCCTCGGCTTCAGCAACTGCGGACGCCACCGGCGACGCGCTGGCGGGGTCCTGCCCGGCGGTCGCACGGTTCGCGCCGCCACGACGGCGACGCAGGTTGTTCTGTCGGGACGCCACCCGTTTGCCCTTGCTCGGCATCACCCGCCTCCTGGCGCCGCGACCCGGTTACAGGCGTCGTCAGCGCGGCATTGGTCTCGTTGATATGCGATCCGAACCTCGCCGGATCAAGCCTGAATCCATGATACCAGCATGGACGCAGAACTCGGTCGGTAACGGACCGCGATTTATGAGGCGATTTCGCTACTCTTTTTGTCCTCTCAATGTTACGGAATTCTTCCATCGCGAGGCGATTTCGCGAATCTCGTATCGTAGCCGCCTCACCCTTTGTCCACCCGGTGCAATATGGTTTACGCGGGCTGGTCGCCTTGCCCATGAAGTCTCGTTCTGCCGCAAAGGTCCCGGCCCTGCTCCAAAAGTCGGCGTTTATGGACGAGGCCGCCAAAAACCCCTTACCATTTTGACAGAGTTTGAAAAGGGGCTACCCGACGACGTTTCATCATGTCCGTTCGCCATGAGTTTGCACGGCTTGCTCGCGGTGTCGGTTACTGACGATTTTGCCTGTACGTAGCAACTCAATGTCCTCGATCTTGGCCAACGCTGCTCGTTGCATGCGCGCGCTGATAGTCAAGGGGTCCTGCTCGCGTGCGTCACGCACGAACTGTTCCAGAATCGTCAACTCGCAATTTGGGCAAGTGTTGATAGCAGAACCTGATTTGACCTGATATTTGAATGCGAAGTACCCCGGAGGATAGTCTTGCATCGTGAATGTGACCATGCACATGTCGGCGCACTCTTGGACCTCTCCGTGTAACCCGCCGTGGTGACCACATGTACATCTACGGCTTCGTACGTCAATTGCACTGTTCATGGCATCCCTACTATGGCCCTCATTTTCGAAGTTGCCCAAAAGTCGTAATCTTGCTCCACAAGTCGGGCGTTTCCGAGAGTTTTTAGGCAATGCTCGGGCTGGCGATCTCTTGTAATCGAGACTCAGTGACCTGCACGCTTCTGTCTGGGCATCAGCGGAACGTGTCAGGTCATTGGATCTCGCAATCCGTAGCTCTAATGATCGCACTTCGTCATGGTCGCCCTAAAAACGGAGTAGCGAAATCGCCTCACAACTTATGTCAATTAACTGCTGGTCATCGGCGTCCCGCCGGGGGTGTCACCCGATGGAAATACCCAGTTCGCCCTGCATATCGGCGACGGACTGGTTGCGGGTCTTGCGCTGCCACTGGGGACGGGCGTTGATGGGCTCGTTGATAATTTCGGGGTCGATTTTCAGAGCAACGAAAACGGGGCCCGGTTGGCTGAGGATCTCTTCGATCTGGCTCACGAAGTCTTCCAGGTTGTCGATGGCGTAGGTGGACGGATAGCCGCAGCCCTGGGCGACGACCTCATATTCCATCTGCTCCGCGTTCGGCACGGGTTGACCGCCGGTGGTGGCATACACCCCGTTGTCCAGCATGAAATGGTAGAGGTTGGACGGCGCCTTCTCAGCGATTGTGGGAAGAGCGCCCATGCCCATCAACACGTCGCCTTCGGAGTCGAACAACACCACGCGCTGGTCCGGGATGGCGAGGGCGAGGCCCAGGGCAAAGGAGGCATGGCCGCCCATGGCGGGGTCGCCGAGAGGGAGGTCACGGTTGGGCTGGTCGCTCAGTTCGACCCAATACCGGCCACCCCGGCCGGGTATCACCACGGCGTCGCCGCGATGCCTGTTGAAGATTTCCAGCATTTCCGCCGTTTTCATCATGATGGTCACTTCCGTTATGTGCGTTGATCAGCGGCTGACGTTGAAGCCGTGGTACTCGTCGCCAACGAGGACGGCGACGGGACGCTTCTCCCGCTGCGCCTCGGCAAAGGCGATGGATATGCGGTCGGCGTCCTCATCAGATTCGACCAGATAATAGTTGATGTTGAAAGCGTGGAGGAAGCGCTCGGTGTAGAACGCGGCGGTGTCGGTGATAACGCCGTGGCGGGTCCAGCCACGATACCCGACCATCATGACGACCGGTACATTCATGCCCAAACCCCAACCGCGCAGGGAATCGCCGGACTCCATCATGCCGGTATTCTGGATCAGGATAACGGGCTTCTTGCCCCCGGCGGCGAGGCCGGCAGCGGTGGAGAAAGCGTGGCCCTCACGACTGACGGGCACCAGGTCCAGGCTCGGTTCCTCGCTCATCAATACATAGAGGAAGTTGGTCTCGCTGTCAGGCAGCCAGACCACGTGGGTAGCGCCATTCTTCTTCAACTCCGCCAGGATGCGGGCGGGACTCAGTTCGGCCATGGGTGATACCTGCCTCGAAGTGTTGGGGGCAATCGGGAGCGCCGGGTTGCGGGCAACAGGTATACCCGGCTCGCTATCCGGCGTCAATCGGCGGTACCGACAACGCTGGGGGTTTGGATGTTCAGCGTGTGGTGACCGCCGACGTGATCGGTGGAGACGCGACGACTAATCGGCGGCGGCCGCCGCCGGTTCGGCCAGGCGGTTGTCCACGAGGTCTGCGCTGCAAGCGGCGCCGTCCAGCAGATCCCAACCAACCATCCAGTGGTAGGTGTCCTCGACTATCTCGTCGGTGTAAGGGGTGTTGTAGGAGTAGCGGAGGCGGGGCAGGTGGAAGTCTTCGGGAGTGACCCCACCGTGCTGGGCCGCGACTGCGGCGAACCGCGGCTCGTCGATGAGATACCGGAGATACCTGCGCTTGTCGGCGTTGATCCGGTCCACCGCCTTGGCGACGGCCCTATTGATGGCGGCGAAAGTTTCCTCGTCCATGTTGTCGCTGGCGTTCTCGGCGCCCAGGTAATGACCCTCACAAACCGGACGGCAACCCAACTTTTCAGCCAGGGTGATCCAGGGTTCCATGAGGGCGGCAGCGGCGACCTCGCCGTTCATGAGGGCCTCAAACCGGAACTGAGGCGAGCCGTAATGGACCAGCTTCAGCTTATCCTTGGGCAGATACCCCGACAGCAGCCGCAGCGCGACGTAGTGGGACCCGGCGTGGAACTGGACGGCCACCGGTTTGTTGCCCAGGGTCCCCGGGTAGTAGTGAGGAGAGTCCGGATGCACCAGGATAGCCTGAGTGGCGACTGCAGAACGGAGGGCGATGATGCGGGCGCCCTGTTTGCTTTCATAGGCCCGACGGACCTGACCTTCCTCTCAAGCGCGATAGATTGCCACCTGGCGTCCTCGAAATGCCACATGGCCGAGGATAGGATTGACGTCTTCCGGGCTTTCGGTGGGGGTGACCCGACCACTGCTGACCGCGGTGACGAATTCCATGTCGATGCCCTCGGCTTCGAACAGCCCTTCGTCCCGGGCAACCAGCCAGGGAAGGCTGAACACCACACCGCTGATTTCGCTGACAACCTTCTTCATTTGTTGACTCTCCTCGTGTTGAGACCAATAGTCGGCGCAAGTTTAGCAAAGTCACGATGCAGCGTCCATTTGGGGAGGCGCCCGTCAGTGCCCCTCGATTATTGTCTTCACGGATGACCCGACCAACGAACCCGCGGTTGGCGGCAAGTTGCTATACGGTTTCTGCCGCACTGCGACCCCGGTCCTACGCTGAATTGATGCAGATTTGTGATCACGGTAGTGTCGGTGGACGAGCGCCGCAGAACGATCCGGGCGCGGCAGCGATGACAAAATTCCCGACTGTTGCGGATGGCATGTGCGGCTTGATTTGGGCGATTGCGGAGGTGGCGGCCCGTCTCCTGCCGCGAGTGTCGGTCAACTTGACCCCCCATTTGCCCTGTGCTTTACTTGCCCAACGGTCGCGCCGGTTTTGACGGCCGGCCACGACCGTTATCGCACCACCCTTTCCAGAGGACAATCGATGCATTTTGGCATGTTCATGCAGTTCGAAACCCGGCCGGGTGGGAACCAGGCGGCGGCGTTTTCAGAAGGGTTTGAACTGGTCGACACGGCCGAAGAATGTGGCTTGGACGGGGCCTGGCTGGCCGAAATGCATTTCACCCCCGACCGGTCGGTGCTCTCGTCTCCGATCACGATCGCGAGCAGCATCGCGACGCGGACACGCCGGCTGCGCATCGGCATGGCAGTTTACGTGCTTCCGCTGAACAACCCCCTGCGGATCGCCGAGGAAGTCGCCACCGTCGATCAGATCAGCGAGGGCCGGTTCGATTTCGGCATCGGGCGGAGCGGATTTGCGCGGTCGTATGACATCTACGGCGTGCCCTACAACGAGAGCCGAGATCGCTTTCGTGAGGCCCTGGACATCATCCTGCAAGCCTGGGAAGGCGAGCCTTTTTCCTACGACGGCAGCTACTACCAGGTGACCAACGCCACGGTGGCGCCGTTGCCGTACCAGCGTCCCCATCCTCCTTTTCGCATGGCTGCCACCACCGCCGAGACTTTCCCCCGGGCCGGCGCCGACGGTTACCCGATTTTCGTGGGCCTGCGCGGCATGGACATTCCGGAACTCCGTGACAACCTTGACCAATACCGTGCGGCGTGGCAAGCGGCCGGACATCCCGGCAACGGGGATGTTTCTTTGCGCGTTCCCGTCTACGTGGGCCTGACCGAAACCGGCGCGATCGAAGAACCCTTCGAAAGCATCCAAGCCTATTTTGGCCGCATGGGCCGGCTGTATGCCGCGGACTCCGGCTCAGCCGGCATCCAGGCGACCGAGCTGCGCGACCAACGGGGCGATCGGTTGTCCGCACTGTCATACGACGACATCCTTGCCACCAAGGTGGCGTTTGGCACCCCCGCCGGTCTGGTTGACCGTTTCACTGAACTGCGGGAAGAGCTCGGGCTGAATGGCGTCGTGGCGGAACTCAACGCGGGGGGCCTGATCCCGCATGACGTGGTCGTCCGAAACCTCCGCCTGCTGACCGAGAAAGTAATGCCGGCATTCAAGTGACCCAAGCCGGCGCAATTGAACTGGTGAGGTGACCAAAACCATGAAAGTTGCCATCCTCGATGACTATCAGAGCGTTGCCTCAAGCATGGCCGACTGGTCCAGCCTGGCTCAGGGCACAGAGGTCACCTTTTTCAGTGATCATCTGGCCGATGAGGGTGCGTTGGCGACGCGCTTGTCGGATTTCGACATCGTCATGGGCATGCGGGAACGGACCGCCTTTCCCCGGTCGCTGCTGGAACGATTGCCCGCGCTGCGCTGCCTGATAACCACCGGTGCGCGCAACGCGTCATTCGACACCGACGCGGCCACCGACCTGGGGATCACGGTGTGCGGGACGCCGGGCGAAGGCGAAGGGTCCCACCGAACTGACCTGGGGCCTGATCATCGGGCTGATGCGCCGCATTGCCGAGGAAGACCGGGCCACGCGCGACCAGGGGAAGTGGGGCATCCACGTGGGTGCCAGCCTACAGGGCAAGACGTTAGCGCTATTGGGGCTGGGGCACATCGGCTCGTTGGTGGCTCGCGTCGGCAACGCTTTCGATATGCGGGTCATCGCGTGGAGCCAGAACCTCACTCCCGAACGAGCCGCGGAGTGCAACGCCACCCTGGTCGACAAAGACACGCTGTTCGCCGATGGCGACGTGGTGTCCGTACACGTTCGCCTGAGCGACCGCACGCGCGGCCTGGTGGGCGCCCACGAGATTGGCCTGATGAAGTCGTCGGCGATCCTGGTGAACATCTCCCGTGGCCCCATCGTGGACGAGGCGGCGATGGTAGACGCGCTCCAAAGGCGAGCAATCGGAGGCGCCGCGCTGGACACCTTCGACGTGGAGCCGCTACCGGTTGACCATCCCTTGCTGACCTTGGACAACACCCTAGTCACACCTCACGTGGGTTACGTTACCCAGGTGGGGTACCGCGCCTTTTACTCCGGCGTGGTCGAGAACATCCGGGCTTTCGCATCCGGCGAGGCAATTCGGGTGATCAACCCCGACGTTCTGCAATCGTCCAATCTGCGCGGGCCGGCCTGATACCGGCCGCCCAACAGGAGAACCCTCAATGAAAGCCTTGCGCATCGAAGAATACGGCAGTGTCGAGGTCCTCGAGTGGAAGGACACGCCAGAGCCAACGCCGAGCCCGCATCAGGTACTGATCAAGGTGGACGCGGCCGGCGTCAATTACGCCGACATCATGCGCCGCCAGGGAAACTACCCCGGTCCCGACCTGCCGGCCACGCTGGGGTTGGAAGCGGCGGGAACCATCAGGGCGTTGGGTTCCGACGTCACCGAGGGCCGCCTGGCGGTGGGACAACGGGTCATGGCGATGGGGCCGCAGGGCCAGGCGGAATACGTCGCCGTCAATCACAACTTCGTTTTCCCGTATCCGGAGGGCATTGACCCGGTTCACGCCGGCGGCATGCCAATCACATTTCTCACGTCGTACCACATTCTGAAGAGCCGCGGCGGCATGCAACCCGGCGACACGGTCCTGATCCAGGCCGGGGCGTCCGGCGTTGGGACCGTCGCCATCCAGTTGGCCAAGGAATGGGGGGCGAGGGTGGTGGCGACCGCCTCGACCCAGGACAAGCTGGACCTCTGCCGTTCCCTGGGCGCCGACGTGACCATCAACTATACGGAGGCGGATTTCGAGGACGAGGTGAAAGACCTGACTGACGGCCGGGGCGTGGCGCTGGTGCTGGAGTGCGTGGGGGGCCCGGTGCTCGAAAAGTCGGTGCGTTGCGTGGCCTCGTACGGGCGGGTGGTCAGCTATGGCAACGCCAGCGGCCAGCCGGCCAACCTGGCGGCCGGCGACATCACGACCGTCAACCGCACGGTCATCGGGTTCAGCATGGGCCGGTCGCCCATCGGCTCTCTCGACCACCAGGGCGCGATGGACGACCTCATCCCCATGACTATCGACGGGCGGCTAAAACTGATTGTTGACCGGGTGATCCCGATGTCAGAGGCGGGCAACGCCCACCTGCATCTTGCTTCTCGCGGCACCCGCGGCAAGGTCATCCTGACCCCGTGAGTATTGCCGCCGAACAATACGCCGCGGTACACGATGCGGCCCTGGCGGCAGACCGCTTCGCCGACCATCGCCGCCGAGCCGACCACTGGGCGGACATCGCGGAGATGTTTCGCCTGGATCCCCATCGGGAGTGGGACCAAAGTCTCCACGCAATCGCCGGTTACCTGCGGCCATCGGATGTCCTGCTTGACGTTGGCGGCGGCGCAGGACGCATATCACTGGCGTTGGCCGGCCAGGTGCGAGAGGTGGCGCTGGTGGAGCCGTCCGAGGGCATGCGGGGCCAATTCGTCGCGTCTCGCGACGAGGCGGGCATCTCCAACGCGCGGGTGTCACCGGATTGGTGGATGGAGTCCGCCGAAACGGGAGACGTGGCGGTCACGTCGGACGTCACCTATTTCGTGCGCGACATCGTCCCGTTCCTCGCCAAGCTGCACAATGCCGCAGCCCGGAGAGTGATCATATCGATCTGGCGACCCACCCCCGGCGATATGGACAACGAGTTGCGACGAGTCCTTTTCGATGAGCGCCCCCCTCCCTGGCCCGGGCTACCCGAACTGGCCGCCGTTCTGTGGGAGATGGGCCTTTTGCCGGAGATCCGACCCGTTGATGAACCGCCGTGGTGGATACCGGAGACGGCCGGCGGATTGTCCCAAGAACAGGCCGTGGATCTGGCGATGCGCCGACTGGAACAGGATGACGAACCGACCCGTCGCCAAGTCGCTGACAACCTCGACCGGCTATTCGAGCGCGGCCCGGATGACCTGAGCCCACGGTGGCTCGGCCACGCGCGCGCCGTGCTGCTCACGTGGGCCACCCACGGACGACCCCTGGATTGAACAGAAGCACTGGATTGAACAGGAGCACCTAATTGGACAGGAGCACCCAATGGACCGTATCGGCGTAGCCTTTGCCGGAGGCGGCATGACGCCGCCCGAAATCGTGGACTGCGTTCAGTTGGCGGAGGAACTCGGCTACGATTCCGCATGGGTCGCCGAGGGCCACGGGGGCGACCAATTTTCCATCCTGACCGCGTGCGCGCTGGCGACGTCGCGGATACGCCTGGGCACCAGCATCAGCAGCGTCTACGTTCGCAGTGCACCCACCATCGCGATGGCGGCGGCGTGCGTGGATCATTTTTCCGGCGGCCGCTTCATCCTGGGCCTGGGCAGCAGCCACAAGGTACAGGTGGAGCCCGAACACGGCCTGGAATTTTCCGGCCCCATCCCTAGAGTCCGCGACACGGTGGATATCGTGCGCCGCCTGCTGCGCGACGGCGCGGTGACCAACTACCAGGGGGAGGCGATCAGCATCGGAACCTTCGACCTGCACTTCCCGACGTTCCGGCCGGAAATGCCCATCTACCTGGCCGCAGTTTTCCCCAAGATGCTCGAGATCGCCGGGGAAATCAGCCAGGGTGTGCTGCTCACCTGGTGCACGCCCGAACACGCGCGAACGGCCAGCAAGCACATCGCTACCGGTGCGGCGCGAGCCGGGGTTTCTCCGGAAACCGTCGAGGTGGCGACCCTGGTCTCCGTGGCCGCGCCGGGCGCTGACGACGGCGGGATGCGCCGGGTGGCGGCGACCTACGCCGGCCGGTTCCCCAGGTATCGTCGGCTGATGGCCGAAGCAGGGTTCGCGGACGAGGTTGAGGAAGTGCGCCGTGCGTGGCGTGAGGGCGATGTGTCCTTGGCCGAAAGTCTGGTACCGGAAGGCCTGATCAACCGCATGTCGCTGCCTACTGATCCGGGCGCCAAGCGAGAGAGGCTGGCCGAATATCGCGAAGCCGGACTGACCCTGCCGATCATCGCTCCCCGGGTATCCGGCCCGAACGCCGGCGCGACGGCGAAACAGATCATTCGCGCAAACGCACCGGCCTAGCGTCCGAAATGGCTCGACAGACTATTGGTCTGCCGGCAACCAGGGCGACCACAGTGTGAGGGGAATCGTGACCGAAACGCGAGGCTGGTCGCCGACCACCGCCGTGGTGTGACCCTGACCGGTCAGGTCGTCGGCCAACAGCACGTCGCCGGCCCCGAAGCGGCGCTTGGTGCCGTCACCAATCCCAACCTCCATTTCCCCGGCCAGCGTGATTACATACTGTCGGCGAGGAGCGGTGTGCCAGTCTGAGAAATAACCGGGATCGAATCGCCGGAAATTAACGCCCGGCGTTACCTGCATTCCGCTGTGAATGGCGCGGTTTCCGGACAGATCCAAGTCTTCAAAATGAGTCTGGCCGTCCTCGCCGGTATAGATGCGAACAAACACCATGCTTGATGCCTCCCAATTCGAAATCGTGCTGACAGCAACGGCGGGGCGGGTCCCCATCCGGCCATCAAACCACCGACATTCTAGCGCATCAGGCTGCAGATAGTGACGGTTTGGCGAGGGTTCGCGGGTTCGCAATGTGCTCGTTCGGTTCCGGTTGATGCGGAAGGCCGGGAGTGGCAGACTGGTCTGCTGGGGACGCGATGAACGAGCACGATTCCTTTACATCGGTTCCGGGCCTATGGTACGATTAACCTGCATCCGCACGTTCGGCGGAAGTGGCTCAGTGGTAGAGCGTCTCCTTGCCAAGGAGAAGGTCGCGGGTTCGAATCCCGTCTTCCGCTCCAATGAAAACGATGAAACGGCTCCAATTGGAGCCGTTTTTGTATGTTTGCTGGCGGGCGACCCTGCTGACCGGGCCCCCGCTTCTATTGCGCTTCACCCGTTGCTGGGCGGAACGGAGTGTCCGACCAGTCAGTCCCGGTTCAGTCGAACGGTATGCGCCGCAGGAAATCCATGCCCCACCCGGTGCGCTTGCGTTTTGTTTGTACCGAAACTGGACGGCCATGATTCTTAATCGACTGCCCGGTCAATCCTCGCAGCAACGACAAATTGCGCGCGCCTCGGTTTCGCCGTGGTGGGGCCTCGCCACCGTGAAAGCTAACGTCCAACACCTATCCCCGTCGAGTCGTGACTTGCCCAAGATTCGTTCAACGCACGACCGGACCGCCGGAGAGAGTGCTGAATGAATCCGGAAAGGTCGATGGCGGTCGGAGTGGCAAGTCGGGACGATCAGCCGAAATATCCCTGCCCGCCATTGACGTGTATGGTCTGGCCGGTGATGAAACCGCCGTCGTCGGTGCAAAGGAAGGTCACCGTAGAGGCTATCTCCTCGGGTTTGCCCTGTCTTTGCAGGGGAATTCCCGAGGAGTCGGGGACCCGGCCGGCATACCACTCGGGGTTGGCACGGCTGGTGTCGATGCTTCCCGGCGATACGACGTTGACGCGGATGTTGTTCCCGGCGAACTCGGAGGCCAGGCTGCGGGCCATTCCCACCATTCCCATTTTGGCTGCTGAGACATGAGCGCGCTGGGGACCACCGCGAAAGGCCCCGTCACCGGTGAGGAATACAATCCTCCCGAAGTTGTTGTCCACCATCTGCTGGATCACGCCGTGGGTCGTGTAGAAGGAGCCATCCAGGACCACGCCACGAACGTATTCCCAGTCCTCCAGGGTAAGTTCGGTGAACGGCTTGTGTGGTCGGATCGCGGCGTTATTCACCAGAATGTCGATGCGTCCGAAGGTGGACATTGCCGCGTCAATCATGGCGTCGACCTGGTCCTTTTGGGAGACGTCAGCAAGAACGGGCAAAGCCTTGACACCCAGTTCCTCCACGGCCGCCGCGGTCGCTTCCGCTTCATCGCGGTTGCTGCGAGCGTTGACTACAATGTTGGCTCCTTCCGCAGCCATCATCAACGCGGTGGCCCGGCCGATGTTCCGGCCTGAGCCGGTGATCAATGCTACTCTGCCGTCCAGTTTGCCCATGTCTGCAAGTCTCCCGGTAGAAATTCGGTGATCGGTCCAAACTCGTGGCGGCGATTATAGCGCACCGGATGGCGAATGGCTGCGTCGAACTCTATACTTTGAATCATGCGATACGCACCGGCCTGGTTAGTTGTTAGTGCGATGGTGACAATGTTCACTGTCGGTTGTTTCTTTGGAGACTCCCCCGCAAGCGAACCTCCCGGCGTCGACCTACAGGCGACCATCGATGCAGCCCTGGCTCGGGTTGCCGCCTCCCAGGAATCCGACGCTACGCCTTCAACAATCCCATCACAGGGTACCGCCAAGCCCACCGCGCTGCCAGACGATACTCCAGCGGCGGCGGTCGCGGCGCCCACTTCGACCACGCCGATACCGGGCCAAACACCTACAATGACTATCGCTGCATCCGAGTTCCACCTGTCGGACGCGCGCAATTGGGACTACGCGACACAAGCGAGCCCAGCCGTGGCGGCACAGATACGCAGCGTCAGCTGGATCGCTGACGGTTTGCAGACGACTGATGAGTTCAACGCCGCCGAGCGCATGGTCAACATTGGCATCGACGCGCCGGAGACCCTGACCACGTTACTGGACTCGCATGCGTTGAGAGAAGACCTGCGGCCGACTGATCTGCCGGCGCTGCTTTCGCTACAGCGCATGGCGCAGGACAGGCCGGAGCGTCTGGCGCAGCTAACCGGCGCCGCCTGGTTCCGTGACGGCCTGACCGTGGCCGAAGCGGCGATAGTGGCCGTGCTCTACGAACGGTCCAGGTTCCTTTCGTCCGAGTTCGACGACATAGTCGCAAACCCGGGCATTCTCAGCGTCGAACTGGGAGCCACCACCAACCGGAACGGATCTATCATCCCGATCGCCATCGTGCGATCGGGCGCTGCCCCCGCGGGTTCTCCGGTTATGGGCGTAGCCCAAACTGCGGTATCGGTCTTCGAAGGGATGTTCGACGCGCCATTTCCAACTCCGGCAATCGTCATACACGTCACCGACTACGTTGCCGGGGTAGCCGCGGGCACGAATTATCAGACCCACATCACGCTGTTGCCGGAGATTGATTCAAATCTCAAGCCTGATTTTGCTCCGCACGCCGTTTTTCACGAGATCGCCCATTACTACCTTTACGTGCAACCGGTATGGCACGCGGAAGGGGGAGCTGATTTCGCGGCCTCCTACGCGCGGCACGTCACCACCGGCGCTCGGATAGAGTCGACCAACTTTCCTTGCGACGGGGCATCGACCATAAGCGAGCTGGAACTGCGGACGCCCGACAACGCGGAGGAAGCCCAGGCTGATCCGGGCCTGTGGCGGTGCAACTATTACCTCGGCGAGCGGCTGCTGCTGGCTCTGTACCGCAAACTGGGAGAGGAGCGGTTCCTCCAAGGCTGGCGGGAACTGTATGCGCAGATAGCTGAAGATCCGTCCTATCCGTCGCAGCGAGACTTTACGGAAACCGACATCCGCGTGGAGTGGATCCGAGCCGGCGGCATGTTGATGCAGCCGGACCTGGAGCACATCTGGGACCAATGGTACCGGGGTCGGGCCAGCAGAGCGGCGCCAGGAGTACCGGACCCCTCGCCCGTGGATCCTAACCTGCCGGAAATCAACGGGCGCATCGACCAGGCCCACGTAGCACTGACCACCGATGGCCCACCCGTGGAGAGTTTTTCAGCGTCCGATGTTGACGGGTGGGTGTACCTGACGCTGGAGTACACCTACGCCCTGTCCGGCGGCTCGCAGGATCTGACGCTGGAGGTGGTTGAGTATTTCGAAGACGGTTTTACCAACGGGCGCCGTTCCGTGCCGGTAATGGTGCAACCCCAGCACATCGGCGGCACTCAATGGCTGTCGGTGGGCCCGACGGCTCCGCTAGGTTGGGCCCCGGGACGCTATTGGGTTTATGTGTACGAGGGAGGTCGCAAGGTTGCCGAGGTCCAATTTGACGTCGCGCCGTAGTCTTTTGGTGAGCGCACGCGCACCGGAACCAACCGGACGAAGGAAACAGTTGCCATGAACTACAAACGGTTGGGAGCGTCCGCGCTGATGGTCCCGGAGATTGGGTTGGGAACGTGGCGGTACACCGGGGGACCCGAGCCGTTGCGACGGGGGGTCGAACTGGGCGCCAACCTAATCGATACGGCGGAGATGTACCGCACCGAAGCGGCGGTGGGCGAGGCCATAGCCGGCATTCGAGACAAGGTGATCGTGGCGACCAAGGTCCTGGGGAGCAATCTGCGCTACGACGAGGTGCTGAAAGCCGCCGAGAAAAGCCTGCGGTTGCTCGCCGTGGACAAGATCGACCTGTATCAAATTCATTGGCCCAACCCCAGGGTGCCGATTGCGGAGACCATGCGGGCAATGGATCGGCTGGTCTCGGACGGCAGCGTGGAGCACGTGGGCGTCAGCAATTTTTCCGTGGATGAGATGCGGGAAGCCCAGGCGGCGATGCCCAACGTGCCGATCGTGTCCAACCAGATCCTGTACAACCTGCGCCGGCGCAGCGCGGAACGCGACGTGATCCCCTACTGTCGGCGGAACGACATCACGGTCATCGCGTATTCGCCGTTGCACGAAGGAGCGCTGGCTGGCGACCGAGGCGGGCGCATTCGTAGGGCTCTGGGCAGAAATCGCGACAACGAGGTCCTGGAGGAAATCGCCGGAGAGGTCGGGAAAACGGTGGCGCAAATCGCTCTGAACTGGGTTGCGGACCAGGAAGGGGTCATCGCCATCCCGAAATCCAACAGCGTAGACAGAACGGAGGCCAATTGCGCGGCCTCGGGCTGGAGCCTCACGACAGACCAACGCGGGGCTTTGGAGCGGACTTTTCCGATCTAGGCGGGGCCGACATTTCCAGGCGGGGCAAGCATTCGGCGCGGGTCGTCGATCCGATCTGTGCGCTGGGCTCCGGTATGGTACGCTTTGCGGCACGAATCCACCGAACATCCCTGACCCGACCGGAGGTGTACTCAAATGTCTCTGCGTTCCGACCTGAAAAACCGACTGACCGCCGGTGAGACGATAGTCGCGCCGGGCGCCTACGATCCGATGTCGGCCCGAGTAGTGCAATCCCTGGGGTTCGATACCGTGTACGTCGGCGGCTACATGAGCGGCGCCCACCTGGCGGTAACCGAGCCGCTGATGACGCTGACTGAGCAGGTCGACGTGGCCGAGCGAGTGGCGAAATCGGTGCCGCTGCCGGTGATCTGCGACGCCGGAGCCGGCTATGGAGATCCGGTGCACACCATGCACACGGTGCGCGTGTTCGAGCGGGCCGGCATCTGCGGCATTCACATCGAGGACCAGGTGTTCCCCAAACGGGCCTCATATCACGCGGGCCTGGAGCACGTCATTCCCATCGACGAGTTCCTGGAAAAGATGCGGTACGCGGTAGAGGCGCGCAGCGACCCCGACTTTTTGATCATCGGCCGCACGGACTCGTTCACGGCGGTTGAGGGCGACATGGACGATGCCATCCAGCGGGGCAACGCCCTGCGTGATCTGGGCGTGGACGTGGTGATGCCCCGGGGAGTGCGCCAGCGCGAAGACCTGGCGACCTACCGCGCCGGAGTGCCCGACGTGCCGCTGCTGGTCATCGCCGGCACCGACGACATCACCGTGCAGGAATACGAGGAGTTGGGCTACAAGGTCATCATCTACGCCACGACACCGGCCATTGCTGCCGTGCAGGGCATCCAACGGGCGTACACCAGCCTGCGGGACACCGGTCACATCGGTATCGGAGCCGCAGAAGTGGCCCAGCGTCGAGCCGAAGTGGAGGCGCTGATCAGCCTGCCCGAGTACCAGGCGGTGGAAGCGGCCACGACGGAGCGAGAATTCCAGGATCGAGCGCGGCACTGATCGCCCCAGATACGTCTACTGCAACGGCCGGCTTTTCCGAGTTTCGAACGGGAAAGCCGGCCGCTTTCGTTGTCGAACGGTTAAAGATGCCGGGCGCGTCGTCGTCAGGCTCATGTACCATCGCACCACGCGACGCGGCCGTCCACGATAGTCGCCACGGAGCGGACCGTAGGCAACTCGGCGGGCGTAACCGCCATCGGATCCGGTTCCACGACCGCCAAGTCCGCCGGCATACCCGACACGATGCGCCTGGCACCCAAGTGCATGGCTATCGCCGCCGCCACCGTGGGCACCCCGATCCCTCCGACATGGACTCCGTTGGCCGATTGGCGCGACATTGACGCCGCGATAGCCGCCCACGGGTTCGGGTCTACGACCGGCGCGTCGGAACCAAGGGCGACGGGGACTCCCCGGGCGCCAGCGCCCCCACGGGGTAGAGATGCGGCAGCAGGTCGGCGTCGACGGTACGGCGGTATCGCTCGCCGTCGTAGTGCAAAAACCCGGGATTGGCCACCACCATGGCGCCGCTTTGAGCCACCAAGTCCAGAACGTCCGGAGGGCACTCGCCGCAGTGCTCGATGCGGTCTTGAGGCCGGCTGCCGTCGATGGATGTGACGGGCCGAGTTTCCTTGATCGCCAGCGCGGCGGCGACAACGGCGTCCCGCTCCACCGCGTGGATCGCCACCGGAAAACCCAGGTCGTGAGCGTGGGCCACCATCCGGGCCAGTTGGTCGGGATGGGGATGCAAGCGTCCGACCGAAGCGGTAAGCATAATCTTGGCGTGGCCAACTGTCAGCAGACCGGCGCTTGAGGTGGAACCATAGCCGAGGCCAGCCTCGCGCATTTCTTCCAAGTGATCCCCACCGGCCATCATGGTCAAACGCAACGGAAAGGCTCCCGAACCGGTCGCCGCCTCAAAATAACGCCAACGGTCCGGGCCATTGTCCGGTCCGGCATCTGTGGCGCCGGTTATTCCATAGGCGAGCATCCGCTGGCCGACATCCCGTAGAGCGTCCTCTGATGCGCCTGGAGAGCGGTGATCGGGTTCGCCCGCGCGCCGGCGCAGCCAGCCGGACATTTCCAGCAACAGGCCGGTCGGTTCGCCGTCGTGATCCCGGACAATCACGCCTCCAGGCGGGTTTGGGGTCTGACGGTCGATTCCGACCATGGCCAACGCGCGGCTGTTCAGCACGCAGGCGTGGCCGGAACGATGCTCCACGCGCACGGGCCGCGCCGTGGAAACCCGGTCAAGGTCACGACGGTCCAAATGCCGTCCCAAACCGACCGGCGAGTCGTCGTAGCCGTAGCCGCGAACCCAGCGGTCCGAAGACGCGGCGGCCCGGCGCAACGCATCGACGATCGCGTCGACATCTCCGGTCGCAGCAGGTCGGCAATCGACACGCAAGCTGGCAGCGGCCGAAGCCAACAGGTGGCAATGGGCGTCGACGATGCCCGGGATGACCGCGCGGCCGGCGCAGTCCAGTATTGTCGTGTGCTTCGTGGCCAACCGACGGATTTCAGCGTCGCGGCCGACGGCAAGGACCCTGCCGCCGGCCACTGCCAGCGCGGTCGGGCTGCCCTCGCCAGCGAGGATCCTACCGTTGAGCAAAACGATGTCGGCAGAAGGGGTCGCAGAAGGGGTCATTGGCGCACGGAGGGACAGCGAGTCAAGCAGGATCTTCCATTCGCGGTGCTATAATCGCGTCCGACCAAGCCTGAAACCGGGATGCGGACGCATCGGGAGCAACATTATGCCGGAACTGGAAATCATCATGGGCGGCTACTCGATCAACACGGACCAGACCCGATTGGGACTGTGCACCGTCACGCTGATTCGCGGTGAGGTGCTTTCCATTGTGGACGTGGCGCATTTCGGCCGCCGCAACATGCTGGTTGACGAGCTCGCCGCGCATGGCATTTCCACGGATGATATCGGAAGGGTGATCCTGACTCACGCCCACTGGGACCACTCCCAGAATACCGATCTGTTCCCCAACGCGGAAATCGTGATCCACGCCGATGAGTTGGAATATAGCCGCAACCCCCGGGTTGGCGACCTGGCTACCGCGAGGTATTTCGCGGACACCCTACTGAATCAGAAGGTGAACGCGGTCAGCGGCGAAACGGAACTGGAGCCCGGAGTCCGCATCATCGAAACCCCGGGACACACTCGCGGGCACATCAGCGTGGTGGTCGAGACAGATGCCGGCGCGGTGTGCATTGGCGGCGACGCCATGTCGGACGCGGGAGCCATCGGCAGGGGAGCGCCAGCGATCATCTTCTGGAGCGAGGCCGACGCCAGGGCCAGTATCCAGAAGATCGTTGCGGCGGCCAACACCATTTATCCCGGCCACGACCGGCCGTTCCGGGTGGAACCCAACGGCGACATCACCTATCTGTCCGAATCGCAGACGCTGGAGGTCAGCGGTGTGCTGCACTACGCGAGCGGCGCGGTTACCGTGAAACTCGGGCGAGCGGACCACCCCGGCACCACGGTGATGCCCAGCGCCATCGACTACCAGGGCGGGGGACAAAGCCACCCGGGTCACTGCTAGACGCGCCGCAAGGCGACCGCGCTGAAGTCCGTAGCGGCCCAGCCGGGCAGCGGGAGGCAGGTCATGCGGGCGGTGGTATTCGACTGGGATCTGACCCTGTGGAACAGTTGGGGAATCCATCTGGGGCTGATGGAGAGCACCGCAACGGAATTGGGCATGAAGCCGCCCACCGCCGAGGCGGTCGCCGCGGAGTTTCATCGACCGTTTCACCAACACCTCCTGTGGTTTTTCGGCAGCGATCCGGAAGCACCGGACGAATTGGAAGGCATCCTCCCCGTTTACCTGAAGCATTATCACGCGATTGACGGACATCGCCGTTACCTGTATCCGGGGGTTGCCACGCTACTGAACGCGTTCCGCCGACGCGGGATACGCGTGGGCATATTATCGGACAAGATCCCATACTTCGGGGAGCTGGAACTGAGAACTGTCAGGGCTTGCCCCGCTGGTCGAATACGCCAACTTCAAGACCGACGCGCGTCCCTACAAGCCGGCGCCCGACGGGCTGATCGATGTTCTGGAGACGATGGGCGTCGATCCGGGCGACGCCATGTACGTGGGAGATGGGCCGCAGGACATCGCGTGCGCCCGCAGCGTCGGAGCGACGTCCGTTGCCGCGCTGTGGGCCACCATCGACCAGGAAGCGATACTGGCGGAGCAACCGACGCACCGAGTTTACCGTCCTCACCAGGTGATGGCCGTGGTTGCCGAAGCGAACGGATACGGAGGTCCCGAGCCGTGGCTGCGGCATCTGCCATGGCCGTGGCGTCCGGACGCCGACGACCCCGACGACGATCAGGACACCGGCAGCGGGGAACTCGCGGACGTCAGCAGGGGCACGGATAGCAACTCGCCGCTACTATCCTGGCCCCTGGCGAACCGGTGGCGGGGGCGTGCCGGAGACCTGGCTTTACCGCCGGGTGAGGCCAATCCGATCGCGCCGCTCAGGCTACAGACCGGGCCGGGCGACAATAGTTGACGGCTGCATTGGAATTGCCGTTATCCTTTTGTGGCGGGCAGGTTGTGGCGGGCAGGCGTAACAGACGGGCGTGGCGGGCAGACGTGAATGAAAGGCGCGTTGCCAGCGTTGGTGTTGCTTGTATAATGGCGGCACCCGTCGCGCCACCGATGACGGCGGTATCGCCTCGATCAGTGGCGGCGACACCAGAAATGGGAGCCCACCCCAATGAAGAACAAGGTTTTCTCCGATTTCGACTCGGCTGTAGCCGACATGAAAGACGGCATGACGTTCATGTCGCCAGGTTTTGGAAACGTGGGCCTGGCCCGCAACCTTCTGGCCGCAGTACACCGGCTGGGCATCAAAGACCTGACGGGCATCTCCAACAACGCTGGTTCAATGGACGACCGGGTGGACGTGGGAACGTTGGTCGAAGCGGGTCAGGTCAAGAAGATGATCTGCGCGTTTACGGCACCGACGCACCCGTCGCAGATCACGCCGTTCGTGCAGATGTACAACGATGGCGTGCTGGACGCGGAACTGGTTCCGCAGGGCACTTTGGCCGAGCGCATGCGAGCGGCCGGGGCCGGGATCGGGGCCTTTTACACGCCGGCCAGCGTGGGGACCGAACTGGCGGAAGGCAAGGAGCACCGGGAGATCAACGGCCGGACCTACGTGTTGGAGTTTCCGTTGCCGGCGGATTTCGCGCTGATCCGCGCGTACCGGGCCGACACCTTTGGAAACCTCCAGTTCCGCCTGACCCAGCGCAACTTCAACCCCCTCATGGCGATGGCGGCGGACGTCACGGTCGTCGAAGTTGAGGACAGCATCGTGGAACCCGGGGAGATCGACCCGGATTGCGTCCACGTGCCGGGTGTTTATGTTGACCGACTGGTGAAGATTCCCGATGATGGCATTTGGGACTGAGACCGGTCTCTCACCACCGGGTTAACCCGGCGCCGGTGACGCCACAACGATCATAAGGAGTGAAACGATGACTACCGCCGACAAGCCCCGTCTCTCGCGGCAGACCATGTGCGACCGGCTGGCGATGGAATTCCAGGACGGTTGGATCGTGAATCTAGGCGTGGGTATGCCCACGCTGTGTTCCAACTACCTGGAATGCGAGCCCGACAAAGAGATCATCTTCCACTCGGAAAACGGGGTTATCGGCTTTGGGCCCCTGGCCCCGGCGGGCGAGGAGGACAGGCACCTGGTCAACGCCGGCGGCCAGAACGTGGTCGCCCTGCCCGGTATGGCCATCGTGCATCACGCCGATTCGTTCGGGCTGATCAGGAAGGGAATGGTGGACGTGACGGTGATGGGGGCGTACGAGGTATCCGAAAACGGCGATTTTGCCAACTGGCGCATACCCGTGCGCAAAGGCGGCGGCATCGGCGGCGCAATGGACCTGGCCGCCTGCGCCAAGCGGGTGTTCATCGCGATGGAGCACAACCAGCGGAATGGCGCGCCTCGCGTTCTCAAGCAATGCAGCCTGCCCATCACCGCGCCCGGCGCAGTCAAGCTTCTGGCGACAGACTTGGGATTGTTCGAGATCACCGAGGCGGGGTTTGTTCTGCGCGAGAACGCGCCGGGATGGTCGCCGGAGGATATCCAGGAGCAGACGGAGGCTGAGTTGATCATCGCCGACGACCTGCGGGAGATGCGGGTGCGGCCGGCGTAGGCGGGCTTCCGCTCGAAATGGGTTCATAAAGGCGGCGTCGAAATGGCGCCGCCTCTTTCATTCAGCAGGGAACCAACGCCGGAGAGTGGTTCGGAATTTCTGAAAGGCGCGGTCTTGGCAGCGGGCAAGGCCAATGGTGCGGGCAAGGTCGGCGAATAGTTTTGAGGATCGGGGTCGTTGCTGTTGGTACAATACCGATTCGATGGCAGCTTTCGGATCCAGTGGTTTTGGAGACCCGGGCCGCAGGTGCCCTCGTTCGATGAGCCATTCTCGAACCCCCTGAGTTTGTGACCAACTCACTGCCATCTCGATTTGCCTGAACGACGCACCGAACAACCAAGATTCCAGCTCAGGTTCAATAACTATGAACGCAATGCGGTCCCGGTCCCAGCCTCGGTTAGCGAACTCGGTCTCCAATTTGGTTTCCAAATCGCTGGGAGAAAGGTGGTGTTCGCCGCAGCCATCGAAATCGAAAATCACTATTGCCTTGTCATGGGAGATCCGACGTGAGTCGAGCACGCTCCCGGCATCCGTCCGACAGCCAGGGTCCTGGTTGGGGTGACTCACCAAATCCACTGAGAACCCGCTTATCGCGAGGGATTGGCAACGGTAGTGCAGTAGCGCTTCGACTGTATGGCGTATCTGTGAATCAGCTGTCACCACAATCAGGTCTTTGGCAACGCCTCGCACAATCAAGCGAGTATCCCGGACGCAAAGAACGTTCCCAGGTCCGTCTCGTGTTGCCAATCGCGCAAATAAGGATGTGATGGGCCCGGGATGATGTCCGTGACATCTTCGGCGGTTTTGCCGAAACAGAACAGCTTGTCGACGTCTGCAACTGTAACAAAGAGAGGAGAATGACTGGCCAGCAGCACCTGGGCGTCATACACGGAGGACAGCGAATTGTACAATTCCTCCAACACGCCCGGATGGATGCCGTTTTCCGGTTCTTCAACCATGTACAGGCCGTTGGCCTCGGGCAGGTAGGCCAGCATAGTCAGCGCCAACAGGCGCAACGTGCCGTCCGACACTCTCCATGACGGTACCTCGAGCCCGTTCCTGTAGTGCACCATCAGGTACCGATGTGCATCGTCTTCGCGACGTAACGTGCGCACGAATTCAAAACCATTCAAAGCGCATTGAACGTGGCCCATCCACCATTTCCACCGCTCCGGCGCGGCAAGAAGCAGGGCATCTACTACCCAGGGCACATTGGAACCATCGTGACGGAACTCGGTGCCGAGCCCGGGCGGGCTAGCCTGCCGCAGCAAAGCACTGTTCAGTGCAATCGTAATCACCTTGTCACGCAGGTAGGTCATTGCGCGAGTGGATGCAGGAAACTCGTTGCCCCGATCAGGCAGGAAAGTCATCATCGACCGGTCAGCACTCAAGTTGAAGCCGGCGCTCCAATTGATGCTACCGGTTTTTTCAACGGTTTCAACGCTGAACCTGCTGAGGGTCGCCTGATCTCTCCGAAACACGTTCCTCCGTCCACGGGCCACACGGCGCGTCATGATCGTCGGCGGCGGATCCATCGGCGAAGGGAAGAAGGAAAGTTGCCGGGTGCGATATCGGGTGTCAGGATGCAGATCCCCTCGTTCTGCAAGCAGACTCACCCGCCCAGTTTCGAGGTCAATACCCACCGCCATTTCGTAGCGGAAAATGGTGTAACCCCGCTCAGCAGGCAGCATTTCACGCACCTCGTCCGGCAGAGCGAACTCCAGCGCAATTTCAAACCGCTGATCCTCTGGAGCATCAGGACGGTTCCAAACCAAATCGGCAAAGTTGGACGCGCGTATTCTCCACGCTGACTCCACCCCGTCGCGCAGCACGTCGGAAACGAACTTGATGGCATCCATCAGCGTGCTCTTACCGGTGGCGTTGGGGCCGATGAGCACGTGGAACCGATCCATCGGCACGTCCACGTACCGAAGGCAACCGTAGTTCAGCACCTGTATCCGATTGATAATCATCGGGCGCCGTTCCTAGCGCAAAGATAGATGCGCGGCCCTTATGGCTCCATTATAGGATACGGTTCAGGGCTGAGTGCTTTCGTGGGTCCAGGTCTTTGCCGGCGAGAGCGGGATGGTCGGGGCTGTAGCGGTGGCAGCGGAAGGTGGCGTTGGTATATTCCGTGCCGCCGGCGCCGCCAGCAGCGTCGCTGTAGAGGAAGAAGGGGTTGATGTACTCCCAGACGACCTCGCCACGGGGGGTGACCTCGAACATTCGACCCGGTGCGCCCTCGCAGATCAAGGTGTTGCCGTTGGGCTGCCGCTCGGCGCTGCTGATGTTATAGCTGTAGAAGGAGATGGCCGGAGCGCCCTGGTACTGCCAGTGGATCTCGTTGGTCGCAGGGTCAACCTCGACGATGCGCGAGTAGCTGGCGCCGCGGCGGTGGCCGCCATTGTCGAAGATCAGCACGCGCCCGTTGTCCAGCCAGGTGGGATGGTGCTGGTGGTAGATCTCCCCAGGGCCCCACTTCCACTTGAAGGCTCCGGTGGTCCGATCGACGATGCCCACGGTGCTGGTGAGGCGGTAGCTGACCAGCAGGTCGCCGTCGGGGGTCACGTTCAGGCTGTTGCCGTGGGTCCATTCACGGCGCGCCTCGAGCGGGCAGATTACATCCTCTGTCAGGTCAAGATGCTCCCACGACCGCCATTCCCAGACGGTAGCGCCATCCGGTGTGACCTCGCGAACGACGTCTCCCAGCATGCCAGGGGCGAAATCCACATCGAAGCCGCCCTGCACCTGGGCTACCAGGTCCCCGGGTATCGGATCCCACATAAGGAGTAAAGTGTTGCCGTTGGGCAACCGCTCGTAATCATGGTGGAGCGTGTTATCCCGGTAGGACCAGACTAGGTTGCTGTCCCAGTCGAGTTCGATGATGCTGGCCGATGAGCCGCCAACCGTCTCGACACCGCCAGCATCTTCCGGGGGAAGGGTGCGGCAGAGCAGGTTGCCGTTGTCCAACAGGTAGGAGTAGTGGATGCCCTCAGGGGAATGCCAACGGTGAACGACGTTGCCTTCCATATCGATGAGGTAGGCGTCCTGGCCGCCGCGGGTCGTCGAGAAAAGGGTATAGCCCCGGTAGCACGCCGCCGGAGTGTGGTGGATCAGCCCGACCGGATGGTGAATTGACCAGCCCATTGGTTGCCCTCCGCAAAGTCGATTAGAGCGCGATTATATCAGGGGCTCCGACGTAACCCGGCGACGCGCAAGTTATACTGCGGAGGCTGTTTACCGCCGCCGAACGCCGCGACCAAGACCGCGTTCGGCGGCACTACCACGCTCCAGAGGTAATTGCATTCGCCGTGTGGATCATCCTGGCTATATGTAGCGCCGCTGCGCTCGGCCTGGCAAACATTGCCCACAAAAGGCTACTGGACAACTACCTCGACGGGGTTGGCGCGCTGGGTGCCGGGTCGATCGTTACGCGCGCGGCCTGCGCGGTGTCGGTCCTGATCGCGGTGGGTTGGCCGGTTGCAGCGCCGGCGGGAGCGGTTGTCATCGGGCTGTTGTCGGGCGTGAGCCTGGGGACGGGCCTGCTGCTCCTGTTCCTGGGCCTCAAGATGGGAGAAGCATCGCGGGCAGTGGCCGTGAGTCAGACCAACCCGATACTGGTGGCGCTGCTGGCGTTGGCGGTGTTGGGGGAAACAATCACGCCGGTGCAGTGGGCGGCGATCACGCTGGTTGTCGGGGGCGTGGGTCTGGTTTCGGTCGAGAAATTAGGCCGAGGACTGCTGAGACTGACGCCCGGGCTGACCGCGCTGGTGGGCAGCTCGATCACGCTGGGACTGGCGTTTTTCCTGGCCAAGCTGGTGCTGGCCGACCTGACGCCGTGGGAAGTGTTTGGGCTTCAAGAACTGGGAATGGTGCCGGCGTTTGCGGTTTTCGGACGGCCACAGAACTGGCGCCGGCTATGGAATGGACTGCGTTCCGGACCGGCGCTCACGACCTTCGTAATCGGTGAGGGCCTGCTGCCGCAGCTGGCGATAGTGCTGTTCCTCTGGTCGTTCAATCTTGGACCGGTGTCATTGGCGTCGGCGATACTGGCCACGCGTCCGCTGTTCGTGTTCGTGGTGGGCACGTTGCTGAGCTGGAGGACGTTCGGGATGATGCAAGAATCCCTGCAGCCCGCAGCATTGGCGACCAAAGGCGTAGCAATTGCGATGATTGTCGTAGGGACGACCATGCTGGCGGCCCTGTAACCCGCACCTGGCCCGGGCAGCGGCCGCGCCAGGACGTGAGCCTGATTGCGCGCCCGGCATAGATGGGGACGACTAGCCGGCCGGGGCGGATTCCACCGACGGATTGGGCCGGAACTTCAGCGTCCAAAAATGGACCACCCCCACGGTGACAAATATCGCCACGCAGTACCAGATGGTCGACCACGAAATGTCGAAAATCGCCTTGGCGACTATTATCGACGCGATGTAGATGAAGGCGAGCGTGACCGTCGTGCTGCGGGTGGTCAACAGGATCACCAGGGCGGGCAAGCTCATGAGCAATACGGGGCCCGTGAGCACCGCGCCGGTCACGCCAAGGGCGGTTGCCGCACCGCGGCCGCCCCGGAAGCGGAGCCATACCGGCCAGATATGACCAGCCATGGCGGATGCGCCAGCAAGAATTCCGGGGCCGGATAGCTCGGGCAGGACGTCGGCCGATTCCGGCGCGTCCGTGGAAATCAGACCTACGAGAATATTGATGGCGAAGACCGGAGCAGCACCCTTGGCGATATCGACCGCGCCAACACCAGCGCCCCACCAACGTCCATGGATGCGTCCGATGTTGCCGGCCCCAACATTGCCATCGCCCAGTTCGCGGATGTCGGTCGCCCTTTGGGCAGCACAGCGGGCAGCCAGATACGCCGTAGGCAGGCTGCCCACCAAATAGCCGAAAAGGAGCGCTGCGCCGGACAGCCACAGCATTGCACGACCTCCGACCTCGCGACGCCCGCGTTGATCACATGATCAGGTGGCTGCTATGGGCTGCCTAACCTGGGTGCACCAGTGCAGATACTTGGGATTGTTGCCAACCACGATATCGAAGTACATGCGTTGCAACTGGGAGGTGATCGGGCCGGGTTGGCCGTCAGCGATGGGTCGGCAGTCAAGCTCAATAACCGGCGTCAGGTGGGCGGCCGTTCCACTCAGGAACACTTCATCGGCAAGGTAGAGCTCGCTACGGTCGATGGTGCGCGCCTGCACCTCCATCCCAAGCTCGGCGCCGGCCAACTGCATAATGGTGTCGCGGGTGATCCCGCCAAGGACATTGTCCTCCAGCGGAGGCGTATAGATGATCCCTTTCTTGACCATGAAGATGTTCTCGCCGGAACCTTCGGACACATGCCCGTCATGGTTGAGCAAAATGGCCTCGTCGAACCCGGCGATGGTGGCCTCGGTCTTCGCCAGGATGCTGTTGATATAGATGCCGCAGGCTTTGATGCGAGCCGGGATCATGGGATCATCGACCCGGCGCCAGGACGAAGTGCAACAGCGCAGCCGATCGCTTCCCAGATAATTGCCGAAAGGCACGGTGATCAGGGTGAAGTCCGACGACAGTTCCTGGAGCTTCAGGTTGGCGACCAATTCCTCACTCTTGTAAGCGAGGGGTCGGATATATATGTCGGAAACGTGGCGGTTGCGCTCGACCAAATCGACCGTGATGTTGCAAAGGTCTTCCACCGAGTAGGGGATGTCCAACATCAGGATGCGGCAGCCGTCAATCAGGCGCTCGTAATGCTCCCGCATGCGAAAGATGTTAATCGCGCCCTGGTCGGCATTCCAGTTGCCGCGGATCCCCTCGAATACGCCGGTTCCATAATGGAGGGCGTGGGTCATTACGCTTACCTTGGCCTCGCTGGCTGGTACGAACTGCCCGCGGAAAAACACTTGCAGTTGGTCGGAATTGAAGGAAGCCTGGCCATTGGTAGTCACGTAATGCCCCCTTTTGAGCAGAGAATTCGCGGTATTATACCGTTGACCGCCGAATGTTGCCAATCGACCTCATGGGCGTCGGGAGGTGAAACCAATACCCGGCGGACCAAGACCGGGCGCCGGCACCTTCACGCGTTTTGGGTCTTCTCCGTAAGCCGGCCCGGCCGAGCGGCCGCGATAAGGTCATGCCGAGACAGGTAATCCATGATGGTATCGATACATTGACCGGGAGAGCGCCCGGTAGTGTTGATAGTGATCTCGGGTTCCACTGGTCGTTCGAATGGCGAGTCGATACCCGTGAAATTGACGATCTCGCCGGCGCGGGCGCGACGGTAGAGACCCTTGTTATCGCGTTGTTCGCAAAGCGATAGGGGCGTATCGACAAACACTTCGACGAATTTCCCGGCGGGAACCAGGCTCCGTGCGAAGTCTCTTTCCGCCTTGAACGGTGAGATGCAGGCAGCGAGGGTGATGAGGCCGGCGTCATACATCAGGCTCGCGACCTCGGCCATGCGCCGCACGTTTTCGTGGCGCGCCGCGACGCTGAAATCCAAATCCCGATTGAGGCCGTGGCGGAGATTGTCGCCGTCCAGCACGTAGGCCAGCAAGCCGCCGTCGTACAGACGCTTGGCCAGGCAATTGGCCAGCGTGGTCTTGCCGGCGCCCGATAACCCCGTGAACCAGAGGACCGACGGTTCCTGATTGAGCAGCGCGGTCCGGTCGAGGCGGGATATGGCGTAGTGCTGCCAAAACAATTCAGAGTGATTGTTCATGTCGCACACCGCGGGTCAGTGATCGCGAGCGATTATATCGCAGACCATTAAGTCGCTTCCCTCCCGTGCGTTGACGGGCACTCATGCGTTGACGGGCACTCATGCGCGGACAAGCCATTGTTGCATGGGGACCACGGCGACATGGTTGGCGGAGGGGCCATCGTCGAGGTGACGGGATTGCCTCGTGGTTTCGGTTCACGCAGTGACGAGCCGGGTAGTCGCGAGAACGAACGCGCGGTTGGAACGATTCCTCGATTGTGATAGAATTCTCAAGGCATACGCCAAAAACACGCTCCATTTGGAGGAGAAACATGGAAGGAAAGGTTCAGATCGAGATTACCTACTGCGTGCCTTGACAGCACCACGCTACCGCCACGTGGATGGCGAACGAGTTTTTCCGGGCCTACGGCGGCGACGCCGCGATCACGATCTCCCCGCGCGGTCAGAGCATCATGGAAGTGTTCGTGGACGGCGAGAAGATCTTTGACCGGAAGGCCGAGGGCAACATCTACCCCGACTTGGGCCGCGTCCGCAAGATGAAGGAAGTCATTTCCGCCAGGATCGCCAACGCCGATCTGGCCGTTGCCGCTGACAACTAGTCCGGCAAACCAAGCGGAATTTGTGACCGCCGCCCAATTGGGCGGCGGTCGTTTTTTTGCGTCAGCCTGGGTCAACCCATCTCAGCGCAGGCGAGTTTGACGACGTTTTGTTCTGGGAGCAATGGGTTCACCCGTGCCCAAACCGCAGCGGCCACATCATCAATCGAGTGATTCCCTTCCACCAGGCACCAAGTGCCCGATTTGTCTTCTTGTTCGTGGAACCCTTGGCGAACGGCCTTGTGGAAAGCTATTTCTTCATCTTCAAAACGGTCGGCGGCATCGGCCATGAGCAGAGGGAGTTGGAGCTGACGGCTGTTGACACGACCTAATCCCACCAGGGGGTCGATATCCAGAAGGATGGTCATGTCAGGATAAAGGCCACCGGTGGCGGCGTCATTGAGCCACCGGATTTGCTCCAGGTCCATTCCGCGGCCGTGCCCCTGGTAGGCCACGGTGGAGCCGGCGAAACGGTCGGCGATGACAATGGCGCCGTCGTCCAACAGAGGTCGGATCCTTTCGGTCACCAGCTGAGCGCGCGAGGCCTCGAAGAGCAGCAGTTCAGCCAGCGGAACAATGGGCTTTTTGGCGACGAGGTAGCTTCGCAGGTAGTCCCCCAATTTGGTTGAACCGGGCTCGCGCACGAGCGCCGCGTGGTAACCATCCGCAAGGAGAGCGGATTCCAGCGCGGCAGCCTGTGTGGACTTGCCGGCGCCCTCGCCTCCCTCGAACGCTATGAACAAGCCGGGCGTAGACATCGATCTCAGCTTGCCTTCTAAATTGCTAACGAGAGAGTCTGATCCGTAATCCGACGACCGATGGCCGCACGAGGACCGAGGCCGCCGCTACGGGCGGTAGATGAGCACGCCGCGCTGGGGGTCACGGCCGCGGCTGGTGGACGCGAGGTTGAACTCCTCGACGAGCATGTGCTGCAAGCGGCGGATGTAGGGACGTTGAGGGCCGAGCTGCACGCTGAATTCGCCGTCCAGCACCCGCTGGGCAGCGTCCTCGACCTCGGCACGAGCCGCGTTCATGGCGTCGGCGTTGCCCTCCTCTCTGTCCTCGTGGCGGCCGCGATGCGGAGCCAGGTCTATGCCCTGATCGCGGGCCACGGAAGTCAAGAACTCGGACACCTGGGGTACGGTGTTCTTGCGTAGGACATACACCGGCACATTGTTGCTCTCGGCGATGCGCACCAACTGGCTGCCCCGGCGGTAATGGTTCTTGGTGGTGAGCAGGTGGCTGGCGCGGCGGAGTTCGCTGACGATTTCGGCGGTGGCCTCACGCTCGGCCAGGGCTGCCTCGACCTTGTCGCGGCTGACGCCGAAAAGAAATATCCGGGCGTCCAGCCTGCGGCTGGTGGAACCGCCGGTGTCGGGTTCGTCGCGGAAGGACTCTGCCGGATAACTGTCGTACTCAGTTTCCCCGTTGTTGGACCGCTTCCGACCGCGCCGGCCGCGGATGTCGTTTGCCGACCACGGGGTCTGCCCGACCTCGCTCGGGCGGGAGGCGGCGGTCCGGGACACATTGCCCTCGGTGTCCATGTGGCGCACTTCGGGTTCGACGGGATATCCGCGAAGCCACTGGTCAACGACCTGGGCGACGTCCTCGTGGACCAACACCTCGTCCCAGTCGCGGATTTCAACCACGACGTCGAAGGTGGGAGGGGCCTTGCGTTCGAGGACCGTTTTCTGGGTGCCGCGGAACCGGGCCTCCTGGTCGCCCAGAGTTACGGTCTGCACGCCGCCAACCAGGTCTGACAGCGTGGGGTTCATGATCAGGTTATCGAGAGTGTTGCCGTGAGCGGTGGCTACCAATTGGACGCCGCGCTCCGCGATGGTGCGAGCGGCGCTGGCTTCCTGGGTGGTGCCCATCTCGTCGATGATGATGACCTGGGGCATGTGGTTTTCCACCGCCTCGATCATCACGCCATGTTGTTCGGTGGGGGTCGGAACCTGCATGCGGCGGGAATGGCCAATGGCGGGGTGCGGAATGTCGCCGTCGCCGGCAATTTCGTTGGAGGTGTCGACGATGATGACGCGTTTGCGGGCTTCGTCGGCGAGGACACGGGCAACCTCGCGGAGCATGGTCGTCTTGCCGACGCCGGGGCGACCCAGGAGCAGGATGTTCTGGCCGCTGTAGGCCAGGTCCTCAATGATCTTGATGGTGCCGAAAACGGCGCGACCAACACGACAGGTTATGCCAACCACGTTGCCGCCGCGGTTGCGGATCGCCGAGATCCGATGCAGGGTTCGCTCCATACCGGCGCGGTTATCGTCGCCGAATTTGCCGATGCCGGAGACCACGTATTGCAGGTCTTCCCGACTCACCAAGTCATCCCCCAGATGTACATCGCCGTGGGAGAACCGGGCTTCAGGCAGGCGGCCCAAGTCGAGGACAACTTCTAACAGGTCATCAATTGCTTCCTGTTCCCGAAGTTTCCGGGTCACATGCTCCGGGAGGATCGCCAACAGTTGCTGCAATTCATCATGGGCCAGCTGTTCGACCGTTACCAACTATGCCTCCTGGTGGGGTTACGTATTGCCGCGGGACTTGGGTCGGCGCTCGGGATGATTGGTTATGAGGGGCGCAAACGGCTAGCGGACACGGGGAGTATCGATGAGGGGCGCTTCCGGGTCAAAGGGAGGCCCGCCGGCGAGGGAAACGAAGTAGCGGTGAATGCGGGCATCGGCGGTGAGCTCGGGGTGGAATGACGTGGCCATCATCTTGCCCTGCTGCACCGCAACCGGCCGGCCGTCGGGAAGGGAGGCAAGAACGTCCACGGCGTCACCAACCCGCGTGATAACCGGAGCACGGATGAAAATCGCGTGATATTCGCGATCACCCAGCCCCTGGATGAGCAGGTTTTGCTCGAAGGAATCGACCTGGCGTCCGAAAGCGTTGCGCTGGACCCCAACGTCCATGAGGCCCATGGGCACTGGGTCCTCCTCGGTGATTTCATTGGCCAGCATGATCATGCCGGCGCACGTCCCCCACACCGCTTGGCCCCGGGCAGCCAGTTCGGCAACCGGGTCGCGGAGATCATACAGCGACATGAGACGACTGAGGGTGGTGCTCTCGCCTCCCGGTATGATGAGGCCATCCAACCCGTCGAGGTGCTTCGGCAAACGCACCTCGGTGGCCGTGACGCCCACGCTGCGGAGCACATGGGAGTGCTCCGCGAAATCACCTTGAACTGCCAGGACGCCGATGTTCAACTGAACGAACAGCCTCTCTGCCGTAAGCCCGATGCGAATGTCGTGGGAAAAGCCTGATCAGACGCTGCGGGTGGCGAGGAGTTCCTCATCGGACAGCTCGCGAACGCTGCGGCCGACCATGGGCTCGCCGAGGTCCTTGGACACGTCGGCCAGGATGTCGGGGTCGTTGTAGTGAGTTACCGCCTGGACAATAGCGTGACCGCGGCGGACCGGGTCGCCGGACTTGAAGATGCCGGAGCCCACGAAGACTCCATCGGCTCCCAACTGCATCATGAGAGCGGCATCAGCCGGGGTAGCCACCCCGCCGGCGGCGAAGTTGACCACGGGCATGCGGCCTTCTTCCCTGGTCTGCATGAGAAGGTCAAGGCTCACGCGCATGTCCCGGGCTTCGACGACGAGCTCATCGTCGGGGAGGTTCCGCAGCTTGCGGATGGCGTCCTGGACGGCGCGCATGTGGCGGACGGCTTCTACGACGTCGCCGGTACCGGCTTCGCCCTTGGTGCGGATCATGGTGGCGCCTTCGGAAATACGGCGCAGGGCCTCGCCGAGGTCGCGACAACCGCAGACGAAGGGGACGGTAAAGTCATGCTTCCAGACGTGGTGCTGCTCGTCGGCCGGGGTAAGGACTTCCGACTCGTCCACGTAGTCGACGCCCATGGCCTGGAGGATCTGGGCTTCGACGAAGTGACCGATGCGGCACTTGGCCATGACCGGTATGGATACGGCGTCGATGATCGCCGCAATCATGGATGGGTCGCTCATCCGCGCGACACCGCCATCGGCCCGGATGTCCGCAGGCACCCTTTCCAGGGCCATCACTGCGACCGCGCCGGCTTCCTGGGCAATGCGGGCCTGGTCGGCCGTGACCACGTCCATGATGACGCCACCCTTGAGCATCTGGGCGTGGCCGGATTTGACGGTAAAAGTACCGGTTAGGACGTCAGCAACCATGTGCGCGCCTCCTCAATGACAAAACTAATAGTGAAACCATTATAGCCGTCGCCGCCGGGCCAATCAAATGCCGCGATGCGGCGTAACGGTCCGCACCGATGGGTCTGCCAAGCGGGAGCGCGCGTTCCGAGGCAGGCATCCGGCAAAGTAGGACGCAGGCCAGCAAAGTTGGACGCGGGCCGGCGGCGTGGGCGTCAGGTTCCGCAGGCAACGGTTGTCGCCGTCACGTTGCGTTCGTTGATGTCGAGGCTACTCAACTCTGGCCGCGGGACTGTTGCAGAATGACGGTTTCACCCACGCGCAAGCGCAGCCAGGGCGGCGCGAGCGGCGGCAACTTCGGCGGCGTTCTTGCTCGAGCCGGCGCCGGATCCGAGGATTTCCTCCCCGGTGGCGACCTCAACGTCGAAACTGGGCTGGTGAGAGGGACCGGAGGACGCCAACACGCGGTAGACGGGGGTGGGCTTTCCCTGGCCCTGGAGAAGCTCCTGGAGTTCGGCCTTGGGATTGTCTGGGCGCCAGCCGGGTTGGCATGCCGCTTCGATGGGGGCGGACAGGGCGCGCAGGACGAAATCGCAGGTGGCCGCATAGCCCTGGTCTAGGTACACCGCGGCGATGACGGATTCCATCACGTCGCCCAGGACTGCGTCGCCGCTTCGCCCTCCCGAAGCCTCGAAGCCTCGGCCTAACAGGACATATTGGGCGAGGCTCAGATCCCGGGCGGCGGCGGCAAGGGCGCGCTGGCTGAGGAGAGCGGTCCAGCGCCGGGTGAGGCCGCCTTCGTCACATTCGGGCAGGCGGCGGAAAAGTTCCTCGCTCACGATGAGGCGCACGATAACGTCCCCAAGGAACTCAAGGCGCTCGTAGGAATCGGTGTCCGAGCCGCCGGTCTCGTTGACATAGGAACGGTGGGTGAGGGCCTGAATGAGCAAGCCCCGGTCCTGAAAGGTCAGGCCCAGGGCTTGTTCCAGTTCGGCGACGGGGCAATGTCCGCCGGGCGAACTCAACCGCTTTGGAGCGCCGTTATCCGCGCACACCCTCATAGGGCCACGGCGGGGACGGACGCTTGATCTCGCCGACATGCTTGTGGTCGGCCATCATCTCGACCAGGTTGTCGTAGATTGGGCCGGACTCGTCGTCGGACGGGATAAACATCTTCACGAAGGCGGAGTTGCCGTTGGGGAAGACGTAGAGGGGCACGCCAAAGGCGCCGTGGACCTCGACGGCCTCGGTATGGCTCTCACCGATCTCGCGGAGAACGTCCGGGTCGGCCAGGTCCTCGGCAAACCGGCCCATATCGACACCGGAGGCCTCGGCCACCGCGTTGATGGCGTCGGCATCGGTCAGGTCGATGCGGTCCTCGTGCCGGGCCCGGAGCAGGTTGATAAAGAATTTGTCGAAGATCTCCTGGCCCTGGCGCTGAGCGGAGATGCCGGCGCGCAGCTCGAGCAGCGTGTTGTCGGAGTCATCCTGCTCCCAGAACTTGAAACCGTCGTCGTTGTTGTTGTCGTGATTCACCTGAACCAGCGAGAAAGGCTTCAGATCCACGGCGAGTTCGTGGTCGGTATTCTCGCGTACTTTCGTCCACCACATGGCAGCGTTGTACACGAAGGGTCAACGGAAGTCGTAGAAAACGGTGAAGTCGGATTCGGCCATGATTTGGAACCTCCCTGATATTGATTGACCGTCGGTTCCGGGCGGTATTCCCGGGTCCACCTGGTGCGTGGGCCGATTGTAGCACAGACCGGATCGGGCCGGGCAAGCAGAGCGCAGGCGCGCGGTATGCCGGGAAACAATCGCGGGCAATCGAGTGCGGACAGCTCATTGGCCGCCACGGCCGTGAATGAAATCCAACTCGTGGCCCGGTTGTTCCGGGTTGACGCGAATCTGCTGCAACCGGCGGTGTTGCATTCATTACTACAATGCAAACGTCGCGGTACTATGCCTGAATCGTAATTGACCCAAAATACGTCGATTGCTACAATTGGGTAAATGCGGCGACTATATCCGCTGGGCGCGCTGCGTCCGGCGGTGAGTTTGACCATGGGAAGTCAACGGGAGGGACTTTATGGTTACCACCTTTAATGAAAATCTGTTTTCCCCTGAAGTGATCCAGGATCCGTATTCCTATTTCGGGCGGATGCGAGAGGAAGACCCGGTGCACTGGAACGACCCGTACAAGCTGTGGGTCATCACCAAGTACAAGGATTTGGTCTGGGTAACCCGGCGCCCCGAGGCGTTCTCGTCCGAGGTGTTCACCCGCGACCCGCTGCCTCCGTATCCTTCGATCGACGAATCGGACATGGGACTCTACGAAGACGTGCGCAACTTCTTCAGCCAGTGGTTCATTCAAACCGACAGGCGTGCAGTGAGCACGCACGAAGAGATCCGTGAGCACGGCGCGCCCGACCACACCGACATGCGGAAGGTCATCCACGGCTACTTCACGCCCAAGGCCATGGAGCTGTGGCGGCCGCTGGTTCAGTCCGCCATCAAGCAACTGCTCGACGAGGCGGAAGACCGCGGCAGCATGGACGTGATGCGTGACTATGCCACGCCGCTGCCCCTGCTGGTGATCGCTGCCATGATGGGCATCGAGACCTACGACCGGCAGTTCATTCGCTCCCTGGCGGAGAAGCTGCTGTTCATCGGGCGCGGCAACGCCGACCGGATGCAGCCGCTGTCAGAGGGCATCACCGAGTTGCAGGAGTACCTGCGGCCGATGGTGAGGGATCGCCTGAAGAACTCCAACGGCGACCTCCTGGACAAGATGACCGATGCCGCCCGTATGACGAACGCAGCGGGCAAGCGGATCATGGACGAGGAGCAGGTGGTTGCCAATGCCATCCTGCTGCTGCTGGCCGGTCACGAGACCACGATCAACCTGATCTGCAACGGCACCCGGGCGTTCATGACCCACCCGGACCAGTGGGAACTCTTCAAGGCCGACCCGGCCAGCAGGATGATCCGCGCCACCGAGGAATGCCTGCGGTACGACGCGCCGGTGAAGTCCATCACCCGCATCGCCGGGGAGGACGTGGAACTGGGCGGCAAGACCATCCAGAAGGACGAGCGGATGCGGTGGTTCGTGACCTCCGCCAACCGGGACCCCGAAGTGTTTGATCGGCCCGATGACTTCGACATCGAGCGGTATCCGAACCCGCACGTAGCGTTCGGCAGCGGCATCCACCACTGCCTGGGGGCGACCCTGGCGCGGCTGGAAGGGCAAGAGGCGTTCAAGGCGCTGGCCGACAGGTTCCCGAAGCTGAACATGGACTGCAACCCGGACGACCTGTCCTACACGTCCAGCATCACGTTCCGTACGCTGGAGAAGCTGCCGGTCAGCCTGTCGTAACCGGCTGGAAAATTCCCCAAGGGTTACGAGGCCCGGCGAATTATCGCCGGGCCTCATTGCTATACCGCTTGCCTGAACACTGCTCCGGGCCTATAATCGGCGCATTACGGCAGTATCATTTGCGGAAATCGTCGGCAAACCGCGCGTCGCACATCGGAGGTCGCAGGAAATGGTCAGCACAATAAACGATAACCCGTTCTCCCTGGAAGCGATGTACCAACCCTACGAATTCTTCGCGCGGCTGCGCGAGTGGGAGCCGGTGCACTACAACGAGCAGTACGAAGTCTGGATGGTCACGGACTGGGAGCACTTGGTGTGGGTGACCCGGCATCCGGAAGTCTTCTCCTCCAGCGTGTTCGCTCGGGACACGCGTCCACCGAACCCGCCGATCGATGAAGACGACATGGAGATCTACAACTACATCAGAAAGTGGCAGGTTTCCCGGTTCATCCAGCAGGACCAGCGACGATACAACTCCGAAGTGAGCGGGCCCGACCACGTGGACATGCGGCGCGTGATGCACGGGTACTTCACGCCGAAGTCAATGGAGATGTGGCGACCGCTGGTGCAGTCGGCGATCGATGAGCTGCTGGACGTGGTGGAAGAGAAGGGACGGATGGACGTGATGGCCGATCTGGCCACTCCGCTTCCGCTGCTGGTGATCGCCAGGATGCTGGGAATACCGGACAGCGACCGGCCGATCATGCGTAGGCTGGCAAAGGACCTACGGCACCTGAACCGGACGGGTCCCGACCGGATGGGCCCGCTTTCGCAATCAGTACAGAACCTGCAGGACTACCTCGGGCCATTGGTTGCGGACCGGGTCGCCAGCCCGAAAGACGACCTGATTTCCGTGGTGGCCGAGGGCGAGCGTCGAGGGATCTTCGATCGCGACCAGGTCATCAACAACGTGATGCTGCTGCTCTCGGCAGGGCACGAGACAACGATCAATTTGATCTGCAACGGGACGCTGGCGTTCACGCAGCATCCGGACCAGTGGGCGAACCTGAGATCGGACCCGGAGGGCAAGACGGTACGCGCCAACGAGGAGGCCCTGCGGTACGACTCGCCCGTGAAGTCCATCCAGCGGATCGCGATGGAGGACATCGAGCTGGGCGGCCAACAGATCAGGAAGGACGACCGGGTGAGGTGGTTCATCTCGGGTGCGAACCGGGATCCCAAGGTGTTCGACCGGGCGGACGACTTCGACGTCGAACGGTATCCCAACATGCACGTGGCCTTCGGCAGCGGCGTCCACCACTGCCTGGGCGCGACGCTGGCCCGGCTGGAGGGACAGGAGATCTTCCGCAACCTTGCCAACCGGTTCAAGAGCATTGAGCTGGAGATCCCGGCGGAACAGGTCGAGTACGATCAGTTGATCGGCCTGCGGGCGGTGGAGAGCCTACCGGTCGCGGTGACCAGCGCGCGCTAGCACGTCCGGGCATCGGCCCAGTTTAGTAGCAGGGGCGGGTTCTTTTCCCGCCCCTGTTTCCGTTGGTTGTTCATGCCGGAATAGCGCGGGAACATCTGCAAAAACGCCAGAAATCGTTTATAATCGGCCAATCGACAGGGCTGCACGCTCATGCGGGTGCAGCAAGGCCAACGTACCACCGGAGGTATCAACCAATGGTCACCACCTTGAATGACAATCCGTTCTCCCCGGAAGCGATCTACAAGCCGTATGACTTCTACAACCGGCTGCGCGAACACCAGCCGGTGTACTACAACGAGCAGTTCGAGGTGTGGATGATCACCTCGTGGGAGCACTTGGTGTGGGTCACCCGGCATCCGGAGGCGTTCTCCTCCAGCGTGTACTCCCGGGACATCAGGCCGCCGAACCCGCCGATTGATGAAGACGACATGGAGATCTATAACTTCATCAAGAAGTGGCAGGTTTCCCGATTCATCCAGCATGACCAGAGGCGGTACAGCCCTGAGATCAGCGGCCCCGACCACGTGGACATGCGGCGGGTGATGCACGGCTATTTCACCCCAAAATCGATTGAGATGTGGCGGCCGCTGGTGCAGTCGGCAATCGACGAACTGCTCGATGCGGTGGAAGAGAAGGGGCAAATGGACGTGATGGCCGACCTGGCCACGCCGCTACCCCTGCTGGTGATCGCGCGGATGCTGGGCATACCGGACAGCGAACGGCCGCAGCTTCGGGAACTGGCCAAGGACCTGCGGTTCCTCAACCGTGACGGCCCGGACCGCATGAAGCCATTGAGCCAGGCGGTGCTGAACCTGCAGAACTTCATCGCGCCGCTGGTGGAGGATCGGGTCAACAACCCCGAAAAGTTCGATGCCCTCGACCTGATGTCGGTGGTGTGTGAAGGCGAGCGTCAGGGCGTATTCAACCGAGACATGACGATCAACAACGTGATGCTGTTGCTTTCGGCAGGCCACGAGACCACCATCAACCTGATCTGCAACGGGACGCTGGCGTTCACGCAGCACCCGGACCAGTGGGCGAACCTTAAGTCGGATCCCGAAGGCAAGACCGTGCGCGCCACGGAAGAGGCACTGCGGTACGACTCGCCGGTCCGGTCGATTCAGCGCATCGCCGTCGACGACATCGAGATGAACGGCCAACTGATCCAGAAGAATGACCGGGTACGGTGGTTCATCCCCGGCGCCAACCGCGATCCCAAGGTTTTTGATCGGGCCGACGACTTTGACATCGAGCGGTACCCGAACCAGCACGTCGCGTTCGGCAGCGGGATTCACCATTGCCTGGGCGCAACCTTGGCCCGCTTGGAGGGACAGGAGATCTTCCGCAACCTGGCCAACCGGTTCGAAAAGGTCGAGCTGGAAATCCCGGTGGAGAAGGTTGAGTACGACCATGTGCTGACCTTCCGCGCCGTGGAAAGTCTGCCGGTGAAGGTTACCAGCGCGTAGCAATAGCCGCGCACGTAGACACGAACCGAACATCGAGCCGGCGGTCGCAACAGTGGCCGCCGGCGATGTTTTTGAGTACCGGCACCGTTTGAATTGTCGAACCGCTTGTGATAATTTTGACGCCAACCAGGCCCGCCGAGCGAGGGGTTCACCATGCCCGCCAACTTCCACGACGACCTGTTCGCCGCCGAGGCGATTCGTGATCCATACGGCTACTTCGGGGCGTTGCGGTCGGAGGCGCCGGTCCACTGGAACGAGCAGTACCAGATGTGGGTCGTGACCAGCTACGAACGGTTGGTGTGGACGGCCCGGCATCCGGAGTATTTCTCCTCAGAGGTGGCGCTGCGAGACAACAAGCCGCCGTCGCCCACGATTCCCGAAGAAGACATGGAGCTCTTCGGAGCCGTGCGCAATTGGGCGGCGGCCCGCTTCACCCAAAACGACGGCGCGAAGCACAAGGAGAAGCGCAAGGTCGTGCACGGGTACTTCACGCCCAAGGCCATGGAGACCTGGCGTCCGCTGGTCCGGCAAACGGTGAACGACCTGTTGGACGATTTGCAGGGCGCGGGCAGAATGGACGTGATGCACGACTTCGCCACGCCGCTCACGTACACCATCATCGCCGGGCTAATGGACATACCGCCCAGTGACCGCGCTTTCGTCAAAGAACTGTGCGGTCAGATGTGCGGGCTCGATGGCAACCAGCCGGACCGGATCAGGATGTATGCCGAAGGGGTGCAGGCGGTGACCGACTACCTGGCTCCGATTGTTGCCGAACGGGTCCGCGACCCGGGCGATGACCTGCTGTCGGTGATCTGCAAAGGCGAGATCATGGGCGCCTACACCCGGGACGAGGTGTTGGCGAACGCACTGCTGTTGCTGGTGGCCGGCCACGAAACCACCAACGACCTGATTTCCAACGGGGTGCTGGCGTTTGCGCAACACTCCGACCAATTTGACCTGCTGCGAACCGATCCCGACGCTCACATCGTAAACGCGGTGGAAGAAGTGCTGCGATACGACTCGCCGCTGAAATCGATCCAGAGAATTGCTACCCAAGACGTGGACATGGGCGACGGGCAGACCGTCGGCAAGGATGACCGCGTGCGCTGGGTGATTTCGTCAGCCAATCGCGACCCAGAGGTTTTCGAGGACCCCAACGGCCTGGACATCACGCGCAACCCCAACCCGCACGTGTCCTTTGGAAGCGGGGTGCACCACTGCCTGGGCGCGACCCTGGCCCGGCTGGAGGGGCAGGAGGCGTTTGCGGAACTGGCCCGCCGGTTCGAGGGGTTTGAACTGGAAACTGACCCGAACGAGTTGGAATACCTGCCCAGCGTGGGGCAACGCACTCTGCTGAACCTGCCGGTCGCCACGCGCTAGCAACCGGCCGCCGCTATCAATCTGGCTAACACTTTAGCTTAGCCGACCATCACGAGGAGGTTACCCCGATGCCCCGACAATTGAAAATCACCGTGGACTACAACGTGTGCGTGGGCAACGCCATGTGCGAAACCTTTGCGGAAAACACGTTCGGCTTGAATGACGACCGGCAGTCCTATGTCAAAGACGCCGCCGGGGATCCCGAAGACACTGTCATCGAGGCCGCGGAGAACTGCCCGGTAACCGCGATTACCGTCGAAGACGCTGAAACGGGAGAGATACTGTTCCCATAGCGGCCGACCAAAATCCGGAGCACAGTGAGGGCGATCGCAATGATCGCCCTTAGCTTTTGGCGATGACTTCCTCGCCGAAGCGACGGATGATGTCGGCCGGGTCGTGACTGATGGCGGTAATCTGCAACACGTCAGCGCCGGATGCGGCGATCTGCGCGGCCTTGGCTCGACACTCTTCCGGGGTGCCGACGACGGCGAACCGGTCGGCGAGGTAGTCGGTAACGCCGAGCTCATCGGAGAGCGCGGCATTGCGGGTTTGGCCGACCTGCTCATGCTCGGCGGGGACGTACTCTCCCTGAATGATCTGCATCGCCTCGTGGAGTTCCGGCGGGACGTGCTTGCCTTCGAGGGTGAAACGGAACGCGTGGTGCGCGCTGGCGGCCAGGGCCATGCGGATTTCGTTGATGGCTGCGGCATGATCGTCGGCGATGTTGCACTTGGCGAAAGCCCAGACTTCAGTGGATCCGGCCGCCTTGCCGGCGTCGGTCTCGCCTTCGCGGATACGCGATGCGGTGTCGGCCAGTATTTCCGGCGTGAGTCCGGTGTGGATCATGACGCGATCGGCGATTGCGCCGGCCATCTTCAGAGTACGCGGGCCCTCGGCGGACATCATGATGGGCACGGGTTCGCTGCTCCAGCGGACGTGGGCTTCGCGCCCGAGATATTCAGCGTGTTCGCCGGCCAGGAAGGCGCGGACGGCGGCGACGTAGTCCCCGAGGGCGCGCAGGCGGGCTGGCCGCAGGCCGAGATTCAGGATCGCGCTGTCACCGGTGCCGATGCCCAGGAAGGCCCGGCCTTCCGATAGCTCGTGGAGCGAGGCAATGGCCGAGGCAGTCACCGCGGGATGGCGGGTCAGCGGATTGGTGACCGACGGGCCGAGATGGACGCGGGAGGTATCGGTGGCCGCCACGGCCAGCGATACGAAGAGTTCGCGAAAGAGGGACTGGGAATCCGCGACGCCGATATAGTCGAAGCCGACGGCCTCGGCAAGACGAACGTGGCGACGGAAGGATTCAAAGGAACTGGGGAGGAGGGTTACACCGTACTTCATCGTGTGTTTTGATCACCGCAATCAGAGGCAGAGGGCTCGTAGATATACGCGTAGCGAAGGCGAAGTTCAACTGAAGGAAGAGAGATGAGGATCGTGTTCACCCACTGCCCGACCACGTTTGGGTACGGGGCAGTCAATGGTCGTCTGCACGATCAGAGATTGTGACCGGCCTGACTCCGGGAGTGTGCCAGTTCTCGCTGGCAGCGGGTATGATCCGTGTCTACACCCCGCGTGTCGCCCATGCAACGAGCCGAACGGCGGAACAAATCGGCGAGTTTCCAATTGGTCCGGTGCACGTCGCCGCCGATAGTGGTCAGCTATAGCGGAGGCGCGGGCCGACGGTAGCCTGGTAACCCTCGAAGTTACGGCGGGTCTCAGAGACACTGTCCCCACCGAATTTTTCCATGAAGGCGTCGGCCAGGACCAAGGCAACCATGGCTTCGCCGATGACACCTGCGGGAGGGGCCTGGCAGACATCGCTGCGCTCGAAATGAGCCTGGACCGGTTCGCCGGTGTCCAAGTCCACGGACGGCAGCGGGTTGTGGAGGGTGGCGATGGGCTTGATGACGAAACGGGCCACCAGGGGCGGGCCACTGGTCATGCCGCCTTCGGTTCCGCCGGCGCGATTGGTCCTTCGCTGCCAGGGGTTGTCAGGGTCGGTGACAGGCTCGATTACGTCCTGGAACTCGGAGCCCCAGGCGTCCATCAGTTCCCAGCCGGGGCCAATGCTGACGGCCTTGACCGCGTTGATGCTCATCAATGCCTGGGCGACTTTCGCGTCGATCTTGCGGTCCCAGTGGACGTGGGAGCCGAGGCCGATCGGGCACATTTTCAGCGATCACTTCCACGGTGCCGCCGACGGTGTCGCCGGCTTCGCGGGCAGCGTCCACCTCGGCCATCATCTTCTCCGCGGCGGCGTTGTCGGCGCAGTGAACGGGGGATTCTTCCACGGCGTCCCAATCGATGGCGTCATTTTGGGGAGGATCGGCGTGGATGCGGCCAATGGAGACCACGTGGCTGTGCAGCCTGACGCCGAACTCCTCAAGCAGGCGCATGGCGACGGCGCCGGCGGCCACGCGGCCGGCGGTCTCGCGGGCGGAGGCGCGCTCCAACGAGTTACGGACGTCGTGGAATCCATATTTCATAGCGCCAGGAAGGTCGGCGTGACCGGGGCGGATACGAGTGACGCGCTGGTTGCGGCCTTCCTGGGAGGGGTTTTCCACGTACTCGACGGCCATGGCCTCCTGCCAGTTGACCCAGTCCCGGTTCTCCAGCAGCATGCCGATGGGGCTGCCCAGGGTGTATCCGTGGCGAACGCCGGTCTGGATATGGGCATGGTCGCGCTCAATCTGCTGACGTCCGCCACGGCCGTAGCCGCGCTGGCGTCGGGCCAGATGGTGTGCGATGTATGCCTCATCGAGGGGCAGGTAAGCAGGTACGCCTTCGACGATAATCATGAGCCCCTGACCGTGGGACTCCCCCGCCGTAAACCATCGTATCATCGAGTTTCGACCTCCCGAATCGGGGTCATTGTGCCAGGGCTTCGCGCTCACGCATTGCGGACATGGCAGCGTCCATCATAACGGAGACAGGCGCGGGCCTTTCCAGCCACAGCTCGAAAGACGCGGCGCCCTGGTACACCAGCATGGAGATGCCGCCCAAGGTTGAGGCTCCCGCGGAATGCGCCTCCCTGAGCAGCGGAGTCAGCATGGGATTATACACGAGGTCGTATACCAAGGCGGACGGGGGTATCCGTGACGCCGGCAGTGGTGACGCGGCATCGTCAGGGCCGTGGTGCATACCCAGCGAGGTGCAGTTGACGATAAGGTCAAATTGAACCGCGGTGTCGGTCGACTGCAATGAGTCCAAACCAACCGCCCGAGCGGGTACGCCGCGGTTGGTGGAAAGGCCGGCCAACGCTTCGGCCCGCTCCAGGGTCCGGTTGGCGATCACCAACTCGGCGACATCGGCCCGGAGAAGGGCCTGCACCACACCGCGCGCGGACCCACCCGCGCCCAGGATCAAAGCGCGTTTGCCAGCGGGGATCAAGCCCGGCAGACTCACGGAGGGCGCGGAGGAAACCGTAGCCGTCGGTGTTGTAGCCGACGAGACGGCCGCCGCGGTTGACGATGGTGTTTACGGCTCCCGCCTCAGCCGCCCATTCGTCGATCTCGTCCAGGAAGGGCATGACCGTCTCTTTGTGCGGCACGGTGACGTTGATGCCCCGCACGGCGTCGGCACGCAGGGATGCGACGAAATCCGCGACCTGGTCGGGATGCACCTCGTGGGGCAGATAACGGTGATCCACCGAGAGGTAATCCAGCCCAGCCTGCTGGAACCGAGGCGATATGGAGTGGCCGATGGGATAGCCGATGATGCCGAGAGCCGAGTTAATCATCATGCCAGGCAATGGGAGGGGAATGGCGCAAATGGGCGCAGGTGCGCGACATTCTAACAGACAGAAGAAAGCCCCGAAGGTTCGGTACCTCCGGGGCTAACTCCAACACCCGATGTCCTTAATTCACTCTAAGGGCACGGATTTCGCGGCAACCGGTATAGGTACTCGGGGTGTCAACTCCGGTGTCGTCGCCGCCGATAAAGATGTCGAAAATCTGATCGTACTCGGTGATTGAAAGCTGGTACCTGCCGTCCCGGTCGGACCTGTCATCCGCGACGATCCGGTTGTTACCATCTTTGCTAATGGCCAGAACCGGGGCATTATTGACCGGTTGCCCACCGTCGGTGACGACGCCAACGATGATGCACGGTATTTGACTGGCCGGGTTGTTGACAGGAGTGGCCGCGGGAACAGCGGTAGGCGCCGGCGTACTGGTGGGCTCCGGAGGGTTGGTGGGTACGGGGGTTGGCGCGGGTACAGGAGTGGCCATGGGACGTGCGGCTTCCGCCGTCGCGATCATAGCCATCACAGTCGCCTGCAGATCGGGTGTGGGTTCGGGAGTAGGAGGCTCCGGGGTATCAGTGGGAGGTATGGGGGTTGCGGTGGGAACCGCGGCCGCAACGGCGGCGGCGATGGTGGCCGCGAGGTCGGGAGTAGCCGTGGGTTCGGGTTCTTCCCCGCCTCCGAAGAGGCAGCCGGTGGTGGCAGCGAGGACAAGTACGGCGATTACGCCTAAAATCGTAAAACGGGCGATGTTGCGCGACATCTAGGGACTCCTGCTCAGCGGCGATAAGATCAACGGGCAATATTCTGACATTTTGAGGCTGGGGATGCTGCAAACGCGGCGTGCAGATTATGGCAATCTTGGGCTACACGCCTAGCTGAGCAATGATTTCCTCAATACGCTGGCGCTCCTCGGTGAGCGAGCGCAGGCGCTGGCGTTCATTTTCCACAACCTCGGGGCGCGCTTTGGAAACGAAGTTCGGGTTGGCCAGGAGTTGCTCCTTGCGCGTTTCGTCCTGACTCCTGGACTCCAACTCGCGATGCAAGCGATCGGACTCCGCCTGCAGGTCCACTCCCTCGAGGGGTAGACGCACCACCAATGGATTGACCACCAGGCTAACACCGGACGTCGGGCTCGAGTCTCCTGCGCCCAACACCCGCAGAGGATCCACACGGGCCAAGGCGCTGATAACCTCCTTCTCCTCCTCTACGACAGCCCGCATCCCGTTGGTTTCAATCGCGGCTTCCAGTTTCTGGGCGGCAGGGATACGCAGTTGGGCGCGCATATTGCGCACCGCGCGCACGGTCTGCATCACGATCTCCACATCGGCCTCGGCATCCGGAGCGGAGCGCGGAGTGTCCACCTGCGGATACGGGGACACCATGATGGACGCCGAGAGTCCTTCCTCGGGGGTGGGGATCCGAGCGGTGAGGTTTTGCCAGATTTCCTCGGTGACAAAGGGCATGAACGGGTGCAGGAGGCGAAGCGCACGCTCCAGTACGTGCACGAGGGTTGTCGCGGCCGCGGTGGCGTCGTTGGAATCGGCGGCGCGGAGACGGACCTTGGCCATCTCGATGTACCAGTCGCAGAAATCGTTCCACGCGAAGTCGTAGATCTTCTGCTGCGCTTCGCCGAGCTCAAAGGCGGCCAGCGCCTGATTCACGCTGACGGTGAGATCATCGAGGCGGCTGACGATCCAACGGTCCTCGCGATTCGAGAGATCGGGGAGATGGTACCAATTGCCCAGGTCACCGTTGCCTGAAGCGGTCCGCGCTTCTACCACGCTGATCACGTACCGGGCGGCGTTCCAGATCTTGTTGGCGAAGTTGCGGGACGATTCCAGCTTCTCGTCGCTGAGGCGAAGGTTGTTTCCGGGAGCGGTGCCGGTGGTCAGCGCAAAACGCAACGCATCGGTGCCGTACTGCTCCAGCAGGTCCAACGGGTCCAGGGTATTGCCACGGGTCTTGCTCATCTTCTGACCCTGGGCATCAAGGACCATGCCGTGCAGGTACACCGAACGGAACGGGACGTCGCCGGTGTTTTCGATGCCCAGCATAATCATGCGGGCTACCCAGAAGAAAAGGATGTCGTAACCCGTTTCGAGAACCGAGTTGGGATAGAAGTACTCGAGATCCGCCGATTCCGTGTCGGGCCAGCCCAGGGTTGAATGGGGCCAGAGACCGCTGCTGAACCAAGTATCGAGAACATCGCTATCCTGTTCGATCTCGCCACCGCACTGCGAACACGCCACAGGATCATCGACATGGGCGGAGTGATGGCCACAGGCAGCGCAGTACCAGACCGGGATGCGGTGGCCCCACCAGAGCTGTCGGCTGATGCACCAGTCCCGGATGTTTTCCAGCCAGTTGAGATAAACCCGCGAGAACCGATCCGGCACGATTTCAATGTCGCGATTGACCACAGCAGCGTACGCGTTGCCGGCGATGGTTCCGGGTTCATCGTGCTTTCCAACATTGAGGAACCACTGGAGGCTGATGAGGGGTTCGACCACCTCATTGCAGCGTTGACAATGGCCAACTGAGTTGTGGTAGTCCTCCACACCTTCCAGGGCGCCGATGGTTTCGAGTTCGGCGACCACTGCAGCGCGGGCGGCGAAGCGCTCCATGCCGGAGTACCTGGGACCCGCGTCGTCGGTCATGCAGCCGTCAAAACCGATGACGTTGATTATGGGCAAGTTGTGGCGTTCTCCGATCTCGAAGTCCACGATGTCGTGGCCTGGAGTGACCTTGAGCGCGCCGGTACCGAACTCCATCTCGATAGCCGTATCGCCGACGACCGGGATCTGGCGGCCCACGATCGGCAGGACGACCATTCCGCCGACTTTGTCGCGGTAACGCTCATCGTCCGGGTGCACGGCGACGCCAGTGTCGCCGAGCATGGACTCGGGACGGGTGGTGGCCACGGTCACACCGTCAGCGGGATTATCTGCCAACGGGTACCGGATGTGGTAAAGCTTGCCGTCCTGCTCCTCGTAATTGACTTCCAGATCGGACAGGGCGGTAGCGCAACGAGGGCACCAGTTGATGATACGTTCGTGGCGATAGATAAGACCCTTGTTGAACAGGTTTACGAAGGTGGTGCGGACGGCGTGAACCGGGCCCGTGTCCAGCGTGAAACGGAGGCGCGACCAGTCGCAGGAGGCGCCGAGGCGACGATGCTGCTCGTCGATAGTATTCCCGTAGAGGCGCACCCATTCCCAGACGCGTTCCTCAAACTTCTCGCGGCCCAGATCATGCCGGCTGGCGCCTTCTGCGGCAAGGGCGCGTTCGACCACCCATTGTGTCGCGATCCCGGCATGGTCCTTCCCGGGCAACCACAAGGTAGGATCACCGCACATGCGATGCCAACGAGCCAGAGCGTCCTGAAGACTGGCGGTAAGGGCGTGGCCCAGATGCAATTCTCCGGTGACGTTAGGAGGAGGCATCACCACGCAAAACGGCTCGCGGTCTGGATCAATGCGCGGTACGAAATATCCGCCGTCCCACCAGGTCTGATAAATGCGCTGTTCGACAGCGGCGGCGTCATAGGCGCGGGGCATGGCGGAAGCGGAAGCAGAGGCAGTCATCATACCGTCCCAAGGATCAGCGCCGGTGGGGTCGCTTGCCTGACCTCATCCGGCGACACGTCGGCTGTTGGCGTTGTTTTGAAAAATGGTAGCACCGGCCAATCGCGATTGTCCACATGAAACCGCGATTTGCCGGTTCGGTACGTGGTAAATCGGGCCGAGTTTCGGCCGGACATTGGTCGCTCGCACCAAAAGGCGGTATCGGAGAGCTTCGGGCGAACCCGGTTCGAGGACCGCTCGGCACGCCAAAACAGCGGACGGGCAGAGCCGATTGCGTTGCCCGTTAATTGTAGCTCGATCAGCCGGCCCGACGCAGCCTGGGGTCGAGATAGTCCCGGAGCCAGTCGCCGAAGAAGTTGAACGCCATCACGACGACGGTAATCACCAAGCCGGGGAACAACGCGATCCACCACGCCTGGGTCAGGAATTCGCGTCCCTCGGCGACGAGGATACCCCACGCCGGGTCGCCAGGAGCGAGACCCAAGCCCAGGAAGCTCAGGGAGGCTTCCAGCAGGATCACCTGGCCGATGCTGACGCTCGTCAGCACCATGAGGGTGTTGATCACGTTGGGGAACAGGTGGCGCCAGACGATCATGCCGGGGGAGACGCCGTAGATCTGCGCCAAGACCACGAAATCACGGTCGCGGATGGCGAGGACTTCGCCCCGGATCATGCGGGCAAAGCGGGCCCATTGGGTGGCGGCGATGGCGATCATCACGTTCCACACCCCGGTACCCAGATAGGTCACGATTAACAACGCCACCAGGATCGACGGGAACCCCAGGACCGCGTCGGTGATACGCATCAGGACCGAGTCGGCCCAGCGGCCCGAGTAACCGGAGACCAGTCCGACTATGGTGCCGGCCAGGATGGCGACGATTATGGAGGGAGCCGACACCTGCAGCATGGTGCGGGCGCCAAAGATCAGGCGGCTGAGCATGTCCTTGCCCAACCGGTCGGTGCCCAGGACGTGCTCGGCGCTGGCGAACGGCGGCTGCAACTTGTTGCGCACGTCGTTCTCGCGCGGGTCGTGGGGCGCAACGAGATTGGCGAAAACCGCGCAGAAGACGATGATCAGCAGGATGGCGATTGGAAGCCAAGGCAAACGTGCATCTTTGATGCGCTGCGCCACGGAAACGGGGGCGCGTTCATCAAGGACCAGCGTTGGGGTTTCTGCAGCCAAGGTTGCCCTCCCAGTGGGAATTGCTAGTTCATCCGAACCCGAGGGTCGGCGTATCCGTAGAGGATGTCGACGATCAGTGCGGTCAGGATATAGGCCGCGCCTGAGACCATGATGGCGCCCTCGACCTGGGGGAAGTTGTTAGAGAGCACGCCCTCCAACAGCATCAGGCCAACGCCGGGCCAGGCGAACACCACCTCCACGACCACGGATCCGTTGAGCAGGCCGGCAAGGCTGATTCCGCCGAAGGTAATCACCGGGATGAGGGCGTTGCGGGCGGCGTGCTTCCAGATGACCACCCGGTCGCTCATACCCTTGACCTGGGCGAATTTGACGTAATCACTGTCCAGGACTTCCAGCATCGCGGAGCGGGCAAGGCGCATGATGGCGGCGATGATGGCCAGGGACAATACTAACGCCGGCAGCATCAGGTGGAGGATCATGTCCGGGATTTGCGACCAGGTGGGGAACCACCCGGTCATGTCTCCTCTGCCGAATGCAGGGAGCCAACCCCAATAGCCGGCAAACACTATGATGAGCATGATGGCAACCCAAAATTGAGGCGCGGCCATGCCAAAAATGGCGAACATCTTGCAGACTTTGTCCAGAAACGTGTCGCGTTTCACTGCGGAAATGATACCGAGAGGGACTCCGATACCGATGGCGAGCACAGTGCCAGCGATGGCCAGATGAACTGTGGCGGGGATTCGTTCCAGCAGGATTTCCTGAACCGGACGACGGGCTGTGAACGACTGGCCAAAGTCCAAGCGAACCGCCTTGATCAGAAAATTCCAATACTGGACGATGAAAGGCTTGTCCAGGCCGTAAGCGGCCTTCTGGGCTTCATACACCGACTCATCGTGCTCCGCGGAGATAGGCAGCAGGAACCGGGCCGGATCTCCGGTCAGATGCACGCTACCGAATACGACAAAGCTGAGGGCGATCAGAGTGATCAACCCCTCCCCGATGCGTCGCGCGATGTATGTGGTCATATACCTAACCTAACAAACAATTACTAATCTTTGAGCGGCCGACGCCCGTCCGAATTTTGGACGACGCCGGCCGCTCGTGTCCACTAGTGGTCGCCTACTTCAGTTTCAGCGTCCAAATGGCAGTGACGTAAGGAACCAGGCTCCAGGGCTCGTAGGAGGCAACGTCAGCGCCCAGACCCCACGGAACGTTGGTGTTGAAACCGTCGCCCCAGTGGGTTTGATCCTGCAAGTAGTCGTACATGGCGTTGTACGAGGCGCTACGGGTGTCGGGGTTCAGATCGGAAAGGCCTTTCTGGACCACCGGGGTGGTGGTGCTGAGCCAAGGCTCATTCTCAAAGTTGTCCACCGCGCGCCACGCGATGTTTGGGTTCAGGAAACCACCCTGGGCGATGGAAGTGCCGTCGAAGCGACCCTCGTTGGTACGCACCAAGACGTCGCCGGGATATTCGCGGTTGTTCCACTTCTGGCGTGTGGCCGCGGCGTCGCCGACCGTCACCTCAACGTCCCAACCCAAGCCATCGTTCCAGAAGTCCTTGTAAAGCTGGGCCAGGTCAGGCAGGCCGGGCAGGTCACCGGCTTCCCAGGTGTAGACGGTGAAGGCGATCTGCTCGCCGTTGGCGTCGGTACCATCACCGCCGTCGGCACCACCGTACCCGATGGATTTGAGCAAGCGCTTGGCCTCGTCAAGGTCATAGGCACGAGGGCGCAGGTTCTCGCCCCAGCCCAAGGAGTTGGGGGTGACATGAGCCCAACTGTCAGCGTTGACGGACTCAGGGGTGTACAGCCCGTTGACGATGGCATCCTTGTCGATGGCGTGTTCGGCAGCCTGGCGAGCCTCAACCGGGAAGCACCACAGTTCCTCGGTCCAGCAGTCCACGTAGACGACCCAGTTGTAAGAGGATTCCTTTTGCCATGCGATTGAGGCACCGTCGACGCTGTCAATGTCGCCAATCATATTGATGTTGGCTTCGATGAGCTGGGCGTCGCCGCTGCGCAGCGCCGCGAGACGGCCAGCGGGTTCGGGAACGACCTCAATGGTCAGGGTGTCGAAGGTAACGCTGCGGTCTTCGGAATAACCGTTCTCGGTGGTCCAGAAGAAGTCATCAAACTTTTCGAATGAGTACTTCTGCTCCAAGACGAAGTCAGTGACACTCATGGGGCCGATGCCGATAGGATCGGTCTCATACCCTTCAAAGCCGGTGGCGCCGGCGCGGTCACGCATGGTGGCCTCGGGAATGATCATTGGGCTCGCGCCCTGGGAGTTCTCGGACCAGTTGAACGCGAAGTCCAAGCGGACGGTCTTGAAGGTCACATCGACCTGGTCGTCAGCTGTGCCCTTGCTGACGCCTTCGATCAGGTTGGCGAGCGCAACGTCGCGGGGCTCGTAGTACCCGGCGTCCAGGAGCTGGAAGGCTTCGGCGCCGACGCGGCTGTTCAGGTTGAAGTACACATCATCGCGCGTGATGACGTTGCCGTCGTGAGCCTGGATGAAGCCGTCGTTGACGGAAAAGGTCCAGACCTTTCCGTCATCGCTGACAGACCAGTCCTTGGCCACCGAGGGGACCAGTTCACTGCCGCCGGCTCCGCCGACCAGCGCCGTTTGGAACACGCGCTGGAACTTGAGGTCTTCGCCTTCGGTGAGTAGCGGGTCGAATTTCCCATTACCGATGTTGGTAACGAGCAGATTGACGTGGCCGCCGGTTTCCTCGGCCATCATGGCCTCGGTGGCTTCGGGCATGGCGGTGGGTGCTGCAGCGTCGGAACTGGCCGGGGCAGCCGTGGGGGCGACCGGGGCAGCCGGCGCATCTGATGCACCGCCGCAGGCTACCGCTGCGATCAGGCCCGCTCCCAGGCCCAATGCGGCCAGCAGCCGGACGTTAAAATACCGTTTCAATCCCATTGTTTGATCTTCCCTCCTGGTGTACTGATAGGGCAGACAGCGCCTTGCGCCGTCACGCCGCTGCGTTACGGATGCCGAACGATTAAACGGTGATAACGCCTTGTTGTCAAGTTTGGATTACGAATTCATTTCAAAGCAGAAGCGAAATCCACTACTAAATATGCTAGGATTGCCACGGTACAGATCTACCATTCAGACAACATCAAGGCACAGAGGGAACAATAATGTTCACTCCTACGAAGCTGTTTTACATCATCAGCGCAGTCGTTGTCGGCGGCGCGGCGAGCGGGTACGTGGCATGGGCCATAGCATCACGGTTCGCGCGGATTGCCGAACTAAACGAGCGGGCGATTGTGGAGCCGCACGTGTTGGTCGTGCTGTGCATAGCCGGGGGCCTGCTGGCCTTGCCGTTGGGAGCGGCCGCAGGGCTCTTTGGAGCGGTCGTGATCAACCGTTTGGCCGACTACCTGCGCCGATCCCCGGGAACCGGGGACAAAGCGGATAGTGTCTCGTGGGTGACGCAGCGTCCGACGACGGAAGACAGGCCCGGCGAATAGGCCCGGTATAATTGGCCGCAATCCGCATTTGGGAGGAGCAGTCTCATGCCCCAGTTCGTCCGCGTTTTCACCGGCCCCGACGGCCAGTCCCGTCTCGAGCATTATGAACCGCCCTTCGAAGATTTCCTGGACACCGAAGGGTCGTACGGCCGGGGCACGCCCATGCAGGCGACCAGCGGCATGACGATCCGCATCTCGCCTCCCGACTACTTCCTGGACTTTCACTGCGCTCCCCGGCGGCAGTACACCGTGACGCTGGCCGGCCAGGCGGAGATCGGGTTGAGCGACGGCAGCACGTACCGGGTCGGCCCTGGTGACGTCCTGTTGGCCGAAGATCTGACCGGCGAGGGTCATACGACACGCGTGGTCGGAGACGAGCAAAGGGTTTACCTGGTTATCCCCCTGGGGGACTAACGGGGCAATCTCGTCACTTATACCAGAACGGCAAATCCAGGCGCGGTTTGCGTTCCGACGATATTCCACCTCGCTGGGCTTCCGCCCGGTGAAACTGGAATAGCCCGGTGCGTGGCCTCCGATACCGCGTGACCTCCGCCATGGGGCCGAACGGCCGAGGCGGAGTCTTCTACGGGTGGTGGGTGCTGGCAACGGCGGCGGTGCTGGGGTTTTTCGCGTTCGGGGTGGTGATACCGGGGTTTCTCGCGTTTTCCGTGCGAATACGGGAGGAGCTGGGACTAACCTCCGGCCAGACGGCGTTCATCGTAGGGGCGGCGTGGGGGATCGGCGACATTTCGTCGCTGGCTGCCGGATGGCTGGCCGACCGCTACGGAGCGCGGAGACTTATACTGGTCGGCGGGGTCCTCTGTGGGTTGGGCTTCGCGGCGATGGGTCTGGCTCAATCGTTCCTGGGGATCGTGGCGGCATACGCGGTGACCGCGTCGGTGGGGCGTGGCCTGGGCATATTCCCGACGCTGATGACGGTGCTGAACCAATGGTTCGAACGCCGGAAAGCCCTGGCGCTGGCCACCATCAACACGGCGGTTGCCGCCGGCGCGGCCGCGAGCCTGCCCGCCTTGACCTTGCTGGCGGACCAGATTGGGTGGCGGCAAGCCGCAATGGGAGCGGGCGTTCTGGTGTGCGTGCTAACGGTGCCGGCAGCGGCAATCATCCGCAGCCGGCCAGAGGATATTGGGCTGCTCCCCTACGGGCAAGGCGATACGGCTGCCCGACCTGACAACAGATCCACCGCGGAACTAACGGCGAGCTCGGAGACCTCCGAGCGGCGGGACTACAGCCTGTCACAGGCCCTTGCGACGCTGACGTTCTGCGCGCTTTCGGTGGGCGCCATTCTGCGGACGGTGCCGTCGGACGTGCTGATAATCAACCAGATCCCGATACTGATCTGGAAGGGCGTGGCCAGCGAGCGGACCTCGTTTTATCTTTCGCTGACGTATTTCGCGACCATACCGGCGCGTTTCAGCATGGGCCTGGCTGCGGTTTGGCTGCCGCCCCGGTGGCTGCTGAGCAGCGGAATGGCGGTGGTATTGACCTGCACGGTGGCGGCACTGTTGCTGCGGGGTCACCCCGTGGCATGGTTCCTGATCGTATCGTCGGCGGTGGGACAGGGGGTGAGCGCGCTGGCGTGGATCGCGGTCGGCGAATACTTCGGCCGGCGCAGCTACGGAACGCTGGTTGGGATGATGACGGTGTTCTACGGGATCAGCGGGCTAATGGCTCCGGCCGCCGCCGGATGGGTATTCGACCGCACCGGCACCTTTGTTCCCGTGCTCATTGCTGTGGGAGCGCTGCAAGCAATCTCGGTGGCGGCCTTCCTACTGGTGAAACGGCCGGACAGCGCCGGAACAAAACCGGGATAGCGACGCTGGGCAATCCGTCAACGGGGAGGATGCGCCAGTCCGGGTCCGGCGCGAAGAGCATCTACTACGGATGGTGGGTGCTGCTGGCGGCGGGAACGACCGGTTTCCTGGGATTCGGGGCCATGATTCCCGGGTTTCTGGTGTTTGCGGTTCCCATCGGGGAAGAGCTGGGCATAGACCCGGCGCGGTTCGCCTTCGTGGTGGGAGCCGCCTGGGCGGTGGGCAACTTGGCGGCCCTGGGCGCGGGGTGGCTGGCCGACCAGTATGGCGGACGGCAATTGGTCCTGATCGGCGGACTATTGAGCTGTGCGGGGTATGCAGCGGTGGCCGGTGTGAGCTCGTACTGGCAACTGGTACTGGTGTACTCGGGCATCGCGGCCATCGGCCGGGGGATTGGGATCGTGCCTAACCTGATGACGATAGCCAACCAGTGGTTCGTCCGGCGGAAGGCGCTGGCGATGACGCTGCTGAACACCACGTTCGCGGGTGGCGCGGCGTTGATGGTCCCGTTGCTGGCCTGGTGCGAGGGCTGGCTGGGATGGCGGGTAACCATCCTGTACACGGGAGCACTGTCCGGTCTGCTGGTCGTCGGCGCGGCGGCCGTGATCCGAAGCCGGCCGGAGGACATCGGGCTGCTACCGGACGGCGGGCGTCACGAGGCGGTCGGGACGGGCGCGACGCGAAACCGGCGCCTGGAGCCGGTCTATTCCGACTCGGACTTCACGCTACGAGAAGCGGTATCGACGCCGGCGTTTTGGTTGATGACGACCGCGGTCACGCTGCGCATCGCATCAGCAGACGCACTGGTTATCAACCAGATACCGATGCTGGTGTGGAAGGGAATCCCGCAGGACCTGGCGGCGTTCTACCTGTCGTCGACGTTTCTGGCCATCATACCGATCAGGATCGCGATGGGGTTGGCGGCTACATGGATCCCGTCCCGGTGGCTCCTCATCGGCGGGATGTCGGCGGGAGCGGTGGGGACGGCAGCGTTCATCGTGGGTTCCGGCTACGGAGCGGCGGCGATGTTCGTGCTTTCGATTGCTGCCACCGAAGGGATAGCGACGCTGGGGTGGCTGGCGGTGGGCGAGTATTTCGGTCGGCGGAGCTTTGGGTCTTTGGTGGGAATAATGACCGTGAGTTTCGGGCTCGGGTCGCTGGTGGCGCCGGCTGCGGCAGGATGGATATTCGTGCAGACGGGGACGTACACCGCCGCGCTGCTTGCGGCCGCTGCGATGCAGCTGGCGTCGGGAATATGCTACGCGCTGGCGCGGAGGCCGGCAGTTGGGTCAACGCATGGCCGCACGGGATGAGGAGCGCTTCTAAAAAATGCGGAGGGGGTCGGTCGGCGGGTTCGCCACGGCCGAAGCGGCGGGCAGGCAACCGGGCTGAAGCGGCACGTTGTCTCCGCGACCGTGGCCGATTCAGTGGCCCAGGTTCGGCGTGCACGCGCAAACCGGGCACAGCAATCCCCTTGCCATTGGCTTCTCAGGCGGGAAACTCCTGCAGTCCAGCCGGGCAGGATTGAGACGGGGATAGCCGGGGATTGCCCAGGAAAAGGAAGAACGCAGACCCTATGGAACCAACGACCATCGTCGCGATCAGGAGCGCCGGAGACCCGTATAGCGCACTGATCCAGCCCGACGCAACCGACACCAGGACCTGCATGACGATTGCGGGCACCATGGATATTCCGGTGATCGTTGCAAAGTTGCGCCGGCCGAAATAGACGCCACGCACCGCCAATGCCAACGGGATCGAGCCGCCGGAACCCCTACCCAATGATGACCGCAGCAACGCCGGGGCCGTCGGCCAGTGGGTCGCCCAGCATTGCGCGGGCAATCTTCGGCCGGCGGGAACCGTCGCCCGCGATAGCCAGAATGAAGGCTCCGACCAGAACCAGGCGCCACCCGTAAAACCGGGTCTTGCCCGGCGTCAAAGGAGCAACCGTTTCAAGCGAACTGACCATGTTGTTGAACCCATGCGTTCGGGACTCGCAACTTCCCCCGAATAGAACCTACAAGGGCATGAATCGCGTGCAGGGGCGGGATTTCGACCCCACCCCTGCATCGTAAGCCTGGGCCCAAATGTGCCACGGCCCATCGAATTTCTGCTGACTAGTCCAGGGAGAAACCCTCGTAGCCGTTGGCGACGACCTCAGCGCGCTTGGCGCGCATGACGGGCGCGGTATCCGGCGCGGTGAGCAGGACGCGGGCCTTGCCTGGAATGTTTGCCCCGACGAACCAGGAGTCGGCCTGGGTCCGCAGGATGTTCTCGCTGTCATCCTTCATGTGCTGCACCCAGGCCTCCTCGGCTTCGGGAGTGGCTGTGATCCGGTTATGGCCGCTGTCACGCACGTGGGCGATGGCGTCGGTGACCCACTCGACCAGCGGCTCGGCGGAACGGGGAAAGTTGCCCACGGAGGCGGCGTTGATGGTGAAAAGGTTGGGGAAGCCGTAGCTGGACATGCCCATGTAGGTGCGGGGGCCGTTGGCGAACTTTTCCTTGAGGACCTCGCCGCCGATACCCTGGATGTGAATCAGGTTGAGCGGGCCGGTAACGGCGTCGTAGCCGGTGGCGAAGATGATGACGTCGAGCTCGTACTCGCTGCCGCTCTCCAGTTGGATCCCGCGGGGGGTCAGGCGCGCGATGGGGTCTTCTCGGACATCGACCAGCAGGACGTCGTCGCGGTTGTAAACCTCGTAGTAACCGCTTTCGCAGGGCAGTCGCTTGGAACCGAACATGTGGTTCTTCGGCACCAGCTTCTCAGCAACCTCCGGGTCGTGCACGCGCTCGCGGATCTTGTTGCGAACGAACTCGGCATAGTCTTCGTTCGCCTCCCCGGGCATCATGATGTCGTAGAAGTTGGACAGCCACTTCTTGAAACCGGGTTCCGCCCAGAGCCTTTCGTACTGCTCCAGTTTCTCCTCTTCCGAAACCGCCAGGGCGGAACGGGTGTCGAACTCGTGCATGAAGGAACCGGGGGTCGATAGGCACTGCTCAATGATTTCGGCATAGTGGGACTTGATGTAGTCCTGGGTCTCGCGGTCGATGAGCGAGTTGCGCAGGGGTACGCAGTAGTTTGCGGTGCGCTGGAAGACGGTGAGATGGGCAACCTCGCCCACGATCTCGGGGATCAACTGGACGGCGGTAGCGCCGGTCCCGATCACGCCGACGCGCTTGCCGGCCAGGTCCATGCCTTCCTTGGGCCAGCGGTTGGTGTGGCACCACGAGCCTTCGTAGCTGTCCAAGCCTTCAAACTCGGGGACGTATCGCGCCGAAAGGATGCCGATGGCGGTGATGACGAACTGCGCCCGGGCCTGATAACCGTCGTCGGTGGTCACCTGCCAGCGAGTGGCGGTTTCGTCGTAGACAAGCGACGCGACCCGCGAGTTGAACCGGATGTTGGGGCGGAGGTCGAACTTGTCGGCTACGTGGTTGAGGTAGCGCTCGTTCTCGGGCTGGCTGGAGTAATGCTCCTTCCACTCCCATTCCTGGAGAAGTTCCTCGGAGAAGGAATACCCGTAGGTGTAGCTTTCGGAGTCGAAGCGGGCGCCGGGATAGCGGTTCCAGTACCAGGTGCCGCCCACGCCATCGCCTTCTTCCAATGACCTTACGGAAAAGCCCAACTCGCGCAGCCGGTGCAGGGAGTACAACCCCGTCACTCCGGCGCCAATGACGACAACGTCAAATTCTTCCACGCCTCCGGCGGAATGCCCGTTGGAAGAAGTCTGCTGTAACGACGTAGACATGAAACCCTCCTGTTAACCAGATGACCCGCGGCGGCCAAAAAAATGCGAACGGTGGGCCGATTATACACCGGAATCTATGGTTTGGCGGGCTGAGGATTGACATCCCCAGGGCAATCGCGTCTAAATTGAGTTTGGCGGAATAACAGCTGGCGCTGACAGGAAAAGGTATCTCGTTACTCGAAAATGCAGGTGGTGAGCTTTGCGACCGCCCATTTCGACGGTAATCGAGGCTGGCATCGGCGCTCAAACGGTAATAAACCGTGGCCGACATCTGTGATACTAATACTTTGCATCGCTTGTTATGCCGAACACGATAAGACGCGATTGCCCTGTGACATCCCCGGCCGTGCCGGGGTACGCGCAACAAATCCGGCTCGGCCACTCCGCCAGTGCTATACTTCGGCCGAGATTAGTCATGCGCCGGCGCTTCATGGCGCCCGACCAGACGGAGTAAAAAATGACGACGAAACGCAAGGGCGACGGGCTGTTACTGGTGTACAGCGACGTGGCGCCGGAGCACGACGAAGAGTACAACCGCTGGTACAACGAGGAGCACATCCCGGAGCGGCTTTCGATACCAGGCGTGCTGGACGCTGCGAGGTATCAGGCGGTCCAGGGCGGGCCAAAGTACCTGGCGGCCTACGAATTGGACAGCCACGAGGCCTGGTCCTCGGACGAGTGGCAGAAGTGGCTGAAGGAACCGACGGAGTGGTCGCGGCGGATGTCGCCCAGCGTCATCGGCACGGAGTACATCCGGAACCTGTACCAGCGAGTGCACCCGGATGAGCTATCCGAGGAGACAGCACAGGCGGGCATGTCTCCGCTGATCCTGGTGGGCCGGATGTCGGTGCCTGATCACCTGGAAGAGCGGTGGAACAATGCCTACAACAACGAGCGGCTGCCCATGTGTGCCGACATACCGGGCTACATCCGCGCCCGGCGGTTCCAGGCAGTGATGGGCGAACCCAAGTACGCGACGGTGCACGAGATGGAGTCGCTGGCAGTGGCCGAGAGCGAGGCCTGGAAGAACTGGAGCACGATCGTAACACCGGTCTGGACCCACGAAGTGCGGCCGCACATGGTGCACGGGGCCGGATCGCCGGGAGTGTATCAGCGGATATTCCCAGAATAGGGCCAACCCGTAGGCCAAAAACCAGGGGGGCGTCGGACGGACGCCCCCCTGGTTTTTGCGTGCGTGAACCCATCCGGTAACACGAAGAACCCGTCGACGGTCGGTAACGCTGAAGCGTGCGGGTTGGCTAGCGGAGTTCGGCGTCCCACTGGGCACGGATGTCCTGGGCTCCTGCTTTCGCAGGAACGACGGGTGGACGTTGGATCGGCCTTAACGTCCGACTGTCACCCGCTCCCGGCGCCAGAGACATTCGGGATAGCGTCAGGACGGTTGGGTGCCAGACTGGCTCAGGTATAGAGGGAGGCTGACGTTTCGGCGCCCATCAGGACCTGGCCGGCGTACTCGAAGTTGTTGGGCAGGCCGGATATGTGCTGGCCGCTGACGTGGAGGTCGCGGAAGAACCGCTCCAGGCCCACCGAACGGTGGATGGCGTTGGTGCCGGCCACGTTGAAAAGCCGGTCTACAACGTCGACCGAACGGCGGATGGCATGGGTTATGGCAAGGCGGGCGCGGACAGCGCGATCCATGAGGTCGGGACTGCCGGTCACCTGGGAGTCCCACATGCTGCCCACGGCGTCCAGGACGTAGGTGCGGGCCCCGTCGAGGATAGCCTCACATTCACCCACGGCGATCTGCACATAGGCGCGGTTGCGTAGCAGCATCGGCGAGTTGGTGGTGCCGGCGCCGGTGGCCAGATCGTGGAACGCGTCCATTGCGCCGCGGGCCATGCCCAGGGCGTTGGCGGCGGCGAGAGTCCAGCTGATCAGGATGGCGGTCTGGGCCGGATTGTACAGAGGGCCGGGATGATACGACGGATCGCCGCGCCGGTAGGTGTGGCGCGCGGGCACGAACAGGTTGGTGAACTCGCAGTCGTTGCTGGCGGTGCCACGCATACCGAGGGTGGTCCAGTTGTCGATCACGGTCCCGGAGGAAACGGGCGCTACGACGACGTGGGTGGTCGGGGCGCCGTCGTCGTTCAGCGCCGGAGCTCCGTCGCGCTTCAGAACGCGGCAGTTGAGGAACAGGGCGGTGGAGTGGTCAATGCCGCTGAGGTAGTTCCAGCATCCGTTGATGATGTAGCCGTCATCGGCGATGGTTGCGGTTCCCTCGGGTCGGGCCGAGCCGGAACCCAGCATGACGGGAGGGTCGCCGAAGATTTCCTTGACGGCGGCTACGGTTAGCCTGGAGACGGCGGCGGTAATGGCGCTGCCATTGAATACGCACCAGCCCGCCGAGCCGTCGGCCCGGGATATGGTCTCCACGACGCGGAAAGCGGTTAGAGGGTCAAGCTCGGGACCACCCAAAGCCTGCGGCGCATAGAGACAGAAGAGGTTGTGCGCGGCCATGCGCTGGGCAAGATCGGGCGGCAGTTGGCACTCGGCGTCGATGCGGTCGAGGTTGGCCAGGATTTCCGGCACAAGGCTTTCGGCTACGCGGACCAGGTCTTCGGGCATAGATCGGCTCCGTCAGTGATGCGGTGGCGGGTATTATAGCCCTGCCACCAGGAAGCCCGAGCCGCCGCCGGCCCCACCATCTGCCGTTCGTTTTGTTGGGGTGATCGCAAGGAAGGTCCAACTCGGGGCTGGCGTAACTTGCGGGATCCAACCGGGCATAGCAGGGGTCACGGACTCTGTGATAGACGCCTGCCTTGCTCTAACGGTAGAACGTACTCAACGTCGCGTAATGGAACCAACATTAGGGGCATTGAAACTTGGCCACCTCCGGATTCTGATCCTACTCCCGTTGGCAGCAGTTCCAAAAATCCAAGATATTTGCCATGTCTTGTGCAATCAATAAGCAACGACCCGCCGCCCGTCGTGTTCACGGTTTCTTCTTCCAATTCTCGAACAAAAGCTCCCATAACCTGAGAGACAGAAACGTCGGCTCCCGAACCGCAAGCGATTCTAATCCGTATGCTGTCCTTATTCCCGCCAAACAACACTGAATAGTGCTTGTCCGCATCGATCCCTGATTGGGTCATCCAGTCGACTCCTCGTTAGGTTGCGCAAATTTCGATCAGATGATGGGTATCGCTTTTTGTCATCGATTTGACCGACACGTTCTCGTCAGACAGGATCCGCGGACTGGACGGGGTCATCGTTTAGGGACGAACAGCACCCTAAACGGCCCGGTCTGTACGCCCGCGGGCCATCGGCATTACAATGGATGTCCGGCGGTTCGGAGGGATGGCAGAGTGGACGAATGCGACGGTCTTGAAAACCGTTAACCCTAGCGGGTTCGTGGGTTCGAATCCCACTCCCTCCGCCAATCATACGGTCGGGTGATCACCACTGGAGGCCGGGTTCCCGTTGCTGCAGCAGTTCTCCGAACAGGGTCAGCACCTGGTCAATGCGCAGGACGACGATGGCGCCGACGCTGTCCTGCAGGTAGCGTTCGTTCACCAGACCCGATTGGATCAGGCGGTCGGTCATCTCCTCGAACACCTTGCCATCGCGGTGGACGGTGGCGGTGCAACGGAACTTCCAGCCGGCGTCCTGCCCGGTGTTGCGGAAGAGGACGATCACCTTCGGATTTTCTTCGATGTGATCCAGCGGGTTACGGCCCGTACGATCGCGGTAGATCAGAGTGTCGTCGCCCACGGTGAGCACGGTTCCGATGTAACCGCAATTGGGGGTGCCGTCGGTCGCGGCGGTGGCCACGATGCAGGGGTAACCGTCGTCCCGGGCACGGTTGATCAGGCTGGACATTTCCTCGGTCAGACGTATCATTTCGCTCCTCGCGTTGCCGGCGGTCAGTTTGCGTTGATGTACTCAACGGCGCGACGATGGCCTTGCAGCAGGCCGGGAACCCGGGCGGGATCAGTGCGACCCCAGCCGCATTCGCTGGCAACACCAAATGAACCAACAAAACCCCGGGCGGCGTCGGTGCGGGCCCGATCTCCAGTTTCGTCGTCGTGGTGGATCAAGCCCAGGACCAACCCGGTCTCGGCGGCTAGCCGCAACCCATCCAATGGCTGGAAGTATTCTGCGTCCGTCCTGTCTTGGGGCACGGGCATGTGGATAAAGTCCAGCCGGCGTCCCAAACCGTCGGTGATCCCGTTGGCAATTTCGACGAGTATCCCCATATCCTTGGGCATCACCAGGTGTTCGTCACGCGGAGAGCCGTAGCACAAGTGGTAGCCGAGATCTACGGTGTCGGGGATGGCAGAGCCCAGACGCCCGAGTTCCGCGAAGACCTGCTCCTTGTAGTCGGCGGGCCGGTGCGGGAAATAGTCCTCGAACAGCAGCACTTCCTGGCACACATCCCACTGGATCGACAAGCGGTCGTGGGGAGCCGACGCCAGCAGCCGGTCCACAGCGGACAATAGCGACCGCTCGTAGGCGGGTAGGTACGCGTCCCGGGAAGATGGGCTGACGTACATGTATGCAGTAGCCATGGGTGTGGGCAGCGATACCTGGAACAGCGCGTCGGGCGGTATCACCCCGTCGGCCTGCAGGCGCGTGTACAGGTCGAAGGACTCGAGGGCCGCCTCGGCGTAGCCGGTGGGGAAGTTGACGGCGTTTGGATCGGCGTCTGAGCGGAAGCGCAGGTATCGCGTCTCCCGAAGCAACTGGCCGTCCCACTGGTACAGGGCGTAGGGCGGCTCGTCCAGGTCGGGTTCCATGGCGGGATGCTGCTCCAGCATCTCCCGTTGGAACCAGATCCAGCGACCGCGGCGGCCGGTTTCACCGTCGGAGATGCGGCGCAGGTGTGAGCCCCACGCATCACTGACGGTGCGGAACACCGTTTCCGCGTCGGGCAGGGGGACGCTGCCCACCAGGTGCGCCCAGCTCTTTGCGTCAGGCATATCTACTCCCGGTCGGACCCAGGCTAAACACCGGATTAACCGATGACGCGGCGGAAGTAGTCCAGGGCGTTGCCGCCCACTATCTTGAGGACGTCTTCGTCGGAGTGGCCGCGGCGGATCAGGCCGCGCACGATGTTCTTGCCGTCGGCCGGGGACTCCAGGCCGTTGAGATAGGGAGCGGGCAGTTGGTCGGGGCCGCGGCCCAGCAGCACGCGGTGGAAAGCCACGTGGTCACCAACGGTGCTGTCCGTGCCAATGCCCACATGATCGACACCCACCAGGTTGACCATGTAATCGTAGTGGTCCAGGACGCACTCGATGTCCTGCTCGGGGTCGTCGCTGAGGGAGTTGGGGACCGCGGTGATGCAGACCAGGCCGCCGGCGCGGGCGCAGGCCAGGAGTTCCTCGTCCCGGCGGGTCCGGCCGTTGGGACGCAGGGTGTAGGAGGCATTGTGGCTGAAGACCGTGGGTGCGTGGGAAATCTCGATGGCGTCCATGGCGGTGGGAGTCGATGCGTGGGACAGGTCCACCGCCATCCCGAGGTCGTTCATGCGGTGGACCACCGCGACGCCGAAGTCGCTGAGCCCGCCGGGGTTGCGCTCGGTCTGGCCGTCGCCGATGAAGTTGCGCCGGTTGTAGGTGATGCCGGCGAGCCGCACTCCCATGCCGAACAGGGCGTCCACCCGCTCGATGCGGTTCCCGATGGCCAGGTGCTCCAGGGTGGGCAGGAAGCCGATCTTGCCCTGCTGGCGCGCCGACATGATTTCATCGGCGTTACCAACCCTGACGATGTTGTCTTGGGTCGCCACGTCGGCCAGCATGCCACCAACCTCGGCGGCGATGTCCTCATACTCCATGAATGACATGTCAGTGGTGCTCTTGAACCCGCTGAACGCGCTGGCGGTGGTCACGGCCGACCATCCACCGGCCTCGACCGCCTGGTAGCCATACTGGTAGCGGCTGGTCCGCAGGAACTCGATGAACCGGTCCATGTCCTCCGGCAGCAGGAACGGATGCTGGTGAACGTCAATCATCACCGCCTGCTCCATGATGCGCTCGAAGCGGGTCTGTTCGGCGGCGCTGAGCGGGACCTCCGACGACGGCACACGTCCTACTTCGCGGACCATTTCGAATATCTGCGTAGTCATGGGGAATACTCCTTCCGGCGAGCGGCAGCGGCAATCGAGCGGCAAGGGTGCCGGGTTGAGTGACGGTACGGGTTGGACGCGGCGACCAGCGATCACATGGAGCGCCACGTTGAGCCCTCGGTGAGGGCGAGGAACTGTTTCACCAGCGATGGGTTTGAGACGATGAGACCCGGCGAAAAGAGCGTGGCGTCCTCCAGCGTGGCGCGGTCGAGGACGGCGCCGCCGGCTTCGCGGGCGAGCAGGACCCCCGACGCGATGTCCCAAGCGGACAGGCTATGGTGGAAGTAGAGGTCGATGCGTCCGCAGGCGGCGTAGGCGAGGCCAAGCGCGCCGGCGCCCATCAGCCGATAACCCTGGACCCGGGGCCAAACGTCCGCGGCAAGCTCAAGCAGGTGCTTGGCCTGGCCAAAGTCGTAGCCCAAATCAAAGCCCAGGACGGCCTCGTCGATGTCCTCGCGGTCAGATACTTGCATGGGCTCGCCGTTGAGCGTGGCCCCGCGCCCGCGCTGCGCGGCAAACATTTCGTCACGGACGGGGTCGTAGGTGACGCCGCAGACCACCTGGTCACCATCTGAGATGGCAACGACGATGCAGAAATGTGGGATGCCCTCGGCGAAATTGCGGGTGCCGTCGATGGGGTCCACCACCCACGTGTAGGGTGACGTTCCGGCGACCGGTTCGGACTCCTCGGACAGTATGCCAAAATCGGGGTATTCCTCGGATACGTAATCGAGTATCAGCCTTTCCGAAGCCAGGTCAGCGTCGGTGACCACGTTGGCGCGGCCCTTGAGGCTGACCTCCACATCGGTCTGAAAACGCCCCAGGACGAGCTCGCCGGCGCGCCGGGCGGCCGTTTCGCAGACGGAAAGGGCAGACTGGCCGGGAGCGGGAAACGGGCAGTTCGTCGACGGGACCGGTTGACATCAGAGCAGACTCACAGATATGGGCTGGATGCGGCAGTCTAGCATCCGGCGTTCGCGGCCGACAACCGAACCCGCCGGAGTTCGGATGCGCCGGAGTTCGGACGCGAGGGAGTTTTGACGCGGCGAAGTTTTGACGCGGCGGAATTCTGACGCGGCGGAGTTCGCATCCAAACTCGAACCAACCCGCCCGGTCGGGTTGGTGAACCGCGTTGCGCCGGGAACGATTACGGGTACAACGGCATCCGGCAGGACGAGCAAGGCCGGGCCCCAGGTGGGATTTGGGCCCGGCCAGATTACTCGGTCTTTGTGCTGTCGCTACATTTTGCGCAAACTCCGGCTTCGATCTTCGTATGGAAAGAGCCAGAAGGGTGTGGCACCTCGCGTGCCATTACATGCGCTGAGTTGTCCCAACTCGCCGCGGCCGATTTCCACTGGACAACGTAGCCCGTGGGGTTCGGCTGGTGGTAGAGACAGTCGGCCGGCAGCCAGTTGACCCTAATTGCGTAGGGTCCTGCCGTGTAGGCGTTCACCACCCGGGGTGTTCCGGGCCGGCGCGGGTCCGGCAGCTCGCTGGCGGCCACCTCTTCAATACCGATCTTGTTGATCGTCGAAGTCGTCCAGTCGTTGTACACCTCCTGGAGATCGGAGTCTGCCCATACGAAGGCTCCGCCACCTTTCGCAATGGCGGCGCTGAACGGCAGCTGGACTCCGTCGACGCGCAGTACCCAGTCCTCGAAGTGCTCTGGCGGCGGACCGTTGCCTCCACGACCGGTGTGGACAGTAAATCTGAGGTGGACCCATTCTGCTGTTCCCGGCTCCAGGAGTTGGCCAGGACGGGGTGTGTGTCCCCGTGCATCTCGACGGCGCGCACGGCGTAATCCACGCCCTTGAAGGTGAAGATGGTGTCCTGAGGCTGGTCCACATCATGCGGAACCAACCCCAGTCCGTGGAGCCCCAGTCGACGAGCTCGAGGTCGGCGCACCACACTGACGTGGTGCATTCGAGAGCAAACATGTCGGAGGTCTGCCGGATGTTCACCGTCGTACCCCGCTGGTGTGGCTTCGCTCACTCGCGCGTCGGGCACAGTGCCGAAGCCCAGCAGCACGCTTTCACCGCTGTCGGCGGATTGGTCCTCGGTGGCGGCGGAGGTGAAGGACTTCGACGTTTCACCCGTGTGGAACGTCACGCTGGCGAGCACTCCCGGGTAGTCGTCGCCGGCAGCGGCCCCGCCCTGGTTGGCCGTGATGATGGGGATGATCACCATCCGCACCGGGTCGGCGTTCAGGTTGACGCTGATTGACTGCCTACTGCCATCGGCCACGGTGTAGGTGGCTGCGCCGAACTCAACGTCGACATCGGGGTCGTCGTTGTCAGTGAGGGTGATGCTCTTGCCGTCGTCGTCTTCAGCGTCATCGACCACCCTTGCGCTGAAGGACTTTGTGGTCTCGCCGGGGGCAAAGACCAGGTTCTCCGGGATGCCGGAGTAGTCGGCGTCCGTGGCCCCGCCGTTGGCGATGACCGTGACGGGCAGTGTTACGGTCTGTGTCTCAAAGGAGTCTCCGAGGGTGACGGTCACCGTCTGTGACCCGCCCTCGGCTCCCGCGCAGGTCGCCGCATCGAAACTGGCGGCCACCGGCAGTTCAACCACCTGGGTCAGGACACGTCCGCCCACTTCCCAGCGTAGTCCTGACGTGCTCCAAGAGTACCAAACCCAACGTTCGATGCCGTCTTCTTCTAATCCCGGGGCGAAAAGGCAGACCTTCTTGCATTGGAGAATTCGAGAGTCTTGCCTCCAGAATCCCAGCCGGGGCGTTCGAGCGCCTGCTCCTGTAGGAGGCCGGACGTAAGTCACATGGCTACCAGGGAGCTTCCCTCTTCGCCGGGGTCGGGAGGTGTGAAATCAACGTAATGCGACATGACGAAGTGCGGGTGGTCGCCATAACTGAATTGCCGTCCGGATATATTGCCCTGTGATGCTTCTTCAAAATCCGTCCCCAATAGGCCGGCTCCGATTTCAGGTAATGTGGACAATTTTGGTCATAAGCGGTCACATAGGCGCAGAAGACGGCATCGCATTCGTAGGACTGCGACCCGTCCACCCGCTGCCCGGCGTCCGGGATGTGCGCCGGTGCAGACAGGTCCATCGCCACCCGGTTGTCTCTCGCAAACTCGATCCTGCGGTCTGGCACGCTTCCCAGGGGATCTGCGTCAAGGACCACGCCGTCGGCATCCACGCCACCAGACTGGACGGTGTAGGAACAGTAGAGGTGGTAACGTGGGAACCTCCCAGTGATCTCTACGTGAGTAGCGCGGTAGGTGCCGCAGACGGTTACCAGGCTGGCTTCCCGTTCATGTTGCGCGGCGTCGCCAAACCGGAGTTTGTCAGTCAGGGACTCTGCGAGGACCCGGACGCTGCCGACCACGGAGACCCGGACTTCTATGTTTTCCCCGGCGGCGTAGGCCACCCCGTTGTACGGTTCGGAAACGATCCTGGATTCCAGGATGCTCAGCGTGTCATTAGCGTGGCCAACGACGTTGACAACGAGGAAAGTTCGCCGAAGACTGCGACGTGTACGTGTTTCCGCCGTCGGTGGACTTTCTGGAAGAGTTTTCGATGGTCCAGCTGTAGGGGCCGACCGTATCCTCGTCGCCACCGGTGGTGGTCCCCAGCTCCACATGTCCGGTACCCGTCGTGATCAGGAAAACGGTAACTCTTGGGTTGAGAGCAGCAGCGGCGCTGCGAGCCCTTGTGAAATCATCGGATCTGAATGCCTGTGTACCGGCGGTGGTCACGGAGCCGGTGAAGGTGGCCGTGTTGGTGCCTTGACTACCAACATCGAGGCTCTGTCATGACGGTTAGGGTCAGGGTATCCGAGGGCGTTTTCACGTCCAGGACGATCTGGTGTCCCGCGTCAAATATTTCCGCCGAATTGTCTCCACTATTTTTGCCGGTTCACCTCCTCTGACTGGCCCCGTTGCTGGGCGGCGTCGGTGCGGAAACTGGGCACGGCAAACCCCAGGATGACGGAGTTATGCACCACCCGGTCGATGGCGGCCGCGGTGGCCATGGGGTTGGCGAAGATGCGTTCCCACTCTGAGAAGACCAGGTTTGGCGTGATGCCCAACGACCTCCGTTCGTAGCGTTCGGCGATGAGGGTGAAGAGGACCTCTGACTCTTCGGCCCCCTGGGGCAGATAGCCCAGGTCGTCCAGGAGCAGGAAGTCGAAGTTGTCCAGCTTACGCTGTCGTTTTCGCCAGCACCGGCCATGCCCGAACGGAGGTGACCGCTCCTGCTTGAACCCCACGGCGCGGCGATACCGTGCGCTGAACGGAAATGGGGAGAAAGGCAGGGAAATCCGCCGGCGGGAACGGGTCAGGGCCCGGCGTTTCATGTCGGACACGTGAGCGCTCGTTTCGCCGCTGCTCCGCATCATGGCTTGGCTTCGAACATCGCCGGAGGCGGCACGGCCTCAGCGCCGAGGCCCAATGCGGCAAGCCCAAACAGAGGTTTCCCGCGCAAGCGTATTCGTTCAACATCACCGGTTCCATCCAGGACCACAACAACCCGAGACCACAACAACCCAACCCGTTGCAAGATTTCCACTTCACACCTGACCTTGAAAAGTCCCTGAAAAAGCCCTGCTGAGCGTTGCGCGGCGGTTGCTAATCCGGCCCGAGGTTTGTTAAAATAGTCACGCTCCGTTGAACGACGTTCGGCGGTTGGTCGTGGGGCTGTAGCTCATTTGGGAGAGCGCTTCAATGGCATTGAAGAGGTAGCGGGTTCGATTCCCGCCAGCTCCACCAGTTTCACGTCCGGGTAAGTCCGATAGCGTCTAAAAACCCCCGGATGTGTGCGAAAGCACACCCTCCAACGGTCTTGTAAGTTCCCTGTTCGGCCCATACGATCCGATTCATTGTGTGGGAAAAATCAGAGAACGCAATATGGCCCAACTTACGGAAACCAAGGTTAAGACGGCGGCCAAACCAGGCCGATATGGCGATGGCGCCGGGCTTTATCTGAACGTTGTTCCCTCCGGGTCTGAGAGGGTGTGTGACAAATCCGCTGGATCACTTCGTTCTGGCTGAATAACCTGCGATTCAGTCCCCTCTCCCTTGATGTGAAAGGGTTAGGGTGAAGGTGAAAATTCGATTGTCACACACCCTCTAAGTCCTGGGTCCAGCGCGTCGTGATTGACGGCCACCGTCGGGACATCGGTCTGGGTGGATATCCGGCCGTTGGCCTCGCCTAGTCTCAGGGTCTAGCAGCCACCAATCACGCCGTCATAGCTGACGGGCGGGATCCGGTGATTGAGAAACGCAGGAACGCCATCCCAACATTTAAGGAAGCAGCCCGGATAGTCTACGAGGCGAACCTTCCACGGTGGCGCAACAAGAAGCACGCGGTTTCTTGGATGAACACCCTGGAGCGGCATGCCTTCTTCATCTTGCGGAATATGCGGATCGATCGGATAGGGCAGGCCGATGTACTCAAGGTCATAAACCCCAACATGGAATACACGCCCTGAAACCGCACGGCGGGTCAGGCAACGCATCCGCACCGTGATGCGGTGGGAAATGGTCCATGGCTTCATTGAGAACAATCCGGCAGGCAAGGCCATAGATGGCGCGCTGCCGCCGATGCCTAAACCCCAATCCACCGAAGAGATGATTGTCGGGGCAGGTTGAAGGTGTAAGAAAGTGCTCCTTTGCTTCTGGGATAATGGTTTGTGAAACACCAAACCACCCAAAAGAAGAGCACCAAACGGATGCTACCACGCAACACCCCGACCGCGCATCGTCGCCTGCGACGACCACCGTTGGTGGCCATGCCGGGCTGGTCCTGCCGGTCACCTGCCCGCATCTGGGTCTGGGCGACTGGTGGACCGCCAGTGACCTGGAGT